TTAGGCATGCTGCAAGGAGGCATGAGGACTGCAGATGTGGCCAGGGCAATAAATTGCAATGTCCGTACTGTGAGACGCCTAAGACAGCGCTACAGGGAGACAGGACGGACAGCTGATCGTCCTCGCAGTGGCAGACCATGTGTAACAACACCTGCACAGGATCGGTACATCCGAACATCACACCTGTGGGATAGGTACAGGATGGCAACAACAACTGCCCGAGTTAAACCAGGAATGCACAATCCCTCCATCAGTGCTCAGACTGTCCGCAATAGGCTGAGAGAGGCTGGACGGAGGGCCTGTAGGTCCTCACCAGACATCACCGGCAACAACGTCGCCTATGGACACAAACCCACCGCCGCTGGACCAGACAGGACTGGCAAAAAGTGCTCTTCACTGACGAGTCGCGGTTTTGTCTCACCAGGGGTGATGGTCAGATTCGCGTTTATCGTCGAAGGAATGAGCGTTACACTGAGGCCTGTACTCTGGAGCGGGATCGATTTGGAGGTGGAGGGTCCGTCATGGTCTGGGGCAGTGTGTCACAGCATCATCGGACTGAGCTTGTTGTCATTGCAGGCAATCTCAACGCTGTGCGTTACAGGGAAGACATCCTCCTCCCTCATGTGGTACCCTCCAGCATGACAATGCCACCAGCCACAATGCTCGTTCTGTGCGTGATTTCCTGCAAGACAGGAATGTGAGTGTTCTGCCATGGCCAGCGAAGAGCCCGGATCTCAATCCCATTGAGCACGTCTGGGACCTGTTGGATCGGAGGGTGAGGGCTAGGGCCATTCCCCCCAGAAATGTCCGGGAACTTGCAGGTGCCTTGGTGGAAGAGTAGGGTAACATCTCACAGCAAGAACTGGCAAATCTGGTGCAGTCCATGAGGAGGAGATGCACTGCAGTACTTAATGCAGCTGGTGGCTACACCAGATACTGACTGTTACTTTTGATTTTGACCCCCCCTCTTTGTTCAGGGACACATTATTCAATTTATGTTAGTCACATGTCTGTGGAACTTGTTCAGTTTATGTCTCAGTTGTTGAATCTTATGTTCATACAAATATTTACACATGTTAAGTTTGCTGAAAATAAATGCAGTTGACAGTGAGAGGACGTTTCTTTTTTTGCTGAGTTTATATGTAGAGGTGAAGTGATGGACATTAGTCCAACTATATGTAGAGGTGAAGTGATGGACATTAGTCCAACTATATGTAGAGGTGAAGTGATGGGCATTAAGCCATCTATGCATCCATCCTTTGATGTTTTAGGCTCCCACTATTTGTTTTACTGTAGCCATAGCAACATCGCCACAGATGAAGAGATCTCTTTTAGGGCACGTACATCATCAGACAAACATGACAGATGCGATGACTCCATCCACACTCCACTGAAGGAAAAACTTCAGCAGTACCATGGGGATATCATGAACTCCTGAGAGATAAGAAATATCATTTACATATTATTTTTCAAGACCCGACTGGGTATTTACAGTAGTATGACACACATTGAACACTAATATATGTTAGACATCACTCTACAAGTGTTTTGTCCTCAATGCGTTTGATGTCCTATGAAAGCCCATCAGTATTTCAGTGGTGGAGGGATGTGGATGGGGGTCGGTCGCCCCTACCCCCCAGGAGGAGCCCATTCCCCACTTTAAGAACCACTTAACTGCAGACAAAACAAACTATTTGTTCTCACAAACTCTCTGTTGGTAATCTGGAAGACACCGAGGCTGTATATGATTGAGTGGGTGTCATCCTTACAGGACACCTCCTTGATTGTGGTGTAAACAAAAGAGAAAAATGGTTTGTCATGCCACAGCTGTCCCGGGGGCACAGGGCACCATTTCTGAAATAAGAATCCAGTTCCCAAGTCCTCTCTCTCAAATGTGACAGCAGAAGGATATCTTAAGGGCCCAATTCTTCCTCTGGAAAGAAGGGTACAGGTTTTAGCTGCAGGCCATTTTCAGTGGCCAAAAATTACCTGATTAAAATAGAACCTCCCCAGATGCTCCGTTGTCCAAAATCTGAGGAAGAAATGTTTGTACATGAGACATTTTAAATGTTTTGCTGTTAAAATTGCAGTGTTGCTGGCAGGGCCAAATAATGACAGGCTATCACACATTGTACAAAGATTACATTTCAGTTCCGGTTAGAATAAGTGTACCAAATCCCATTTCGTACATTACGTTACATAAATATCAAGTGGAATTATCCTGTTGTTAAGGGGTCAAATGCTGAATAGTGTCATCACAAGCTATAAAGTACTTTCTAGGTGTCCTTCATGGTCGTTTAGATGTTTCATCCATTTGCCCATTAGAGCACTAACAGTACATAGCATTTTACCCCCAGTGTTAAGTGTGAGTGAAGGGTAAAGAGATAAAACAAAGTGAAAGACAAGTGAGAGAGAGTGAGGGCACTGGACGTGAGAGTGGGGGTACTGGACATGAGAGTGAGGGTACTGGACGTGAGAGTACTGGACATGAGAGTGAGGGTACTGGACGTGAGAGTGAGGGTACTGGACGTGAGAGTGAGGGTACTAGACGTGAGAGTGAGGGTACTGGACGTGAGAGTGAGGGTACTGGACGTGGGAGTGAGGGTACTGGACGTGGGAGTGAGGGTACTGGACGTGGGAGTGAGGGTACTGGACGTGAGAGTGAGGGTACTGGACGTGAGAGTGAGGGTACTGGACGTGGGAGTGAGGGTACTGGACGTGGGAGTGAGGGTACTGGACGTGGGAGTACTGGACGTGGGAGTGAGGGTACTGGACGTGCTTTGATTTCGTGACAGAAAGACTATGCAAGAATGTCTACACCTAGAAAAAGGACTCCGTCCACAGGGCTCAGTCCACACATTCCTAGGAGAAATGTCAGTATTTGTCTTAAGAAAAACTGAAGGCATCATGGAAAAATGTTTGTTGCCTAGCAGACTAATATGGGTTTTGTATTAGAAAAGTGTTTGAAAAGGTTGAAGAGGGTAAAGTATATTCATGATGACTGTAATGGGTTTGTAGTGGGACAGAGAATAACAATTACACAAAAGGGTTATTTTGGGTGGGCTGGGCTCCATGAAAGAGTAAAATATTTACAGTGTCACAGCCGGACACCTTCTGCATAGACAGACAAACCAGCAGGACAGGAAGAGCAATGAGAAACGCCACTACAGATGTTGCTCAACATGACTGTAAACATGATTTATTTATTCACCAGATCACTATATAAAATGTTCAAAAGTATTATAGTGAGCTCACACAATAAATAAAAAATAAACAGCATCAGTAAAAAACAAATTAAAAAAATAAGTTTTTTCAAAAAGGACTAAAACTTTAGAACCTCCACCACAACTGAACAGTAAGATTTCAAAATAAGATCTAAAAAAATCTGACGGCACCTTAAAATAACCAATAGCTTTGACTTTCATTCATTTGATGTAATTTGAGTCCAAAATTAGTTTGACCTTCTATTTGGTGTGGATGGATTCAAATATGAAGTCATTCATCATTGTCTCATGAGAACCACCTAATTTAGTCCTTTGCCATGGAAACTGGCTGCTGATGGCACTTGTGGTCTGAATAAGTATGTAACGGTTAGCCACTAAAACTAGGCATGCAATCCCATACGACCATGCTTTTAACATATACAATCATTGGCAGGAAGACCAAGTAAATTATGCTGCTCTGGGAAGAGTATGACTGATCATGAGCGTAATCCCTCGTCCATCTTGAACACAGTTTAAGAGGCTCACTAGCAGATCCCTCAACACTCACATATTGGAGGTAAATGCCACTGACTGAGCAAAGCCATAAACGTAGCTTCCAAACCATTTAACAGTACAAAATCCTAATTAAATGTGGGCAACAGACCATGTGTATGTTGTACATCATTAACAACGTTGGTATTCCTAACTCAAATGAAGCCACATTGTGTGACTGACCATAAACGTACTGTAAGTTCATTTGATTTTTACTTACAAAAACACTAAAGGGATACTTTGGGATGTTAGCAATGAGGCCCTATATTTACTTCCCCAGAGTCTGATGAACTTGTGGACACCATTTTGATGCATTTGCGTCCAGTATAAAGGAAGTTAAAAGGTAGTTTCGCGAGCCAAGGCTAACTAGCGTTAGCGCAATGACTGGAAGTCTACACGAACAGCTAGCGCTAGTTAACAATTGCACTAATGCTAGTTAATAACTTCCTTCAAACTGCACGCAGATACATCAAAATGGTATCCACGAGTTAATCTGACTCTGGGGAAGTGGATAAAGGGACTCATTGCCCAAATCCTGAACTATCCCTTTAATGTGTTGAACCCATGACATCTCCAATGATTATGAAAATCGGCAATTGGATCAAGGTAGGTACCCTCCATAAAATTCCCCATAGAAAATATATCTCTTTGAAAAGCTAAAAATATCCCATTTAATTAATTGGCATCAATACAGGAGTCTGAGATAATGATGATTGAAATATTGGTATCAAGTTCCTACAAGGGGCTGGCTAGTGAGCTACATATTTGTATTAAGTGGGATAGAAAAATAGTTAAATGTTTTTGCTGTGAATCTATATATAATCAACATTTCACCAATGAGGAAAAAAAGTGAATAATACAAATATATTTATTTCTCACACAGCACAGGTACATACCGGTAGCATACCCTTCTATCCTAATAAAACCTTAATAAATGAACCCCTGAAAAATCAACAATCCCTGAATTGAACCAAAAACACACACTAAAAGGCATCTGACCAGTGGTTGTAAAATTGGAGCTCAGTTGGTAGAGCATGGCGTTTGTAACGCCAGGGTTGTGGGTTCGATTCCCACGGGGGGCCAGTATGAAAAAAATATGAAAATGTATGTACTCACTAACTGTAGGTCGCTCTGGATAAGAGCGTCTGCTAAATGACTAAAATGTCAATGTAATTGCTCCAGTGTGTTGGAAGGCTGAGGCAGGCACTGCAGTGTTTTAGGCTAGTTAGATAACACGAGGCACGCTCAGTCAATCTCTGGCATGCACCTGCAACATTTAGCCATTCTGCCCTGCTTCTTGGGTTCCCTGAAGCCATCACTGTCCCCTGCGTCCAGCAGTCCATCCTGGTAGTTACCATACTCAGCAATGGCATCCTCCACTCGTGTGATGTAGAGCCAGCTAATGATCACACCCAAGAACTGCAAACACAAGGAGATTCAGAGTCAGAGATGGGAAATAGAGTATTGAACTATGCCCTTGGGGTAGATGACCTTGCTTTAGCAAGGCCTAGTTCAATGTGCTGTTAGCAGAAAGATTGGGGCACTTTGGACCTGCAGTGCATTACTGACCACTGCCTTTTTTCTTTGGGGGAGGGGGTTTCCAATAAGCAATTTATTCTGTTTTACATCATGAAATTTTGTCCTTGATACAAAATACATTTCCAAAAAAAATAAGCATGCATTTTCAACCAAAAGCACAGACCTGAAACAGACAAGAGCTGCAATGATCTATGAACAGGCAGACATTGCTTGTGCTGATTCTAGCGCTTAAGCTACTGTATGTCTATAGCAAATCACACTGCAGAGTATTTGACTTTACTGTTATCAAGAAGAACTGTGCAGAACGCATTAAATAACCCATACAGTACATCTGTATCATCTTAAGGTAAAAAGCTATGGTTAAGAATGTATGAAGAATTTACTTTCTTTGACGGTATCCTTGTGGTTGTATTGCATGTTAAAGTGCTGTAGCCAGCAAGTCAAGTCAGCTATATCATTTTAGTTCCATAACTAATTGACTGAGGGGTCTGAAACTCAGACATAAAAGTGTACTGCCATTTCAAGTGGCCAGATGGCTAATCAAATCTAAGGCTGTCTGACCACTTGTTCGACCTTGGCCTGTTTCAAATAGACGGGTTAGCTGACAACTTCTAGAAAACGATGCGCGCGCTTCAATAAGGTGTTGTTGTGATTCTGGATGGTCTGATAGCTACCAACAATGACAAGAAGCTGCCATGTGGGGAATCGTAGATGGCTCGTTTCAGCTAGTTTTATCTTGTTGTTGATACCATGATTTGAGGTGTTTTGACTGATGTCATATCTATTTTAATATGGCTAAAATTCACTAGCTAACCAACCAACAATTGTAACAATGTATTTGAGAGACAACAAGTGCTGATTTGTGCAAACCTATTTACATTTTCATTAAACATTGTCAACAATCTAAACCAACCCTGTCTGTTTAGCCCTATAGTCACGCATGAAACGGTTTTGTTGCAAAACAACCAAACCGTCTATGAAAGCCAGCCTCATTTTATCAGACAGAGTGTCATAGTATATAATGTACAGTATGTGGGAGGATTGCTCTAATGACTAGATGACATAGGATTAATCATTCAATGTGGCAACATCAATAAAACATTAGTAGCTCAGTAGAAATACCCTCAAACCAATCAACTACGGGACCTCAGGGAACAACTTCATTCGACAACTCACTTTTGCCTACATGTACTGTAGCTTCAGGTGATAGAGATCAACATTTATTCCCAGAGACAGGCAGCCACAGCTCCTTCCAATCAATAGAAAGTGAGTAGACAATGGACTTAATGATTAAAAGTGCCAGTCAGAAGACTTAATCCTTTTTACAGCCACATACTGTGAAACACAAAAGCTGTCTTTAGTCAATACCCTCCAAGTTGTGTTCCCTCCAATACTAAATGTGATTGTCAATGTGTGGGACCACATACAGTGCCTTCAGAAAGTATTCACACCCCTTTACTTTTTCCACATGTTGTTGTGTTAGAGCCTGAATTTAAAATTAATCAAATTTAGATTATTGGTCACTGGCCTACCATAATGTCAAAGTGGAATTATGTTTTTCATTTTTTTTAACTAATTCATTCAAAATGAAACGACCCCGAAATGTCTTGAGTCAATAAGTATTCAACCCCTTTGATATGGCAAGCCTAAATAAATTCAGGAGTAAAAATGTGTTTAACCAGTCACATAATAAGTTGCAGACGCAATAATAGTGTTTACCATTATTTTTGAATGACTACCTCATACCTAAGGTCTCTCAGTTGAGCAGTGAATTTCAAACACAGATTCAACCACAAAGACCAGTGAGGTTTTCCAATGCCTCTCAAAGAAGGGCACCTATTGGTAGATGGGTAAAAAAAACAAAAAAAAAACAGACATTGAATATCCCTTTGAGCATGGTGAAGTTTTAATTACACTTTGGATGGTGTATCAATACACCCAGTCACTACAAAAGAAACAGGCGTCCTTCCTAACGTCGTTGCCGGAGAGGAAGGAAGCCGTTCAGGGATTTCAACGGGAGGCCAAAAGTGACTTTATAACAGTTACAGAGTTTAATGGCTGTGACAGGAGAAAACTGAGGATGGATCCACAACATTGTAGTTACTCCACAATACTAACCTAATTGACAGAATGAAAAGAAGGAAGGCTGTGCAGAATAAAAATATTCCAAAACATCCGTTTTGCAACAAGGCACTAAAGTAATACTGCAAAAAAAGTTGTCCTGAATACAGTGTCATGTTCGGGGCAAATCCAATACAACACATTACTGACTACCTGCTTGAAAATCTATGGAAAGACCTGAAAATGGTTGTCTAGCAAAGATCAACAACCAATCTGACAAAGCTTGAAAAATTTATTTCAGAATAATGGGCAAATGTTGCACAATTTAGGTGTGGAAAGCTCTTAACATGTGACATAATTTGCCCTTCACAGTAGACTACTCTCTCAACAAAGTCTCAGACACTGACGCATACAATTTTCAAACTTATTAGTGGTAATCAAAGAACAATCTCCATCTTTAAATATCTACAAGTGTATCCCTGTAGCGCTCTCCATCCCTTTTTATACAAGATACAAGTGGCAATATTGTTTATAAATAAACATAGCTAATTAACAGGACATTTTATGGAGCATGTAATGAACAAGGCTCTTGGGACCGTTATGAAACACCTTATCTGCATTTTCACCGACTGCAGGAGAAAAATGTTCCTTCCGGACATAAGTACCTAATTAATACCAGCTATGGTAGAGGAGCATGTAAGTTAAAAACAAGGAAGCCCTTCAAATTCCCTTACTCATCAAGGTCACACTTCAACAGTGAACCTACATGTACAACAATACATTTCTTCAATGTATTCAGCTCAAGTCAGTTATTGAGAGGGTTCTTGCTTATGTCTCCCAACTACCCTTACCCCAAAATGCTGTAAGGGTAGAACAACAAGTTATGCACTCATCTAGACTCACTACTGTGTAAATACTGTTCTGTCTTGGCCCGTCTATAGGGGACTCTGGCAAACAACATAAATCAAAGCTCTGTCTCCATAGGGAATTAATGTGTATGTCACATTAACCAAATATGTAATCTATGCAGTGGAGAAGCCTTCATAACTGGGAGGCCCATCCAGCATGCCAAACACACTCATATTCCGAATGGATATACAGTGCATTCGGAAAGTATTCAGACCCCTTGACTTTTTCCACAGTTTGTTACATTACAGCCTTACTCTAAAATGGATTTATATATAAAAAAAGGAAATCTCAATGTACACACAATACCCCATACTGACAAAGCAAAAACAGGTTTTTAAAAATGTTTGCACATTTATTAAAAATTAAAAAATGAAATACCTTATTTACATAAGTATTCAGACCCTTTGCTATGAGACTCCAAATTGAGGTCAGGTGCATCCTGTTTCTATTGATCATCCTACAACTTGATTGGAGTCCACCTGTGGTAAATTAAATTGATTGGACATGATTTGGAAAGGCACACCCCTGTCTATTTAAGGTCCCACAGTTGACAGTGCATGTCAGAGCAAAAACCAAGCCATGAGGTCGAAGGAATTGTCCATAGAGCCCGAGACAGGATTGTGTCGAGGCACAGATCTGGGGAAGGGTACCAAGAAATGTCTGCAGGATTGAAGGTCCCCAAGAACACAGTGGCCTCCATCATTCTTAAAAGAAAGAAGTTTGGAACCACCAAGACCTTTCCTAGAGCTGGCCGCCCGACCAAACTGAGCAATCGGGGGAGAAGGGCCTTGGTAGGGAGGTGACCAAGAACCCGATGGTCACTCTGACAGAGATCCAGAGTTCCTCTGTGGAGATGGGAGAACCTTCCAGAAGGACAACAATCTCTGCAGAACTCCACCAAATCAGGCCTTTATGGTAGAGTGGCCAGACGGAAGCCACTCCTCAGTAAAAGGCACATGACAGCCCGCTGGGAGTTTGCCAAAAGGCACCTAAAGGACTCTCAGACCATGAGAAACAAGATTCTGTGGTCTGATGAAACCAAGATAGAACTCTTTGGCCTGAATGCCAAGCATCACGTCTGGAGGAAACCTGGCACTATCCCTACGGTGAAGCATGGTGGTGGCAGCATCATGTTGTGGGGATGTTTTTCAGTAGCAGGGACTGGGAGACTAGTCAGGATCGAGGGAAAGATGAACGGAGAAAAGTGCAGAGAGATCCTTGATGAAAACTTGCTGCAGAGCGCTCAGGACCTCAAACTGGGGCGAATGTTCACCTTCCAACAGGACAACAACCCTAAGCACACAGCCAAGACAACGCAGGAGTGGCTTCGGGACAAGTCTCTGAATGTCCTTGAGTGGCCCAGCCAGAGCCCGGATTTGAACCCGATCACACATCTATGGAGAGACCTGAAAATAGCTGTGCAGCAACGCTCCCCATCCAACCAGACAGAGCTTGAGAGGATCTGCAGAGAAGAATGGGAGAAACTCCCCAATACAGGTGTGCCAAGCTTGTAGCGTCATACCCAAGAAGACGAGGCTGTAATCGCTGCCAAAGGTGCTTCAATAAAGTACTGAGTAAAGGGTCTGAATACTTATGTAAATGTGATATTTCATTTTTTGTAATACATTTGCAAAAATGTATACAAACCTGTTTTTGCTTGGTCATTATGGGGTATTGTATGTAGATTGATGAGGGGAGAAAACAACATTTTAATCCATTTTAGAATAAGGCTGTAACGTAACAAAATGTGGAAAAAGTGAAGGGGTCTGAATACTTTCCCGAATGCACTGTAGTTCCTCATTAAAATCAGTTACTGCGCTTGACATGGGAAGGAATGCAGTAGTAGGGTTTTGATATTTCAATTCTTAAGCCGGGATTCAATCCAATCAGCGGTAGATCCGACTTATAGCGGGCTCGGCACAGGGCTGGGATTCAATCCGATCGCTCTCTGTCGACTCGGCTATGTAGCTTTTAAAAAGCAATGTTACTACATTCACGGGAACACTGCCTTTCAAAAAAGGTGCATAGCTGACAAAGAGGGATTGAATTCTGTCTCTAGACTTTTCATGATTGCATATAAACAACAGAAACCAATCTAAAGAAAGAGTAGTTATGCAGCAGATGGAGGCTCGGTTCACAGTAATGCAATTAACAAAAACATTACACATACCTGAAAAATGGGTTTGGGGGTTTTTCTACCGCAGATTGATAAGCGTGGACTAGATATATTGTGGTGATGATTAAAAGTGGATAAAAACTAGTTAATTGCATCCGCCATGGAGCCAGTTTCATAATATTACCATATGTCCGAGCTGCTTGCCGTAGTTTTGAAGTAATGGTGAAAAAAAACGGGCCTTATTTTAGGGCATTTTTCAACCTGCCAGCTCGTATTAGTTGTATTTGTACCAACAGCTAGAATAACTCAAAATGCTCATAATATGTTCTGAGAAACTACACACAGAATTTTAAAATGTAAATTCTATATTGCACATTTCTCCTGTTTTCTCTCTGTCCTTGATAAGATGGACATGCAATTGGAAACCAATGGAAAGTGTCCAATGTGCCAATCAATGACTTGTTCTGAGGCTGAGTTTAGAAACTGATAAGGAGGATGCATCATCCTCTCTAGTCGAGATATGAGACCATTATAGAAACTGATAAACTCCACCACACAAATCTGTGTAATAGGATAAATTCATGAACTAAACAATTTCGTATGTGATTTCCTAAATCAAACATGAAAAAGAGCTCACAATATAACTGCATACTTTCCATCTGTCAATAATCGCTGGCATTTTTTTACACCAGTACCTGCCTTCTGCTAAAGCCATTAACCAAAGTTCTGAGCCCACGACATCACTGTGTGAACCATTAATTGTGTAATATTGGTGGACATCAGATGTCAGTCTGACATGGTGGTTAGCTCTTACCTGGGGGAATAAGATGCCAAGCAGCAAGCCAGCCATTGTCTTATAGTTATCCATTAACCAGATGAAGACAGCATCAGTACAACCTCTGATGTAGATGTCGTTCTGCAAGGCCAGCCTCTGACAGGAGGGACACAATGTACAGTGTAAACATGGAATGGCAGGCCTGTGTGTGAATACGTACATGGCCACGGGGAAGATGTTTGGGGGTGGGGGTACTGCTACACCACTACTTCTAACAGCTATGAATACGTATGATTGATGTGTGTGATATGGTCTTTCATATGTGTTTAAAAAGCAAAGATTAATTTGACACTTTGGTTATTTGTCTGCACTGTTCCTTTGTATGACATCGGTACACATCCATTTCACATTTAGACTTCCACATTTCAGAAATTGAGACGGTGAGAGACAACATTTCGTTCAGACTGTCTTACCTCTTTGTCAAGGAGCTTATATCCACATAGTGTGTTGGCAACTTCATTAGGCTGAAAAGGCAAGATAACACTACGTCAAAGCGATGTAACATATTTCAACACATTATTGGCAGGTTACACAAGCATATTTGAAGTTAGGATACATTTGATGAGGATTATCCAGAGAATTCAGCATCTTGAGGAATCTCCTCTACAATCTCAATTTGCTTTTCTCAAACAGTGTCAAACAGCTTGATGCTTGTGTGTGTACAAAGTTGTGGGAAAGTTAATAAAATGTCTAAACGTGGGAACCCTTTGACTTGTCGATCTTCTAAAATTGGTGTTAGAAATATTAGATCTCATGTCAAACAGGCTGGGAAGCCTTGGTCTAGTTGAACTATTTTAGAAGTTTGGCCCTTTGGCTAGTAGCCTGGGTAACAGTCTGTTTCAGCTAACATGCCACTCCTTGTCATGCTAATTACACAGAGTACAAGGAGTGGAATGTTAGCAAAACAGGTTCTGGATTTCAGGCTACTTGGAGTCCAGCTTATAGCTACATAGCCATTACCCCTCAGAGAGAGATCACAAATCAGTCATCGCATTAGGGAACACAAAACACAAGCCAACACAAAACTCTGCATGTTCAAATGATTTACACAATGGATATGTAGGCCAATATCCAGCCCGAGGACATGCTCAAAAGAGCAACCAATAAACCTATTTAAAATATTTGCTAAGACTTCGATTTAAAGATCTAATGTGTTATATTCTCCTACATTAATTTCACATTTCCTCAAACTTCAAAGTGTTTCCTTTCAAATGGTATCAAGAATATGCATATCCTTGCTTCAGGTCCTGAGCTACAGGCTGTTAGATTTGGATATGTCATTTTTGGCAAAAATTGAAAAAAAGGGTCCGATTTTTAAGAGGTTAAACATTGCCAAAAAGAAAAAACACGATCCCCATCATTTATTAAAAGGTAGAAACAGTAGACTGTAATAAGTGAGGGAAAACACACAACACATCAATGCAGCCCTGAATGACCTACACTAGAGAAATCTACTGGCTTCAGCTTTTTTTCCTGTGTACCTCTTTTTATAGACAAAATGATGCTGTGAGAAGTTGTCCATTGTATTTTACTTGAATTAATTCCACTTGAATGATAAAGGTATACATTATTCAGGGTATTTTGACACAAATATCCCTGAGCAACTGTGCATGTTCAGAAAACAACAATAGTGGTCTTTCAATCTTTTTGCTCAATGATGGCATGACCATGGGCATTTTGACAGGCATTTAAAAACAAATCGGACACTTCAGGAAAGTTGCCAAGTAGAGGCATTTGAAATGTCAATAGATCAAAATTGTTTAAAACAACAAGAGCTAAGACAGACATTTTCCAGACTGTTCCAATGTTTTATTCCCTTCAGAGACTGGATCTTAATTGTGGACAAACAATGCAAGGTTTTTTGTCTCACGCTTTTCTGTGAATCCTTGTGAGGTGTCAATATCTGGAGTTTAGAGATAAGAGAACACATTAAGCCAGATGGGCGGGGGTTTACCCTGAAGGTTCTCTGCTACTACATCTCAAATCCCAGCAACTATATGGAGAAAACCATGAGCTTGAAATATAGAGCGTGCATATTTTGACAAATCAGGTTAAAACTTGAAATCTGTGACAACATTAGACAAAAGGTTTCCATGTCCATAATCAGTTTAATAAATAGACTGAGTCTTTTTTACCTTTCCATTTAAAATCAGAACCACTATTAGGATTCAGAGCCATCAGGACAACATATTAGGATTCAGAGCCAGATCCTCTTACAGTGGCATGGCAGCATAACCCCCGTCCCCGGCTGCCTATGTCCTCTCTGTACTTCTTAATAGCACAAAGTGGTTGCCAGTTCTGCTGAGTGACACCCTGCCTGGTTAGCTGTGCTCTCAGAGAGAGAGAGGGAGAGGAGAGAGGAGATGGTAAAAGCTCACATCCACAGACAGCACTCACAAAACATGGGGTCTCTACGTCTCCCCTCCCAGAGGGCCGGAGCCCTAGGACCGTGCCTGAGGACAGCCTGACCTGATGATTCCTGGCTGTTCCTTGTCCCCAGTCCACCTGTTCCAGCTGATGATCCAGTGCTGCTGTTCTGACTGCAGCTGTGGACCCTTGACCTAACTTCACCTGGCGCGCTACCTTGCCCCGGACCCCTGCTGATTGATGGTTTGTGTGTACCTTCTTACTTATACATTCAATTGCTTTCTCAGCAAATTAATAATGCAATGTTTTTTCAGTCAGATTTTTAGACAGTTCACAACATTAATCTTTTCAATAAATGTTTCTATTTAGCTATGAGTAAATACAGAACCAAATCACAGCCCCATGATGTTGATTAACGAAGATCACGATTACCCTCTTTCCCCATGTGCAATGTTTCTGGCAATGGTTGCAACATATAAAAAAGAAATGTTGACTCAAATTAGCACCTGACAACAATTTTCCCATTTTATTTCAGATGAGTAAGTCTGTGACCAGATAAATAAGAATTGCATTGCAAGCATTGCAAGCTGTGATATTAAAATCTGATGGCATTTGAGTCCCTCGCCTCTGCAACCATGAAAAACACTTTAAAATTACAAATAGTTGCACATCATACTGGTTTTTGTTTATATTGAACTGTTTATCAATGATAAAACATAATGCAAGTCCTTTATACTGCAAATCCTATATTTTAATGCATTGTTTAAAAGTACTAAGGGGAAGCAAATAGGCTTGTCCCAGTAGTGATGAGTAGAGTTGTAGTGACATATTTTTCGGATTTAGAAAAATCTATTATTTTGAATGCTAGAAAATAAACAAAAATAATTCATATATTGTATAGCTCAATAAAAACAAATAAGGCTATTCAAATAGTTTAAAACAAATATATATGTCCCTAAGTTTTATGTTATTGGTGTTACCACCTTGAAAATCAATCATTACAAAGTTATACAAGGACCTTGAGCATTCCCTCCAGTGGGAAACGTATCAGGCAAGGGGTCTATATTAAAGAAAATGAATCACAGCCTTTTAGTAGGTCATAAATTTGAGGATTCCATTGATAATTTAGTGCGTCTTAAGTAAAAAGTGTTATTGGTGTGACTCAATTTAAATGAAGAGGAATTACATTGTGAGCAAAAGTATTAATCATATCAATTCAGTAAATTATTTTTGAAGGATGAGCATCTGTGGTCACCATTTAAGAAAATCCTCAATTACCTATTTGTTATTGGCATTTTCGTCATTGGTGTTACTACTCCTACTGGTGGCACAATGTTATCATAATGATAACAATTATTTAAAGTCATTAAGCTGTCATATTAGTTGATGTAGAATGGGAAGAGGTACCCAAATAAATAAAAATAAAAATAATGCCACAATTCAAGAACGACCCTACTGTTAAATTTAGGGCTCAGAACAACAACATGTCATAGAAGGCATCTAGAGATGAACAGAGATCAAATCTAAGCTATTGATGAATAGTTTTCAACAAGTGTGCAAATGGATTAGGGTACATGCAGTGTTGTTATGGATGTGGTCTCCAATAAGGCCTAGTGGTTAGAGCGTTGGGCCAGTAACCGAAAGGTCGCTGGTTTAAGTACCAGAGCCGACAAGGTGAAAAATCTGTCGATGTGCCCCTTGAGCACTTAACCCTAATTTGCTCCAGGGGTGCCATACTACTATGGCTGACCCTGTAAAAACAACACATTTCACTGCACCTATCCGGTGTATGTGACAATAAAACATTCTCTGCTGAAACAATACAATGCTAAACAGCTCAGTTATGAGTGTAACTAACCAGAATTTTTCAGCCATTTGGAGAAAACAGGTTAGAGAGGCGGGCCAGTAACTGGAAGGTTGTCGGTTTGAAACACAGGGATGACGGATAAAAGCAGGCGGGAGTGAACTGCAGCCGGAGGGTTGCTGGCCTCATTATCCCCTATGCTAGCTACTGACGGTTTGCCCTCAAGCAAGAAACTTAAACCCCCAAAACTGCTCCACGGTCACTGCTCTGCTGAGCTGACCCTCTGCTGCTCCCAGCCTGTCGTGTGTGTGTGTGTGTTTGGGGTGTTGGGTTGGGTACTGTGACAGATTTTAATTTTATTTCAAATTTGCATTCAAATAGATTTAAATAAAGATCTATTATATTGTAATTTGCATAATGAGCTCTTGATGGAAGAGCAGCAGAGACCTTGTTTTGGAGGCAGCAGGTGTAAGGCACTCCACAAGCCAGCGGCCCAGGAGCTGTACAGTTATGGTACATGTTCACTTCCCAGTCTTTGTACTCCTGCCCTCCACAACACTTGAACTGTAAAGAACAGACAGAAACAAACACAGCTGTATTAATAATCAAAACAGTTATAGAATAGTATGCCTGTACCAATATTCCAAAACATCCTGTTTGCAACAATGCACTAAAGTAATACTGCAAAAAACGTTTGTGTTATGTTTGGGGCAAATCCAATACAACACATTACTGAGTACCACTCTCCATATATTCAAGCATAGTGGTGGCTGCATCATGTTATGGGTATGCTTGTAATCGTTAAGGACTGGGGAGTTTTTCAGGATAAAAAAGAAACGGAATGGAGCTAAGCACAGGCAAAATCCTAGAGGAAAACCTGGTTCAGTCTGCTTTCCACCAGACACTGGGAGATTAATTCACCTTTCAGCAGGACAATAACTTAAAAAACAAGGCCAAATCTACACTGGAGTTGCTTACCAAGAAGACAGTGAATGTCCGAGTTACAGTTTTGACTTAAATCTGCTTGGAAATCTATGGCAAGACCTGAAAATGGTTGTCTAGCAATGATCAACAACCAACTTGACAGAGCTTGAAGAATTTAAAAAAGAATAATGTGCACATTTTGTAAAATCCAGGTGTGCAAAGCTCTTAGAGACTTACCCAGAAATTGTTGTTAGTTTGAACTTCAAGTACAATTTCAAACTTTTCTTCTCTGGTACAGCAAGGTTGTTTACACATTGAGCTTTTGCAATTACTATAATTTACAAGAGCTGAGATACACACTGTGGATCTGCTTTCTTCCAATCTCATACCGGAAAAGGCTCTTAAAACACCTAGAGCAATTTGCTAGTAATTATTTCAATTAGCTGGATAGGATTCTCTGACAGTTAAGTGTATAGCATTATGCTTGTGAAACATAATTTGGTCATTTAGAACCCTGTAAAGTTTCAGTAAAGGGATCAAAATTAACACCGTTATTAAGAATGTCCAGAGGTAAATTCCACCTTATTCTTGAATAATATGGATATTCACTATTCTGCATTCATTCATTGAGCCAACTGCTGTCATGGGGGAATGTATGAATAAATATTAGTCCACTTTTTGTTTTTCTTCGAGCAGCGGCATTCGTATGACAGTCCCCCAACTCATTTGAATGGCTCTGCATCTCAAATACAGCTAGGGTAATTACTTCAGCATTTAGCTAGTTTCAGTAAACTAGTCACTCTTAGTAGAGTGGCTTTTTAAATCTAGATTGTAAGAGAATCATTTAGAAAAATCAGGGCATCTTTACCTATGAACACGTTTATTCCTGAAGAAAACCCACAAACAAACATGGATGTGATGATGGAGAACTAAATAAGATACAGTGGCTCTGACATGATTGAGTTACAAGAACATGAGGTAAAGCACAGGCAAAGTTCACCAACGAACTATCATGGTCCAAACACACCAAGACAGTCGTGAAGAGGGCACGACAAAGCCTATTCCCCCTCAGGAGACTAAAAAGATTTGGCATGGGTCCTCAGATCCTCAAAAAATTCTACAGCTGCACCATCGAGAGCATCCTGACTGGTTGCATCACCGCCTGGTATGGCAACTGCTTGGCCTCTGACCGCAAGGCACTACAGAGGGTAGTGCGTACGGCCCAGTACATCACTGGGGCAAAGCTCCCTGCCATCCAGGACCTCTATACCAGGCGGTGTCAGAGGAAGGCCCTCAAAATTGTCAAAGACTCCAGCCACCCTAGTCATAGACTGTTCTCTCTGCTACCGCACGGCAAGCGGTACCGGAGTGCCAAGTCTAGGTCCAAAAGACTTCTCAACAGCTTCTACCCCCAAGCCATAAGACTCCTGAACAGCTAATCATGGCTACCCGGACTATTTGCACTGCCCCCCCACCCCATCCTTTTTACGCTGCTGCTACTCTGTTAAGTATTTATGCATAGTCACTTTAACTCTACCCACATGTACATATTACCTCAACTACCTCAACTAGCCGGTGCCCCCGCACATTGACTATGCAACGGTACCCCCCTGTATATATAGCCTCCCTACTGTCACTTTATTTTACTGTATATATAGCCTCCCTACTGTCACTTTATTTTACTTCTGCTTTTTTTTTCTCAACACGTTTTTGTTGTTGTTTTATTCTTACTTTTTTGTTTAAAATAAATGCACTGTTGGTTAAGGGCTGTAAGTAAGCATTTCACTGTAATGTCTGCACCTGTTGTATTCGGCGCATGTGACCAATAAAATTTGATTTGATTTGAGATCTTGGTTGTGCTTAGGGAGGTTAGCAAGTAACCTTTTCTCCAGCAGATTGTACCAGCGCTATGCACCAACTCCATGGTTCAGCAAAGAGACCAAGTAGACCAGTTCAGACTTAGAGCGTAAGAACTAACCCAAGCCAAAGCAATACTCGTCCTAATCTAGAGATTAATAAACAAATACTGGCCTGTGCTAAAATGTTAAAATGTCAGTTTTGGACACACGCAAAACCTAGAAGCGAAATATATCACACCCGAGCCAGAAATCTAATTCAGCCATCTAGTGTTCTGCCAAAGAGGCTTGAGATATGCGCATCCATGAGTGCTATTAAAATACCCTGCTATAATTACAGTCATTACATACACAAGTAATGACTTGGAATAGCAGAGACCTTTGCTTTAAAAGCGTAAAGACCGACGTTGAACATTCACAAATGTTTTGCGTGTCGCTGCAAACTCATTTTAATAGTGTACCTTTTCACATTCCTGTAAAGTGAACGTTTTTTTATACGAATACATTTGCAGATGTCTCAAACCAGTTGCAGAATGTCAAGTCTCCCTAAAAAGCTGTGCCTCGGACGCCACTAAAACTATAATGTAAGACTTCCTACGGTACACAATACATACATTTCCCGCCAAGTCTCCAACTTGGCTGGCGAGACGCCTCAGAGTTAAAAGCAAACTGAACTACACTTACTCCCTCGCACTCTAAAAATAAGTCTGACGTAGACGCAAACACTTTCTAATCTGAAGCAGTTCAACATCTCACCATAAGCCTGCACTTAAGAAAAATATATTCTCTGAAAACCCTGTCAAAGTACCTAGGGGGAAAAGAGCTAGAACACAAAAACTCTTATTCAATAGTGAGTTTAGAAACAGTTTTCCTTTCTATTGATCTGGAAGGGTTTTCAAGGCTATAAAAGGGGACAGCAGCACTCACTCAATGCAGTTGTATTGATTTACCTCCTCCTATCAACAAGTCCAAACTAACACCACTACCTTCCTCAGTGGGGATTGTTAAAGCTCCTTTGTTTGACGCGCTTCAGGATATGTCAAACACATCACAGTTGGAGAAAATCGAGACGGTGTGACACAAAGTTCTATTACGGGAGACAGACAAAGCTGTCCTCCAACATTCAGTTCCAATTTACAAGTAGTTATTTCCTTCAACGGTTTTCCATTCTGCAAACAGCTTTGTGTTGCTCATGGAATAAAATATTGTGAGTATAATGCTCAAAATAAATCACAAATATAAACGTAGGTTGCTTTTCTATCATCAGTAGTCCTCCTGTGTAACAATTCATGTCAAAGCAGGATCGCTGGTGAAAATGAGTTCCCAATAACACATTTGGCCAAGGTTAGGTGTGAGAAGGAGAACTCCAAATGCTGCATGGACAGCATCCATCGTTCTCCCACCCAGTAGGAATCTTCTAATTACAACAAACCGCTCTTTGCCCTTGAGTCAAGTCTGCCAAACCCTACCACTATGTCACAAAGTGAATATCCACAAATTACATTTGGTCAACAGCAATGAAAAACACAATAAAGGATCTCAGAGGCAAAAGCTGGCAAACAGTTTAAAAGAAAATCCTCTTATCTTTCAAACAGAAATCTTACCTTTCTCTGAACAAAGTCCATGATGTTTTTGAAATCCAGATCATCGTAGTAATTCACTATTCCTTTGCGAATGTTTTTGTTTAAGAGATCCACAGTCTATGGTGGAAAAGAAAAATAGAGGTATGAAATGTATTAAGACTGTAGGGTTGAGATATTAGTGTGTAGGCAGCTTTATAACAATTGAATACATTTAAAAATGGGGAACTCTTCACTGACCAACACTTGAGCTCTCCCTATATTGCTCCTCTCAATAAAAACGACCTACATTTCTGTCATGAGCAATTCCTCAGAGACAAATTACTGTGTAACCTATTTTTGATAGGCTCATGTTCAGACTTGAGACGTTTAAATACAATTCAAACCTTTCAATAACATGTATTTCACCATTGGAGGATTAGTTACTGTTGAGATTTGAATGGCAATTCTCTCTCTACAGATTAGACCAGTCATTGCTGTTTAAATTTTAACTGAAATATTTATGAAATATTGAAATGCTGTGCTTCTATAACTTTCTCCATTCTTTTTCTTCTTCTGCCAAAAACATTCCTGAGTTTTCTACATCTAATCTTCAATACAGATCCAATGGAAGTGTGCTTATGAAGCTGATCTAGTTCTTGTCTTTGACACATCAGGAAAGGGTCATCATGCAATAAAAAAAAATTTAACTAGTTGATTTTTATTATTTATGAGGATATAAAATTAAGTGTCTCACATTCTCAGAAGTTAAAGTGGCTTATCAGATTGCCGGTGGGGGGGCTAAAAAAATATATATCTATAAATGTATTGTATGAATCCTATGAATTGAGATAATAAAAACTTGATGTAAAATAAGTTAAAGTGGCTTAACAATGTAAAGGCCAGAAATCGTTCACATATTTAAAAACACAATGGGAATGGAATTTCATAGACAATACATTTGAAAATGCCTACATGGAAACCACAAGTGGCAATCTGAAATCAAATTGGCAGTTAATATCCTGATAACAAAACAAATGATTTAGTCCCACTCCGTTAACGTATTGTAATGTAGACGTTTCATTAACTTGGTAGCGCTCCAACTTAAAGCAGCAATCAGCAGTAGAAACAATAGCAAAGCACCTCCCAGACACCGTTTTGGTAAAAAGCTGAAGGATGGGGCTAGAGAAATGTAACCACTCTCAAATTCATAGACAGAGCTATTGGTGCAAGGATCCATGATATCAAAATTATAGTTTTAACCATCTTGAGGCTATATAGTGTTTGTTTACATTTACTTTGTTTACAAACATTGGAGTAAAACAAGCTTATATTTTGGGCTCTGATGGGGTACGACAGTTGAAATAAGCTCATGAGGCATTTATAAGTTATATTCTTCAAGAATAAATGGGTACACATCATTCATTTATACATCCAAAAATGGATGTAGCAGCTGCTGATTGTCCCTTTAAAATCAGAACTTTGCACAAGCCCAGGTAAATGTATCCAATAAGAGATGGCATGAGTCCTTTTTGTGTACATAGAGATTGAGAGAAAGCTAATGATTATGAGTTTAATAATGTAAAATAATTGGTACCTGATGCCTGAAAGCCAGAGCCAGAATGCCACCGAGGAGCTCCAGAACGAGACAGACTGTCAAGGTGTAGAGAAACTTAAAAAAAATATATATATATATATTTTTAAGGTTAATACACATAACAGTCAACTACAGAACAGTCAAGTTTAACAGTTGAATGGTCTAGTTAGCGTCCTTTTGATAATATCTTTGATCGTATTTTGCTAACCACAAAACCAAAGGTTAGCTCTGACATCTACACTGCTGCTGCTCTCTACCATTTTCAGCTAGGGCTCAGAATTATTTTTTATATATAAAAATAAATGTATTGGAAAACAAATGTATTGATCAATGATTGATGAAATTGAAGGGGTACCGATCTAAGATGTTGCTGATTGTATGCCTAATGTCTTTGAATATCAGGCTCAATTCAAAACTGCCTGTATTGTAGTTTCTGCATTGTAGCATTTTTTAAAGAAAAAAAAAACGTTCCCCAATGAATTAAAATTGTGGAATTTCTTTGGGGTAAAAATACCTTGCTTTTAGAAGAAAACAAAAAACTCAAATACATTCAAAAGGGAGTCGAACTATATAAAGGAATCAAATTCAAGACGTTACAAGTACTGGTGTCTCATTAAAAGTGGATGCAAGCATCTCAAATGTGATTAATATTCATTCGGTCATTAATTCATAAGAGCAAAGTGAAAAATGCAAAATGGATGAGGGCCTGCTACAGTATGATTACATATTTCAAATGTTGTCAACGCGGGTGGCCGGGGTGGCTAAACTGTGCCAAATGAATACTCAGTGATATTTATGTAGCTAGTGGACTTTCATTAGTGGTCGTCTTCATTATTTGTTTGACCTTGCAGACAAACCAAACTAAAAACAAACCAAGCTGCTTTGCAACGTTTATGGCTTAGCACATACTGATATGAGAGCTAAATAATCTCATGCCACTAGCACTGAAGACCTGAAATTATAGAGAAATACTGTTTCAAGGAATGTACACAGTCACAGAAGCACATAAGGCTCATTCCATGTCCATGCAGTGAGTGTTGTAACTTGTAACTTCCTAGAATTTAACAACTGAAACCAATGGAATCGTACTGTAAAAAAGGCTGGCCCTCTTAACCTGACTGGCCTTCAGACCTGTCAATCATCCCTCTCAATTCCAACCAATCAGGGTGCTTGGATGCACTCCAGGTCTCCACCACGCACACCTCAAGTCAGAGCATGTTCCCCTGCCGTCTCGAGAAGATTTGTGTAGTGACAGACTCTTACATCACTGTTTTTCTATCTTGAAGTGTTATGCACCACCTACAGTGCATCCGGAAAGTATTCAGACCTCTTCCTTTCTCCACATTTTCTTACGTTACAGCCATATTCTAAAATGGATTAAATAAATAACAAATCCTCAATCTACACACAATACCCCATAATGACAAAGCGAAAACAGTTTTATTTTTTGTGTGCAAAAAAACAAACAAAAAAACAATTATTTACATAAGTATTCAGGCCTTTTGCTCTGAGACTCGAAATTGAGCTCAGGTGCATCCTGTTTCCACTGATCATCCTTGAGATGTTTCTACAACTTGATTGGAGTCCACCTGTGGTAAATTCAATTGATTGGACATGATTTGCAAAGGCACACACCTGTCTATATAAAAGGTCCCACAGTTGACAGTGCATGTCAGAGCAAAAACCAAGCCATGAGGTCGAAGGAATTGTCCGTAGAGCTCCGAGACAGGATTGTGTCGAGGCACAGATCTGGGGAAGGGTACCAAAAAATGTCTGCAGGATTGAAGGTCCCCAAGAACAGTGGCCTCCATCATTCTTAAATGGAAGAAGTTTGGAACCACCATGACTCTTCCACCAACTGAGCAATCGGGGGAGAAGGGCCTTGGTCAGGGAGGTGACCAAGAACCCGATGGTCACTGACAGAGATCCAGAGTTCCTCTGTGGAGATGGGAGAAACTTCCAGAAGGACAACCATCTCTGCAGCACTCCACCAATCAGGCCTTTATGGTAGAGTGGCCAGACAGAAGCCACTCCTCAGTAAAAGGCACATGACAGCCCACTTGGAGTTTGCCAAAAGGCACCTAAAGGACTCTCAGACCATGAGAAACAAGATTCTCTGGTCTGATGAAACCAAGATTGAACTCTTTGGCCTGCATGCCAAGCGTCATGTCTGGAGGAAACCTGGCACCATCCCTACAGTGAAGCATTGTGGTGGCATCATGCTGTGGGGGTGTTTTTCAGTGGCAGGGACTGGGAGACTAGTCAGGATCGAGGGAAAGATGAACGGAGCAAAGTACAGAGAGATCCTTGATGAAAACCTGCTACAGAGCGTTCAGGACCTCAGAATGGGGCGAAGGTTCACCTTCCAACAGGATAATGACCCTAAGCACACAGACAAGACAACGCAGGAGTGGCTTCGGGACAAGTCTCTGAATGTCCTTGAGTGGCCCAGGCAGAGCCCGGACTTGAACCCGATCAAACATCTCTGGAGAAACCGAAAATAGCTGTGCAGCGACACTCCCCAACCAACCTGACAGAGCTTGAGAGTATCTGCAGAGAATAATGGGAGAAACTCCCCAAATACAGGTGTGCCAAGCTTGTTGCGTCATACCCAAGACAACTCAAGGCTGTAATTGCTGCCAAAGGTGCTTCAACAAAGTACTGCGTAAAGGGTCTGAATACTTATGTAAATGGGATATTTCTATTTTGTATTTTTAATACATTTTCAAACATTTCCAAAAACTTGTTTTTGCTTTGTCATTGTGGGATAGTGTGTACATTGATGAGGGGGGGTAAACAATTTAATCAATTTTAGAATAAGGCTGTAACGTAACAAAATGTGGAAAAAGTCAGGAGGTCTGAATACTTTCTGAATGCACCAAATATAAAACCTAATGGACGCAGCTGTGTCCACGTACGTGTGTGTGTGTGTGTGTGTGTGTGGTGGTGACCAAGTTACAGTGATGGGCCTCAACATCATGTTCTAACTGAACAGATCTATAGTTGTCAGAACCAAAACCAATCAGCATTAAGTTTATAGCGGGTGAGGGCATATCCAGCCAACCTCTCAGATGAGCTCAAGCTAGCCGTTTTTACATTGTCCTACTGTTCGCCGGATTTAGCGACCAACCCTTTTTTCAGGTACAATGGAACCAATGGAGTAGTCCCAAAAGTGTAAAGCCCAAGGTAAATAAAGCACAGCTTAAATACATGAACATATTGTATTTGACATACAGTGCATTCAGAAAGTATTCACACCCCTTGACTTACTACACATTTTGCTGTGTTAACAGCCTGAATTCAAAATGTATTAAATATATTTTTTCCCCCTCACCCATCTACACAAAACACCCATAATGACAAAGTGAAAACATGTTTTTAGTCATTTTTGCAAATGTATTGAAAATGAAATACAGAAATATCTCCTTTCCATAAGTATTCACACCCCTGAGTCAATATCTTTGGCAGCAATTACAGCTGTGAGTCTTTCTGGGTAAGTCTCTAAGAGCTTTGCACACCTGGATTGTACAATATTTGCAAATTTTTCTTTTTAAAATTCTTCAAACTCTGTCAAGCTGGTTGTTGATCATTGCTAGACATCCATTTGAGTCTTGCCATATATATTCAAGCCGATTTAAGTCAAAACTAACTAGGCAATTCAAGAACATTTAATGAATGTCGTCTTAGTAAGCTACTACAGTGTATTTTTGGCCTTGTTTTAATTTGTTGTTCTGCTGAAAGGTGAATTCATCTCAGAGTGTCTGGTGGAAAGCAGACTGAACCAGGCTTTCCTCTAGGATTTTGCCTGTGCTTAGCTCTATTCCGTTTATTTTTATCAACAACAAAAACACTCCCTAGCCCTTGCCGATGACAAGCATACACATAACATGATGCAGCCACCACTATGCTTGAAAATATGAAGAGTAGTACTCAGTGATGTGTTGTGTTGGATTTGCCCCAAACATAACACTTTGTATTCAGAACATAAAGTACATTTCTTTGCCACATTTTCTGCAGTTTTACTTTAGTGCCTTATTGCAAACAGGATGCATGTTTTGGAATATTTTTTATTCTGTACAGGCTTCCTTCTTTTCACTCTGTCATTTAGGTTAGTATTGTGGAGTAACTACAATGTTGTTGATACATCCTCAGTTTTCTCCTGTCACAGCCATTAAACCCTGTAACTGTTTTAGAGTCACAATTGGCCTCATGGTGAAATCCCTGAGCGGTTTCCTTCCTCTCCGGCAACTGAGTTAGGAAGGACGCCTTTATCTTTGTAGTGACTGGGTGTATTGATATACCATTCAAAGTGTAATCAATAACTTCACCATGCTCAAAGAGATATTCAATGTCTGCTTTTTGTTTTTTTTACCCATCTACCAATAGGTACCATTCTTTACGAGGCATTAGAAAACCTCCCTGGTCTTTGTTATTGATTCTGCTTGAAATACACTGCTCGACTGAGGGATTTTACAGATAATTGTATGTTTGGGGTACAGAGATTACGTAGTCATTCAAAAATCATGTTAAACACCATTATTGCACACAGAGTGAGTCCACAGCACATCTTTACTTCTGAACTTTATTTTTTATTTTTACCTTTAATTTAACTAGGCAAGTCAGTTAAGAACAAATTCTTATTTACAATGACGGTCTACACCGGCCAAACCCGGACGACGCTTGGCCAATTGTGCGCCGCCCTATGGGACTCCCAATCACGGCCGGTTGTGATACAGCGTGGAATCGAACCAGGGGGTCTGTAGTGATGCCTCAAGCACTGAGATGCAGTACTTTAGATCGCTGCGCCACTCGGCAGCCCCAATTTATTTAGATGTGCCATAACAAAGGGGTTGAATACTTATTGACTGAAGACATTTCAGCTTTTCATTTTTTATTAATTTGTAAATATTTCGAAAAACATAATTCCACTTTGACATGATGGGGTATTGTGTATAGGCTAGTCACACAAAATCTAAATGTAATCCATTTTAAATTCAGGCTGTAACACAACAAAATGTGGGAAAAGGGTGTGAATACTTTCTGAAGGCACTGTATGCATTTGACCCAGGTCTGGTGTGTAGTGAACCTGATGAACCTCAAGCCTATATCACAGTGTTGTATGTAATTGTGTGAGTCTACTACTCACCACTTTGAGGAGCAGCAGGTTGTCCCTGAGGGAGGCTAACACGCCGATGAACGAGACAATGAACATCACCACCCCCAGGACGATCAGGATGACGGCGGGGGCCAGGAACACCCCATCCAGGGTTTTGTAGCGCTGCCGCTCCACCTCCGCATAGATACCGATGGCTAGGATGAACCCCCCAACCAGCTACCGGATATAGAGACATGGAGATGAGAGAATTTAGTATAGGGGACAAGAGTGGTTACCTATACAGAATGTTTACTTATAAAATGGGTTGTTCCACCCCCCAGTATCCATGTTCCAGGCCCCTTCTGAATAGTGTAACTTGGTAAAGAAAAAAAAATTAAACACGATAATTTCACCTAATTTTAACATTCTTCCTTAAAAGAGCACATATTCAACTTTTTTTATTTTATTCTGTTTTTCCATCAAGATAAAAAATAAATAAAAATGACTATAGTAAGTACCTATTAAGTGCCAAATGGGTTGGGGTTATCTTTGCATGCATTTCTTTGATAGTTTTTTTGTACCTGTATCTGAGTTGCAGTTCAAATAAGGAAATCAGTAAATTGAAATAAATTCATTAGGCCCTAATCTACGGATTTCACATGACTGGGAATACATATATGCATCTGTTGGTCACAGATACAAACATTTGTAGGGGCGTGGATCATTTGCCTCATGCAGCGCGACACATCTATCACAGAGTTGATCAGGCTGTTGATAGTGGCCTGTGGAATGTTGTCCCACTCCTCTTCAAATGGGGGGGAACTGGAGGGGAATATTGGGGGGGGAACTGGAACACGCTGTCGTACACGTCGATCCAGAGCATCCCAAACATGCTCAATGGATGACATCTCTGGTGAGAATGCAGGCCATGGAAGAACTGGGAAATGTTCCGCTTCCAGGAACTGTGTGCAGATCCTTGCGACATGGGGCCGTGAGGTGATGGCGGCAGATGAATGGCACGACAATGGGCCTCGTCACGGTATCGCTGTGCATTCAAATTGCATCGATAAAATGCAATTGTGTTCGTTGTCCGTAGCTTATGCCTGCCCATACCATAACCCCACTGCCACCATGGGGCACTCTGTTCACAACGTTGACATCAGCAAACCGCTCGCCCACACAACACCATACACGCTGTCTGCCATCTGTCCGGTACAGTTGAAACCGGGATTAATCTGTGAAGAGTGGATGTCAGTGGCCATCGAAGGTGAGCATTTGCCCACGGAAGTCGGTTACAATGCCAGTAATATATTTAGACTACTTAGCATTTGTCTGGGCTTGCTAGCAGTAGCCAGTAACCCTGGGCGGGGCATTGCACCCTGGGAAGTGAAATGCACTCTGAGAATCGTAGTATACTTTTTGTAGGCACTAATTCCGCCATGGTTAGTTGGACAAAGCCTATGGGTTTCTAGCTAGTATGCTAACTATCTGGCTGAATAAGTTGACGATGTACTCACTCAAACTGTCAAAACTAACCCAAAACTTAACACAACGTTAGACACGGACACGAATGATCTGCTTGGCGTGTTAACACACTGGTGGTTTGTTGTAACCGAGTATTGGTGCTAAACCGTGTTATTGGAGGCTGGCATGCTAGTTGGCTATGGCGTCATAGGAGTCGGTGCCCTGGACGGGTTTCACGGAAGATTACTGTACCAAGTTAGCTAGCTGAATAAACTAAGTTAGAGTCTATTCCTAGAAAACATTGAACCGCTGTAGTTTACAACAATTATAATTTCTAAAGTGGAAATTGGGAGAATTATATTTGAGTGTTTCAGTGAAACGTAAGTGAGGGAGGCCCCGCTCTCTCGCTTTCCCAGATGTTTAGTTCATTTCATTCCGATATCCTTTGCATTATTGTAGCCGTTTTCTGTAGCCTGTCAACTATGTGTCTGTCTATCCCTGTTCTCTCCTCTCTGCACAGGCCATACAAACGCTTCACACCACGTGGCTGTTGCCACTAATCTGGTGGTCCCTGTGCGCACGACCCTCGTGGAGTTCCAGGTCTCTGGGAGCCTCTGGAACTGCCGTTCTGTGGCCAACAAGGCAGATTTAATCTCAGCCTATGCTACCCTCCAGTCCCTCGACTTCTTGGCACTGACGGAAACATGGATTACCACAGAAAACACTGCTACTCCTACTGCTCTTTCCTCGTCTGACCATGTGTTCTCGCATCCCCCGAGAGCATCTGGTCAGCGCGGCGGTGGCACAGGAATCCTCATCTCTCCCAAGTGGACATTCTCTCTTTTTCCCCTGACCCATCTGTCTATCTCCTCATTTGAATTCCATGCTGTCACAGTCACCAGCCCATTCAAGCTTAACATCCTTGTCATTTATCGCCCTCCAGGTTCCCTTGGAGAGTTCATCAATGAGCTTGACGCCTTGATAAGTTCCTTTCCTGAGGATGGCTCACCCCTCACAGTTCTGGGTGACTTTAACCTCCCTACATCTGCCTTTGACTCTTTTCTTTCTGCCTCCTCCTTTCCACTCCTTTCCTCTTTTGACCTCACCCTCTCACCGTCCCCCCTTACTCACAAGGCAGGCAATACGCTTGACCTCATCTTTACTAGATGCTGTTCTTCTACTAATCTCACTGCAACTCCCCTCCAAGTCTCTGACCACTACTTTGTATCCTTTTCTCACTCGCTCTCCTCCAACACTACTCACTCTGCCCCTACTCAGATGGTAATGTGCCGTCGCAACCGTCGCCCTCTCTCTCCCGCTAATCTCTCCTCTTCCATCCTATCATCTCTTCCCTCTGCTAAATCCTTCTCCCTCCGATCTCCTGATTCTGCCTCCTCAACCCTCCTCTCCTCCCTTTCTGCATCTTTTGACTCTCTATATCCCCTATCCTTGCGAGCTCACAAAAGAGGGCTCCGGGCAGCCGAGCGGAAATGGAGGGCCTGTCATCTTTTCACTCCCTCCTCTCTACATTCTCTTCCTCTGTTTCCGCTGCCAAACCACTTTCTACCACTCTGAATTTCAAGCCTCTGCCTCTAACCCTAGGAAGCTCTTTGCCACCTTCTCCTCCCTGCTGAATCCTCCTCCTCTTCCTCCCCCTCCCTCTCTGTGGATGACTTCGTCAACCATTTCGTAAAGAAGGTTGATGACATCCGATCCTCATTTATTAAGTCAAATGACACCGCTGGTCCTGCTCACACTGCCCTACCCTATGCTTTGACTTCTTTCTCCCCTCTCTCTCTCCAGATGAAATCCTGCAACTTGTGACGGCCGGCCGCCCAACAACCTGCCCTCTTGACCCTATCCCCTCCGCTCTTCTCCAGACCATTTCCGGAGACTTTCTCCCTTACCTCACCTCGCTCATCAACTCATCCTTGACCGCTGGCCTTGTCCCTTCCGTCTTCAAGTGAGCGAGAGTTGCACCCCTCCTCAAAAAACCTACACTCGATCCCTCCGATGTCAACAACTACAGACCAGTATCCCTTCTTTCTTTTCACTCAAAAACTCTTGAACGTGCCGTCTCCAGCCAACTCTCCTGCCATCTCTCTCAGAATGACCTTCTTGATCCAAACCAGTCAGGTTTCAAGACTGGTCATTCAACTGAGACTGCTCTTCTCTGTGTCACGGAGGCTCTCCGCACTGCTAAAGCTAACTCTCTCTCCTCTGCTCTTATCCTTCTAGACCTATCCGCTGCCTTTGATACTGTGAACCATCAGATCCTCCTCTCCACCCTCTCCGAGTTGGGCATCTCCGGCGCTGCTCACTCTTGGATTGCGTCCTACCTGACAGGTCGCTCCTACCAGGTGGCGTGGCGAGAATCTGTCTCCGCACCACGTGCTCTCACCACTGGTGTCCCCCAGGGCTCAGTTCTAGGCCCTCTCCGATTCTCTCTACACACCAAGTCACTTGGCTCTGTCATATCCTCACATGGTCTCTCCTATCATTGCTACGCAGACGACACACAATTAATTCTCTCCTTTCCCCCTTCTGATAACCAGGTGGCGAATCGCATCTCTGCATGTCTGGCAGACATATCAGTGTGGATGTCGGATCACCACCTCAAGCTGAACCTCGGCAAGACGGAGCTGCTCTTCATCCCGGGGAAGGACTGCCCGCTCCATTATCTCGCCATCACGGTTGACAACTCCATTGTGTCCTCCTCCCAGAGTGCAAAGAACCTTGGTGTGACCCTGGACAACACCCTGTCGTTCTCCGCTAACATCAAAGCGGTGACCCAATCCTGCAGGTTCATGCTCTACAACATTTGCAGAGTATGACCCTACCTTACACAGAAAGCGGCACAGGTGCTAATCCAGGCACTTGTCATCTCCCGTCTGGATAACTGCAACTCGCTGTTGGCTGGGCTCCCTGCCTGTGCCATTAAACCCCTACAACTTATCCAGAACGCTGCAGCCCGTCTGGTGTTCAACCTTCCCAAGTTCTCTCATGTCACCCCGCTCCTCCGCACACTCCACTGGCTTCCAGTTGAGGCTTGCATCTACTACAAAACCATGGTGCTTGCCTACAGAGCTGTGAGGGGAATGGCACCTCCTTACCTTCAGGCTCTGATCAGACCCTACACCCAAACGAGGGCACTACGTTCATCCACCTCTGGCCTGCTAGCTCCCCTACCTCTACGGAGGCACAGTTCCCGCTCAGCCCAGTCAAAGCTATTCGCTGCTCTGGCACCCCAATGGTGGAATAAGCTCCCCCACGATGCCAGGACAGCGGAGTCACTGACCACCTTCCGGAGACACTTGAAACCCTACCTCTTTAAGGAATACCTGGAATAGTATAAAGTAATAGATATTCTATTTGTTATTTTATTTGTTCTAAGAGTTAAACACATAGTTCAATGTAAAAAAATAATAATAATAATAAAAAGCCCAGTGGTTATTCTGTAAATTTAGCTAATACGCTTTTTTTTGTTGTCGTGGTATCATTTCAGTATTGAGTATCGTTTCGGTATAGAGTATTATGATACTAAATCTGGTATCGAAGTCAAATATCTGGTATCATGACAACACTACCAAGCGGTGATGCAGCCAGTCAAGATGCTCTCGATGGTGCAGCTGTAGAACTTTGAGGATCTGAGGGCCCATGACAAATATTTTCAGCCTGCTGAGGGGGGAAGAGGCATTGTCGTGCCTTCTACAATATTATGTTGATGTGTTTGGACAATGGTAGGTCCTTAGTGATGTGGACACAGAGGAACTTGAAGCTCTCGACCCGCTCCACTACAGCCCCATCGATGTGAATGGGGGCGTGCTTGCCCATCCGTTTCCTGTAGTCCACGATCAGCTACTTTGCTGACAATGAGGGAGAGGTTATTGTCCTGCACCACACTGCCAGGTCTCTGACCTATAGGCTGTTTCATCATCGTTTGATGATCAGGCCTACCACTGTCGTGACGTAGGAAAACGTAATGATGTTGTGTTGTTGCCTACCCTCACCACCTGGGGGCGGCCCGTCAGGAAGTCCAGGATCCAGTTGCAGAGGGAGTCCCAGGGTCCTTAGATTAGTGATGAGATTTGAGGGCACAATGGTGTTGAATGCTGAGCTATAGTCAATGAACAGCATTCTCACATAGGTGTTCCTTTTGTCCAGGTGGGAAAGGGCAGTGTGGAGTGCAATAGAGATTGCGTCATCTGTGGATCTGTTGGGGCGGTATGCGAATTGGAGTGGGTCCAGGGTGTCTGGGATGATGGTGTTGATGTGAGCTATGATCAAAGCATTTCATGACTACAGATGTCGAAAAAGAAAGGAAATTCTTGCCTACTTCACCCATATTTTATTTTTTGCAGAAAAAAGTAGTGTGTAGTTCCAGTAATTAGCTACACCGCAAAAATATAATTAACTACTGAAAAGACTACCTAGATTTGATTCAGTACAACTACCACCAAGCTACTGCAAAATTAAGTTGATAAATTACTAGTTGAACTACATGTAGTTCACTACTCCAATACTGGAATTTGGGCACTTTAGCAAGTCTTTATTCATATACAGTTGAAGTCGGAAGTTTACATACACTTAGGTTGGAGTCATTAAAACTCATTTTTCAACCACTCCACAAATTTCTTGTTAACAAACTATAGTTTTGGCAAGTCGGTTAGGACATCTACTTTGTGCATGACATAAGTAATTTTTCCAACAATTGTTTACAGACTGATTATTTCACTTAGAATTCACTGGATGACAATTCCAGTGGGTCAGAAGTTTATATACCCTAACTTGAATGTGCCTTTAAACAGCTTGGAAAATTCCAGAAAATGTTGTCATGGCTTTAGAAGCTTCTGATAGGCTAATTGACATCATTTGAGTCAATTGGAGGTGTACCTGTGGATGTATTTCAAGGCCTACCTTAAGCTCAGTGCCTCTTTGCTTGACATCATGGGAAAATCAAAAGAAATCAGCAAAGACCTCCACAAGTCTGGTTCATCCTTGGGAGCAATTTCCAAACGCCTGAAGGTACCACGTTCATCTGTACAAACAATAGTACGCAAGTATAAACACCATGGGACCACGCAGCACTCATACCGCTCAGGAAGGAGACGCGTTCTGTCTCTGAGAGATTAACGTACTTTGGTGCGAAAAGTGCAAATCAATCCCAGAACAACAGCAAAGGACCTTGTGAAGATGCTGGAGGAAACAGTTACAAAAGTATCTATATCCACAGTAAAACGAGTCCTATATCGACATAACCTGAAAAGCCTCTCAGCAAGGTAGAAGCCACTGCTCCAAAACCGCCATAAAAAAGCCAGACTACGGTTTGCAACTGCACATGGGGACAAAGATCGTACTTTTTGGAGAAATGTCCTCTGGTCTGACGAAACAAAAATAGAACTGTTTTGCCATAATGACCATCGTTATGTTTGGAGGAAAAAGGGGGGCTTGCAAGCCGAAGAACACCATCCAAAGTGTGAAGCATGGGGGTGGCAGCATCATGCTGTGGGGGTGCTTTGCTGCAGGAGGGACTGGTGCACTTCACAAAATAGATGGCATCATGAGGAAGGAAAATTATGTGGATATATTGAAGCAACATCTCAAGACATCAGTCAGGAAGTTAAAGCTTGGTCGCAAATGGGTCTTCCAAATGGACAATGACCCCAAGCATACTTACAAAGTTTTGGCAAAATGGCTTAAGGACAACAAAGTCAAGGTATTGGAGTAGCCATCACAAAGCCCTGACCTCAATCATATAGAACATTTGTGGGCAGAACTGAAAAAGTGTGTGCGAGCAAGGAAGCCTACAAACCGGAGTCAGTTACACCAGCTCTGTCAGGAGGAATGGGCCAAAATTCACCCAACTTATTGTGGGAAGCTTGTGGAAGGCTACCCGAAACATTTGACCCAAGTGAAACAATTTAAAGGCAATGCTACCAAATACTAATTGAGTGTATGTAAACTTCTGACCCACTGGGAATGTGATGAAAGAAATAAAAGCTGAAATAAATCACTCTACTATTATTCTGACATTTCACATTCTTAAAATAAAGTGGTGATCCTAACTGACCTAAGACAGGGAATTTTTACTAGGATTAAATGTCAGGAATTGTGAAAAACTGAGTTTATATGTATTTGGCTAAGGTGTATGTAAACTTCCGACTTCAACTGTAAAAAAAAAATCTGATTTATGTAGTTCAACTAGTAATTTAACTACATTTTGCAGTAGCTGGGTGGTAGTTGAACTGAATCAAATCTTGGTAGTGTTTTCAGTAGTTAATTATATGTTTTTACCATGTAGCGGTGCAGCTAACTACTGGAACTACACACTACTTTTTTCTGAAACAACAAATATGGGTGAAGTAGGCAAGACTTTCAAAACATTGCGTTGATTCAACCAGTTTGTGCCCAGTGGGATGGCTCCCTGCGGAGGGTAATTCATCAGTAAATAACATCTGTGCTAGATAACAGTTTAGATGTAATAGATTAACCATTGATTCAGAGTTCTTAGAGTATACAGTTCAATGCAAAGATTCATTCTAATTTGAGAGATTAAGGTTATTGGCAGTCCATTAGCCGATTAGTTTGCTAAGCATTAGTAGAAAAGCAATGCATCTGATCTTTTACTAAAAGTGTCAAAGTAATTCCAAAAAAGGAGAAGGGCTCTCTTTAAAAGTAATGACAATAGTTAATAGGAAACAATTTAAAATCACTTATTCACAACATGTTAATGCAAACACAGAAACACATTGGTTTAACAGTAAGTGAACTTTGAAAGTGAAATATTATATTTCTTCCAGCTTCCCTTGTTCATAGACCTTGGTTGGAAAGCGATTGCAGTTGCGATTGTATTCATTTTCTATTGGGAGTAGTATAATAATAAAAAAATATAATATGCCATTTAGCAGACGCTTTTATCCAAAGCGACTTACAGTCATGCGTGCATAATATTTTTTTTGTGTATGGGTGGTCCCGGGGATCGAACCCACTACCTTGGCGTTACAAGCGCCGTGCTCTACCAGCTGAGCTACAGAGGACCACAGTAGTAACTCCTCCAGCACTAATGAACCAGTATGTAATCCTGATCTATTATTACAAAGGTGACATTCTCCGGTGTTCATTACGTCCTATACCTGTGACAACGAATCAGTGTCTCTGGGTCTATGAATGTCTGTTTCCCCAGGTGGCAGGTGTGCCACAGGCAGCTGATTGGACAGCTTTCCCCGCTTCAGGGCCAAATAGATTTTCTCTTCAAACACCAATGCAGGGATTCTAGCATTGTGAGTAATTCAAAGAAACCGGCTGTGCACATAATGCCAGAGGTTTTAATTGCAAGTAGAACGCTCTGAGCTCTGCTGTTGCGATTGTGACTGTTCTGATGCTACAGGTGGTCGGTAATTGAAAGAGACACACCAAACAGCTATGAGGCGGCACTGCTTTCTGAACTGAGATTGATACTGCAATGTAGGCCTACACAGGAAAGTACAAGGCTTTTCGATCCCTTGATACCAGTCCAAATGGAGGGCGCTATATCTGGTTGCTAGGTAAACCTCCTCATCTACATGCAAACACACAAGGGAGGAACAGAGTTCGGCAGTAAACTGGCAATAGGCCTATACAGTGCTGTATAATACAGTCTCTACAAAATCCATAGGAAACATGATGGCTGTCATTCACAGAGCCTTTCCCAAACAAAAAAAAGATTGCAGTGTTGAAACTGCAATAAAAGTGCCTTAACTGCAGTCGACTGTGGTATTTTGGACGCAGTAATTGCAGAATAACTGCAGTGTAAAGCAGTTGAACTGCACTGTAACTGTAGTCCCGTGTAGCTCAGTTGGTAGAGCATGGCGTTTGCAACGCCAGGGTTGTGGGTTCGTTTCCCACGGGGGTCCAGTATGGAAAAAAATTAAAATATATATGTATGCACTCACTAACTGTAAGACGCTCTGGATAAGACCGTCTGCTAAATGACTAAAATGTAAAAATGTAACTGCACTACAGAGGACCACAGTAGTAACTCCTCCAGCACTAATGAACCAGTATGTAATCCTGATCTATTATTACAAAGGTGACATTCTCCGGTGTTCATTACGTCCTATACCTGTATACAGTGGGGAGAACAAGTATTTGATGCACTGCCGATTTTGCAGGTTTTCCTACTTACAAAGCATGTAGAGGTCTGTAATTTTTATCATAGGTACACTTCAACTGTGAGAGACTTAATCTAAAACAAAAATCCAGAAAATCACATTGTATGATTTTTAAGTAATTCATTTGCATTTTATTGCATGACATAAGTATTTGATACATCAGAAAAGCAGAACTTAATATTTGGTACAGAAACCTGTTTGCAATTACAGAGATCATACGTTTCCTGTAGGTCTTGACCAGGTTTGCACACACTGCAGCAGGGATTTTGGCCCACTCCTCCATACAGACCTTCTCCAGATCCTTCAGGTTTCGGGGCTGTCACTGGGCAATATGGACTTTCAGCTCCCTCCAAAGATTTTCTATTGGGTTCAGGTCTGGAGACTGGCTAGGCCACTCCAGGACCTTGAGATGCTTCTTACTCCTTAGTTGCCCTGGCTGTGTGTTTCGGGTCGTTGTCATGCTGGAAGATCCAGCCACGACCCATCTTCAATGCTCTTACTGAGGGAAGGAGGTTGTTGGCCAAGATCTCACGATACATGGCCCCATCCATCCTCCCCTCAATACGGTGCAGTCGTCCTGTCCCCTTTGCAGAAAAGCATCCCCAAAGAATGATGTTTCAACCTCCATGCTTCACGGTTGGGATGGTGTTCTTGGGGTTGTACTCATCCTTCTTCTTCCTCCAAACACGGCGAGTGGAGTTTAGACCAAAAACCTCTATTTTTGTCTCATCAGACCACATGACCTTCTCCCATTCCTCCTCTGGATCATCCAGATGGCCATTGGCAAACTTCAGACGGGCCTGGACATGCGCTGGCTTGAGCAGGGGGACCTTGCGTGCGCTGCAGGATTTTAATCCATGACGGCGTAGTGTGTTACTAATGGTTTTCTTTGAGACTGTGGTCCCAGCTCTCTTCAGGTCATTGACCAGGTCCTGCTGTGTAGTTCTGGGCTGATCCCTCACCTTCCTCATGATCATTGATGCCCCACGAGGTGAGATCTTGCATGGAGCCCCAGACCAAGGGTGATTGACCGTCATCTTGAACTTCTTCCATTTTCTAATAATTGCGCCAACAGTTGTTGCCTTCTCACCAAGCTGCTTGCCTATGGTCCTGTAGCCCATCCCAGCCTTGTGCAGGTCTACAATTTTATCCCTGATGTCCTTACACAGCTCTCTGGTCTTGGCCATTGTGGAGAGGTTAGAGTCTGTTTGATTGAGTGTGTGGACAGGTGTCTTTTATACAGATAAGTTCAAACAGGTGCAATTAATACAGGTAATGAGTGGAGAACAGGAGGGCTTCTTAAAAAAGAAGAAACAGGTCTGTGAGAGCCGGAATTCTTACTGGTTGGTAGGTGATCAAATACTTATGTCATGCAATAAAATGCAAATTACTTACTTAAAAATCATACAATGTGATTTTCTGGATTTTTGTTTTAGATTCCGTCTCTCACAGTTGAAGTGTACCTATGATACAAATTACAGACTTCTACATGCTTTGTAAGTAGGAAAACCTGCAAAATCGGCAGCGTATCAAATACTTGTTCTCCCCACTGTATGTATGCACTCACTAACTGTAAGACGCTCTGGATAAGACCGTCTGCTAAATGACTAAAATGTAAATGTAAAAATGTAACTGCACTTACACTGCAAAAAATTTATATATATATATTTTGGCTGCAGTATTTGTAGCGTACTGCAATCTTTTTTCGTAAGGGTTTGTATTCGTTTCTGTGTACAGTGTGCTCACAACACAGTAAAACGCTGTCCTAAGGTTAAACATACCATGTGGAATTGTGCACCAGAGGGTAAGGCAGCTTGTCTGTCTGCTGGTCTAGAGAGGAACATCAGCAGAGACAAGGGACCATGACCTCAAGCTGTCGCGAGTTGTGGAAGTAGTAAATCAGTGATCGCTAAAAGACGGTGCTCAAAGACAGTGCTCAAAGACGGTGCTGGTACGCATGAGTGTTCCCACAGGACAGAAAGTCAAACATACCCGGCCCTGTCACTGTCCTCTTAATAGAAGCAACTTCAGTGGAACAAAATACCATCCTTGGTTCTATTCATGAACCTCTTTTGATAATAGCGACTTGTTTTTCAATGGCTTATATGACTTTATATGGCATGACGGTAGGCTACTAAAAGCATCCAAGATGTAAGAGTTGACGTCAGTCCGAACGTTTCAGTGACTGTGTGAGTGCATCACTACTAGATATATTTAACAGGACACTCAATGCACATAAAATAACACTAATTAATCTAATTGCTGATGACTATTGCTAATGATAAGTACCTCTTGACTTGCATGTGATTCAGATAATCACGTCAAATCCTTAAAATGAAACACCTCCGTAAAAGGCATTTAGCTTCTCTTCTTTGATATCTAGGTCGTAGAATAATAATTTTTGCTTCAAATACTTGATATGTTTCCAGGTCAAATACTGTTACATTTTTTTTTCATATTCTAGTTGTTGAGCAGATACACACACTGTTGTTTAAAACAATACTGACAAATCCATAATCCAATACCCATCTGGTATTACGAGGGGGTCCAGACATTGCAACACATTGCCATGGCTCTGTGGATTCTCAACAACCTGCAGGGGTTCACATTCATCAGCCTGATTTTGTGACCTGACTCTTTATCTTACCATTCTTCCCTATGGCAAAGTACTCAATATCTGTATCAACTTATTGGAAGCAGCAAACAGTGAGCACATTATTATTTTAAAAAATTTTTTTTATCTATAAAAGCTGGATTTCAGCATGTTTCTATAAAAGAAAATGGACATCAGCAAAACTGTATAACGAACCTACATGCCACTATTCATGCACACACTCTGAAGCCTTGTGAGTGAACCTGGTGAAGCTACGTCACAGAGTCAGTGGACTGGAATACAACTCCTTGACAGAAATGCCTGCCAGGAGAAATCCAACAGATTGCAGCATTTTGTTTATGTTCACAGGAGGTTGGTAGCACCTTAATTGGGCAGGATGGGCTCATGGTAAAGGCTGGAGCGGAGTCAGTGGAATGGTATCAAATACATTAAACACCTGGTGTCCACATATTTGATCCCATTCCATTCTCTACGTTCTGGACATTATTATGAGCCGACATTATGAGCTTATAGGGAGACGCTTACCTTATATCTGAGACCAGTGCAGTTATACCTTTAATATTAGGCCTACAGGAATGCAAAGGCAAAACATTTGAGAAGGTAAAAACTCCATGCACGAAACATGAAATTATAAATAATTATCAGACTATAGGATTTTCATGCAGGATTCCTGTTGGATGACCTGCAGGATTTCCTGTCAATTTTCCAAACACTCACTTGGGTGAATCCGTCACTGAATACAGTCCCTCCTTTGAGTAACCATTTGATTTGTTCGTTCCTCCTTTGAGTAACTCAAAAGCTACTTTTCAAAGTTTGGCAACATAACAAACTTGGCAGATTGTTCCGAGCCAATATCTGTATGTGTGTGTGTATGTGTGTGTGTGGTGTCACTGTAGGTGTGTGAATGTGTGGTAGAGACTTGTGACAACACTAAAGATGCCCACATTTGAATCCATTATGCCCAGTAGTGGCCCACACAGCCATTATCAACACAATATTGTGTAGAAATATTGTTAACCCTAACAATGCAGGAACCTTGTTGGTCTATTCAGTCTCAAATCTATTCGCTTTATTGAAACCAAAGATTGTACAGGGTGAAACATGGTCTATTTGAATAACTGAAAACCCCTGAACAATGATTATTTCTTTACTCTCTATGCAAAACATCCATTTAAGGATCACCAATAAATATTCAGATCATCCATCAAGATCACAAAACATTGGTTCCATTTAACTATTGAAGAAAATAACCATGAAAGACATGTTTTGCTTGTTTAATGGATTTAAATGCCAACCTTGAGTATAGGGGGCATAATGCACTTTGTGCACCAACAATTTATCACAAGCCATTGTAGATCTCATTCTACTGACAGATGAAATAAGCTGGACTATAAAGATATCCTATGCACTAACTCTTCTCATGTATAATCCTTTATTTATCCAAACGTGACATGGCATTTATTAACACTTATACTGTCGGTCACATGCCCTTTAAAGCCACACACTGTCAAATGTGCATTCCATCAGACTCAGGAGTGAGCCACCAGCAAAAACATAAACAATGTAGCAAATTAATACCCCTGACATTTTCTTTGCAAATAGTACTTTATTTGCTATTTGCCAATACACATCCTCTAGAAAATATGACATTCCATGAGACCATCAATAGGCCTACTTTTGTTGTTATGGTAAGACAGTTGTAGGTAGCTAATCCTTCAAATTAATCGTGTATATCATTGAAATGGCAACAGTAGCCAGTGTGTAAAATGTCACCTCCAGAGGGTGTGGTTACGATACGACGTTCAGATGCCTATCAAACCACCAGCCCAAAATCCCAAAATGAACCGTGTGTAGGCTACAAGATCGGACACCTGTCGATCCAATCTAACTTTTAAGTTATCAACAATCCTAATAGGCTAGTGGACAATATTTACGCATTGCCCTTTTGTGTTTCACAAACACCATCAAGGAAGAATATTCATGGTTAAATGCGCGAGTCCGTTTATACGCCCTGTGTTATTTGCATAGAGTCTGTATTAAGCATAGGCTACTCACCCAGAAGATAGTGGAATATAAAATGAGGGCGAACTTTAGAAAGACGTAGGAGAACTTCTCGCAATATCTGACATCGTTGGACATGTTTGATCCCTCTTTCGATTCCGAACGTTGAACTTCCTGTTTCTTGTCCTCCACACCTGGAACTCTGTAAAAGCACCACCTGCCAGCAGTAAATATGATTTGACTGATAGACAGACGCCCCAATTAGGACACTGCGAATAATGACTGGAGCACTTCAGCCACTGTGGCTTCTGTTTTTAGTAGGGTCATTTAGTCGGTTTACTTCATACGTTTCCATTTTTGCGTTTCTTTGAATGTTCCTGTATTTCAGTTATTAAGGCAACATAATACGTTTTATGTTGCACTGTTGGTAGAAATTCAAAGATGTAGCCTAAAGTTTCTGAAATTACACACCAAACATATTTACTCGTAATTAACCTTTTAGTATTCATTTATATGGATGTAGGCTACATTGTATAAAACACCTGGTTTTAATATAGGCCTATACCAATATTATTGTTGCTTCCCCTTGTTTTCTTGTTCAGCCCATATCTTGAGGAATGGGCTGAACAAAAATATAAATGCAACAATTTCAAAGATTTGACTGAGTTATAGTTCATATAAGGAAATGAGTCCTCTGAAATAAATAAATTAGGCCATAATCTATGGATTTCATATGCCTGGGAATACAGATATGCATCTGTTGGTCACAAATACCTTTAAAAAAAAGGTTGGGGTGTGGATCAGAAAACCAGTCAGTATCTGGTGACCACCATTTGCTGTGACATCTCCTTCGCATAGGCTGTTCATCAGGCTGTTGATTGTGGCCTGTGAAATGTTGTCCCACTCCTCTTCAATGGCAGTGCGAAGTTGTTGGATATTGGCTGGAACTGGGACACGCTGTCATACACGTCGATCCAGATCATCCCAAACATGCTCAATGGATGACATGTTTGGTAAGTATGCAGACCATTGAAGAACTGGGACATTTTCAGCTTCCAGGAATTGTGTACAGATCCTTGCGACATGGGGCCATACATTATCATGCTGAAACATGAGGTGATGGTGGTGGATGAATGGCACGACAATGGGCCTCAGGATCTGGTTACGGTATCTCTGTGCATTCAAATTGCCATCGATAAAATGCAATTGTGTTCACTGTCCGTATCTTATGCCTGCCCATACCATAATCCCACCGGCACCATGGGGCACTCTGTTGACAATGTTGACATCAGCAAACCGCTCGCCCACACGACGCCATCTGCCCGGTTAGTTGAAACCATGATTTATTCATGAAGAGCACACTTCTCCAGCATGCCAGTGGCCATCAAAGGTGAGCATTTGCCCACTAAAGTCGGTTACGACGCCGAACAGCAGCCAGGTCAAGACCTTGGTGAGGACGATGAGCACGCAGATGAGCTTCCCTGAGACGGTTTCTGACAGTTTGTGCAGAAATTCTTCAGTTGTGCAAACCCATAGTTTCATCAGTTGTCTGGGTGGCTGGTCTCAGACGATCCCGCAGGTGAAGGAGATCCTGGGCTGGACATACTGCCAAATTCTCTAAAATGACATTGGTAGGCTTATGGTAGAGAAATTAACATTACATTATCTGGAAACAGCTCTGGTGGACATTCCTGCAGTCAGCATGCCAATTGCACGTTCCCTCAAAACATCAGACATCTGTGGCATTTTGTTGTGTGAAAACTGCACATTTTAGAGTGGCCTTTTATTGTCCCCAGCACAAGGTGCACCTGTGTCATGATCATGTTGTTTAATCAGCTTCTTGATATGCCACACCTGTCAGGTGGATGGATTGTAAACACATTTGTGCACAGAATTTGAGAGAAAAAGCTTTTTGTGCATAAGGAACATTTCTGGGCTCTTTTATTTCAGCTCATGAAACATGGGACCAACACTTTACATGTTATGCTTATATTTTTGTTCAGTGTGCAATCATTGATGTGGTTATTTGTAAGATTGTCTATAGATGGGTTAGCAGATGTCACGAAAACGATGCACACGCTTCAATTGGGAAGAAGTCAGTGAGTTGTGATTCTGAATGGCCAGATAGCTACCAACAATGACAAGAAACTGCCATGTGGGGAATCGTAAGTGGCTCATTTCAGCTAGTTTCATCTTGTTCTTGATTTTTTGGGTGTTTTGACTGATTTCATGTCAATGCTAATATGGCACAAATTCGCTAGTGAAATAACCAACTGTAACGATGTATTTGCGAGACAACAAGTGCAAATGCAAAATCTCTCTGGTCATTCCCAAAGCCAACACCTCCTTTGGCCGCCATTCCTTCCAGTTCTCTGCTGCCAATGACTGGAACGAATTGCAAAAATCTCTGAAGCTGGAGACTCTTATCTCCCTCAATAACTTTAAGCATCAGTTGTCAGAGCACCTTACCGATCACTGCACCTGTACACAGCCCATCTGAAATTAGCCCACCCAACTACCTCATCCCTATATTGTTATTTATTTTGCTCTTTTGCACCCCAGTATCTCTATTTGCACATAATCTCTTGCACATCTAGCATTCCAGTGTTAATACTATTGTAATTATTCTGCACTATAGCCTATTTATTGCCTTACCTCCATAACTTGCTACATTTGCACACACTGTATATATATTTTCTGTTGTATTTCTGACTTTATGTTTTTTTACCCCATATGTAACTCTGTGTTGTTTTTATTGCACTACTTTGCTTTATCTTGGCCAGGTCGCAGTTGTAAATGAGAACCTGTTCTCAACTGGCTTACCTGGTTAAATAAAGGTGAAATAAAAAAATTTAAAAAAGTGCAAATGTATTTATGTTTTCAATAAACATTGGAGACGAAATATAGTTTACATGTTGTCAACCATCTAAGCCAACCATGTCTGTTTTGCCCAATAGTTGCGCACGTGTCGGTTTTGTTGCTAAACAACCAACCCGTCTATAGCAGGGATGGGCATCTGGGGGCCCCGTGGGCACCCCTTTTGAAGTCCCTCTGATCAATTTCCTTGTAGTAATCGTAGTCTAATTACCGCCTGGGGGGGCCTCATTGATTTTGTTAGTCAGTCTCACTCAGATATCATATTAAAAACTGCAAACATTTCTCTCCACCCTATGGCAGAATGTGTAGAATTGCACAACATTTGCTGTAAAACAGCTGGCGGCACAACTGCGGCCCCTCATGATGAGTTCAGATTTTTTGGGGGCACCCATCCCAATCAAAGTTGCCCATCCCTGGTCTATAAGGTACTGTCAAATGCAAATGTGATAGGATAGGCCCTGTCAAATGTGATAGGATAGGCCCTGCCAAATGTGGCGAAATTAGATACTATTATGAATTTAGAAACCAAAACTTGAAACTTCATGCAGAAAGGTATTGCCCATTTTTCAATATCTTGTCAGCAGAGTTACTTTTCAGAGAAAATTGTGAATTTCACAACGTGGCTGAACAATATCTAAGTCTGCTGAACCATTAGACCAACAATTCCATCCTTCTGTTTTGCCTCGATGGGAGGATTCATCACAGATCTATTTTGATTCATTTTGGCTTGCTGGTGTTTGTCTCACGGATGTATGGTACTTGGATGGTACCCAGACAGTGGATTTAATATTGTTGATTTTAGACAGTGAGTTTAAATAAGCTTTTATTAAACCTTTTCTAGCCACATACTCTATTGACTTTGTGAGTTGTTTCAGTTCTGGCAAGCTACTTGAAATAGAATGGCACTTATCTGGTATGTTGAGCCTGAGGCATAGGGGAGTAGTTGGACTCTGCAGCCTCCTCTGCATTCAGATATCATGTTCGGCTTTTGAACAACCCGGACATAGTACTAATCCCCAGATGTGTATAATCTAATATCAATCAATATGATATACAGTGGCTTGCGAAAGTATTCACCCCCCTTGGCATTTTTCCTATTTTGTTGCCTTACAACCTGGAATTAAAATTTATTTTTGGGGGGTTTGTATCATTTGATTTACACAACATGCCTACCACTTTGAAGATGCAAAATATTTTTTTTGTGAAACCAACAAGAAATAAGACAAAAAAACAGAACTTGAGCGTGCATAACTATTCACCCCCCCCCCCCCCCCCAAAGTCATTACTTTGTAGAGCCACCTTTTGCAGCAATTACAGCTGCAAGTCTCTTGGGGTATGTCTCTATAAGCTTGGCACATCTAGCCACTGGGATTTTTGCCCATTCTTCAAGGCAAAACTGCTCCAGCTCCTTCAAGTTGGATGGGTTCCGCTGGTGTACAGCTATCTTTAAGTCATACCACAGATTCTCAATTGGATTGAGGTCTGGGCTTTGACTAGGCCATTCCAAGACATTTAAATGTTTCCCCTTAAACCACTCCAGTGTTGCTTTAGCAGTATGCTTAGGGTCATTGTCCTGCTGGAAGGTGAACCTCCGTCCCAGTCTCAAATCTCTGATTTCCCTCAATAATTTCCCTGTATTTAGCGCCATCCATCATTCCTTCAATTCTGACCAGTTTCCCAGTCCCTGCCGATGAAAAACATCCCCACAGCATAATGCCACCACCACCATGCTTCACTGTGGGGATGGTGTTCTCTGGGTGATGAGAGGTGTTGGGTTTGCGCCAGACATAGCATTTTCCTTGATGGCCAGAAAGCTAAATTTTAGTCTCATCTGACCAGAGTACCTTCTTCCATATGTTTGGGGAGTCTCCCACATGGCTTTTGGCGAACACCAAACATGTTTGCTTATTTTTTTCTTTAAGCAATGGCTTTTTTTCTGGCCACTCTTCCGTAAAGCCCAGCTCTGTGGAGAGTACGGCTTAAAGTGGTCCTACGGACAGATACTCCAATCTCCGCTGTGGAGCGTTGCAGCTCCTTCAGGGTTATCTTTGGTCTCTTTGTTGCCTCTCTGATTAATGCCCTCCTTGCCTGGTCTGTGAGTTTTGGTAGGCGGCCCTTTCTTGGCAGGTTTGTTGTGGTGCCATATTCCATTTTTTTATAATGGATTTAATGGTGCTCCGTGGGATGTTCCAAGTTTCAGATATTTTTTTATAACCCAACCCTGATCTGTACTTCTCCACAACTTTGTCCCTGACCTGTTTGGAGAGCTCCTTGGTCTTCATGGTGCCGCTTGCTTGGTGGTGCCCCTTGCTTAGTGGTGTTGCAGACTCTGGGGCCTTTCAGAACAGGTGTATATATACTGAGATCATGTGACACTTAGATTGCACACAGGTGGACTTTATTTAACTAATTATGTGACGTCTGAAGGTAATTGGTTGCACCAGATCTTATTTAGGGGCTTCATAGCAAAGGGGGTGAATACATATGCACGCACCACTTTTCCGTTATTTATTTATTTTGAATTTTTTTAAACAAGTTATTCATTTTTTTTCACTTCACCAATTTGGACTATTTTGTGTATGTCCATTACATGAAATACAAATAAAAATCCATTTAAATGACAGGTTGTAATGCAACAAAATAGGAAAAACGCCAAGGGGGATGAATACTTTTGCAAGGCACTGTACTGTAGGTAGATACACAGTTATGTTACTACATGTATGGTGACCCCGGTCTACACTGTGGCTACCTCCAGAATTAATTCCATCGTATTAATCAAATCTCATAAAGGAATAAAACTACCCAATTCAGGGCTAACCCAAAATATTCTAATGCTATGCTACACTAATGCAATAAATCACTAATTGCTTTAACCCATTTGCAATGGAGAAGTTGATACCTGAAAAAATTGCAAATGTCAGACTACATGGCATCAATAATGCTATATTAACCCATGAGTTTGATGACATTTGGCCACATTGTAGTTAAACCTCTTTACCCGTATCACTTAGAATGAAGCCATTTGGTTGAAAGAGCCCATTGCAGACTGATGCCACTCCTATCTGTGTGCCTGTTTTGCTTCATTGTGTTCTGCATGTTCCTGGACCTCTGTTGTGTGAGGCTATATTTGTAGGCTATTTGTTATTGACAGTACTTCTAAAAATCAGATGCTATTGTTGAAAGTGTGCACCTGTGCTATCACAGCTGTTGTATCATACTGAAACGTCAAACCCTACACTGATTACATTGTAGGCTCGTGCGCACATTCCAAACCGCTGGCTCTCCAACCACCGCTGGCAGCTCAGCTTTACGCACGCGCCACTGGCAAGGCTCACAAGGTTCTGTGGAGATGACGCGCACTTCAGCGGGTGCTTACCGTTACTCAGAAGATAGCAGGAGAGCCGGAGAGGGTTCTTGGACTTCACAACACCTGAATGGTTTTGAAATTGTGATTTTTGTTCAAGAAGCGGACAATGTTACCGAGGATGACATCGGAACGAATCATTCATTGTCCAAAACGCCAAAGGGATTTTGTCTAGTGTGATATAGAGATGGATATAACAACGTCGGAACCGCTCAACGTCTCAACAACCATATATTTTCAGGATTATGGAAACGAGACGACCATCAATCGTTTTGAACAGCCGGATTGGCAAGTGGCACTGTGGGCAATTGCTTATTCACTGATAGTGATTGTGTCCGTTACAGGAAATGTCACTGTAATTTGGATAATTTTGGCCCACAAAAGAATGAGAACAGTGACTAACTATTTTATAGTAAATCTAGCATTCTCGGACGTTTCAATGGCTACTTTCAACACTGTCTTCAATTTTGTCTATGCTATGCACAACGACTGGTACTTCGGGTTGGGATACTGTAGGTTTCAGAACTTCTATCCCATCACAGCAATGTTCTCAAGCATTTATTCTATGGCAGCTATTGCGGTTGACCGGTAAGAACACACAACGAGCCTTACTATTACGTGATACAGACTACTCTAGTCCGTAGAGACCACACAATTGTCCAGGGACATCAAAAGTTACAATTTCCACACCGACCATGGTGAATTTCTTCAAATTACGCACGTTCCCAAGAAGACATATAATCAATCTTATCAACAATGGCTGCATCACTCAGATACATGACTAATGAAGCTACTTGTCATTGAAGTGGACAATAATCCAATAATCATCACGTGCAGATTTTGTATTATATTTCTGATTTATAATAATATGTTTTTCCAATATAGCCTACTGAGCACTGGAGATGCTAAGAGTACAATACATTATAATTCTTATATTGTTTTAATTTGCTTAGCAACACAAGATTTTCAAATATTCCATTTATCGCTTCACCGGGTTTTATCGTCTTGTCTGGGTGAGTGTTTAACACAGTGCATGTCTGTCTGTGCGCGCTATCCTACCTAAACCCACCTATTATGTTCATAACGGGACAATCCGTATATTACTGTGGAACTATACTGTTTAACTTGTGTGTTATACATTGGCTTAAAATCTCTCTCTCACTGTGCGTGTTTTCACGATATTAATGGCATTCAGTCAGATATTTCGTTGACAGCCGGTTAATTCTGGTTGCAACATCACCCTGAAATCAGCACCACATCCTTTTGTATTCAATTAGAAATATCTTAATGAGTTCAACCTACGATTGTAGACATTGCTGTTTTCAAAGCTCTCATGAACAGAAATTATGTCATATATTACAGAATGAGGACCCTCCCATTCACTCATCATGACAGTGAGATTCTGATGAGTGAGTGTCACCAGGGTTTTCAGGACATTTCATTTACATTTTAGTCATTTAGCAGAGGCTCTTATCCAGAGCGACTTACAGTTAGTGAGTGCATACCTTTTCATATTGGCCCCCCGTGGGAATCGAACCCACAACCCTGGCGTTGCAAGCGCCATGCTCTATCAACTGAGCTACACAGGACTATATTCAGCCTTGTTGACAAAATGTCAGTCTTCAGCAGTCTAAGCAGCCAATGACATGCACTGTTATAGGTCTTTGACTGTACCTGACCTTTGCTTGGTTCTCTTCCACAGATACATGGCCATAATCTACCCTTTGAAACTAAGGCTATCCTCCACGTCCACCAAGATTGTGATTGGTCTCATCTGGGCGGTGGCATTCTCCCTGGCGTTCCCCCAGTGTTACTACTCTGTCACCCAGTATTATCCACCACGGACTATCTGTATGGTCAACTGGCCTGATGACTATGGTGGGAAACACCATCTCACGTGAGACACCCACAGTACCGTTCTCAGGAATGTGTCTGTCTAGATCAGGGATGGGCAACTCCAGTCCTCGGGGGGCTGATTGGCATCACAGTTTTGCTCCAGCCCCAGCTAACACACCTGACAATAATCAACTAATCATGATCTTCAGTTTAGAATGCAATTAGTTTAATCAGCTGTGTTTGCTAGGGAGGGGGGGAAAGTGTGACATCACTCCTGCCCCTGAGGACTGGAGTTACCCATCCCTGGTCTAAATGTACACTCTTAGAAAAAAGGGTTCCAAAAGGGTTCTGCGGATGTCCCCATAGGAGAACCCTTTCTGGTTCCAGGTAGAACTCTTTTGGGTTCCATGTAGAACTCTTTTGGGTTCCATGTAGAACCTTCTGTGGAAAGGAACCTAAATGTTTCTACCTGGAACCAAAAGGGGTTCTTCAAAGGGTTATTCTATGGGGACACCCGAAGATCCCTTTTTGGTTCTAGATAGCACCTTTATTTTCTAAGATTGTAGTTGCTATAATGGCAACATAGATCAAAGTGTCTTCTTTTCATGGTTAGAAATAGATGCTTTATTTTTTTTATGTTCAATACTTCAAAGTCTCTATTAGAAAGGGATGTTTCAAGCCCAAGCCCACGTTATTCCATACTGTGTCAGTAATACTTGACCCTGAACATTGTCCTACTGTCTCGCAGATACCAGATAGCCATGATCATACTGATCTACCTGCTCCCCCTGCTGGTGATGTTGGTCACCTACAGCCTCATTGGCCAGACACTTTGGGGCAGTGAGATACCGGGGGAGGCCTCAGACCACTACCAGAACCAGATCCAGGCCAAACGCAAGGTCAGCTATGTCATATTGATGCAAAACCTTGACTGAACAGTCTAAAAGAACCTGCATTTTTAAACAGTGTATCTCTCTATTTACTGAAAGCACTGTGTCCAGTAGTCTACCAGCATGGTCATTGCATATGCATACCAAACAAAGACAAACACTTCAAATGCTGGAGCTGCACTAAAACAAGTGCTTAGACCCAGGTCTGGTGCATGTATATGCCATGGTATCAGAGATGCTCTGCTGTCTCAGTGTGTTGTGCTGTCTCAGTGTGTTGTGCTGTCTCAGTGTGATGTGTTGTCTCAGTGTGTTGTGCTGTCTCAGTGTGTTGTGTTGTCTCAGTGTGTTGTGTTGTCTCAGTGTGATGTGTTGTCTCAGTGTGTTGTGCTGTCTCAGTGTGTTGTGTTGTCTCAGTGTGATGTGTTGTCTCAGTGTGTTGTGCTGTCTCAGTGGGATGTGTTGTCTCAGTGTGTTGTGCTGTCTCAGTGTGCTGTGCCGTCTCAGTGTGTTGTGTTTTCTCAGTGTGTTGTGCTGTCTCAGTGTGTTGTGCTGTCTCAGTGTGTTGTGTTGTCTCAGTGTGATGTGTTGTCTCAGTGTGTTGTGCTGTCTCAGTGTGTTGTGCTGTCTCAGTGGGATGTGTTGTCTCAGTGTGTTGTGCTGTCTCAGTGGGATGTGTTGTCTCAGTGTGTTGTGCTGTCTCAGTGTGCTGTGCCGTCTGAGTGTGTTGTGTTTTCTCAGTGTGTTGTGCTGTCTCAGTGTGTTGTGCTGTCTCAGTGTGTTGTGTTGTCTCAGTGTGTTGTGCTGTCTCAGTGTGCTGTGCCGTCTCAGTGTGTTGTGTTGTGCTCCATGTAGGTGGTGAAGATGATGATAGTGGTGGTGATGACCTTCGCCCTGTGCTGGCTGCCCTACCACATCTACTTCATCCTGGGCAGCTTCAACAATGAGATCTACATGCAGACGTACATCCAGCAGGTCTACCTGGCCATCTTCTGGCTGGCCATGAGCTCCACCATGTACAACCCCATCATCTACTGCTGCCTCAACCAAAGGTAAAGCTATGCTACATCACTACGCTCATCTTGTGGCAGTGGTATGGTACTGTATCATAGATTCAACAACCTAAAAAGCCACATTCAAGTTGCACTTTTTTTTATGAAGCAGAAAAGCAAGAGTTAATTCTGAATGTTTATCAACGTTAGCTGGCTAACTTTCTGATCTTGCTTTGTGATATTCCCATTGGCATCTCTCTTTTCTAGGTTTCGCTCGGGGTTCCGTCACGCTTTCAGCTGGGTCCCCTTCGTCAAGGTGTCGGAGGAGGACAAGATGGAGCTGCAGCACACACGGACCTTCAGGATGACCCGCAGCTGTCGCACTGACAACACCAAGAACACTGTGGTCCGCCCACAACTCCACCCAACATGATGACCACACAACAGTCAAGCTCATGAAAAGCTGAGGACATATTCAAGTGCAGCTGCTAGGAGAAGTCAAGTGAAACAAATCATGTTATTATTGTGGACAGTCAAGATAGGTGTAGTGAAATGTGTTTGTTTTACAGGGTCAGCCATAGTAGTATGGCACCCCTGGAGCAAATTGGGGATAAGTGCCTTCCTCAAGGTCACATCGGCAGATTCTTCGGCTCGGGTATTCAAACCAGCGACCTTTCGTTTACTGGCCCAACGCTCTAACCACTAGGCTACTGCCCCAATGGTAAGGAGAACTCCCATGGCACCATGCCTTGTCTGTTGCAGTGTTTAGGTAGTGATATTATTTGTGTTGTTTTAGCGTAATATTGGTTTATGTTGTGTCACCTGGCTTTGTAGACCACATTGTGAAACGTGCAAGTGAACCCAGTTATAAATATTCACTGAAATATCAAGTAACTGACAAAGGAGACAGATAAATTAACACAAACACACACTTTGTTAAATTTTACAGAAATGAATGATGGGGTAACATCTGCCGCAATATGATTTGAGGATTGGACTGTGATATATAAATAAATAAAAATGACACAGAATATCCCCAATTGACCTCTGAACTATGGAACCACTGTATCTCCTGAGACTGTTCTTGGGGAAATGAAAGTTCTCCACTAGAATATACTTTGAGTTTATTTAAACTTTTACAGGGACAGTACACATGAATCAACGTTTCAGTAAAAGTGCCGGTTTTAGCCAGCCGGCTGATTTTCAACCACAGTCCCTGGGCAGGTTATTAAAAACTATTACAATAACAATACAGACAGACAATGAGTAGTGAACACATGCAGAGCAACATAGGACAAGCAACACATAGCAGACAGACAGACAGAGCAACATAGGACAAGTAACACATAGCAGACAGACAGACAGAGCAACATAGGACAAGTAACACATAGCAGACAGACAGACAGAGCAACATAGGACAAGTAACACATAGCAGACAGACAGAGCAACATAGGACAAGTAACACATAGCAGACAGACAGACAGAGCAACAGAGGACAAGTAACACATAGCAGACAGAAAGACAGAGCAACATAGGACAAGCAATACATAGCAGACAGAGCAACAGAGGACAAGTAACACATAGCAGACAGACAGACAGAGCAACATAGGACAAGCAACACATAGCAGACAGACAGACAGAGCAACATAGGACAAGCAACACATAGCAGACAGACAGACAGAGCAATATAGGACAAGCAACACATAGCAGACAGACAGACAGAGCAACATAGGACAAGCAACACATAGCAGACAGACAGAGCAACATAGGACAAGCAACACATAGCAGACAGACAGACAGAGCAACAGAGGACAAGTAACACATAGCAGACAGACAGAGAAACATAGGACAAGTAACACATAGCAGACAGACAGACAGAGCAACATAGGACAAGTAACACATAGCAGACAGACAGACAGAGCAACATAGGACAAGTAACACATAGCAGACAGACAGACAGAGTAACAGAGGACAAGTAACACATAGCAGACAGACAGACAGCGCAACATAGGACAAGCAACACATAGCAGACAGACAGACAGAGCAACATAGGACAAGTAACACATAGCAGACAGACAGACAGAGTAACAGAGGACAAGTAACACATAGCAGACAGACAGAGCAACAGAGGACAAGTAACACATAGCAGACAGACAGAGCAACAGAGGACAAGTAACACATAGCAGACAGACAGAGCTGTAGTTTCACAGAACCTATGTTTGTAGCTATGATGTAAAATAATGAAAATAAGCTTTTCAACAAATGTTTGTCAGCGCAAGGTGGTACAATTGAAATAGTCTTGGGGAGTATTCAATGGCTCTCTGAAGTCAGAGAAAAAACATCAATAATCGTTTACATGAAAACAGCCAATCACAAAGCATGTGAATTTAAAAAGGATAATGTGATATGTGGTAACTATTGCCTTTGTTGAATATCACAGTGTGCATTTCATTTTTGTTTTGTACCATGTAGAGTACTTTTATTTCATGTTGTGTCTTGTGATGTGCTCAAAAAGGAAACGGTCAGTTATATCCCACTACATGTTTTACTACTTATGTCACATGATGTAGGTCATGTTTTGTACAGTTGATATTGGTATAGTGTAATGTAGCATAGAAAAGTCACTCCACTGAGGAATTGCGAAATTGAAGGTATTGTAAAATGTTACGCTGTGCATTACTGTAATGTGCTGGTGCTGGCTACTTTAGAAATGAATTACAGCTATGTTGATAACAGACAACTTAGGTCCGATAACTTTCCATGAGTGTAAGTTCCTGTTAAGTTATTTCTCCATAAAACATCTTGCTCATGTACAGAATGCTATTTTAAGGTAACCATAACTGAAAAATATATGTAGCTTTACATGACTACAGACATATTGTAGGTGAAATGATTTCACAAAATAACAAAAACATGGTTGCTAACATAGCATCCTTGTGCATGAGCTTAACTGTCTCTATTCCATTATCAATGTGCTAACTATAACATCACTGGAACATTTCATGAACAAAAGCTCAGAATGGAAGTTGACCTTTATTGAAAAAAGTAGTGCCATGATAATTACCATAGATCTTCAAAGATAAGTAAAAGCTTCATGTTCGGTAGCACATCAAAATAAAGTTTCATTTAATCCCATTGCATCATTTGGACCAGCTTTAGTGCATCTCTATAATTGTACAAAATAAATGTATTCTAGACATCTGACACCAAATAAGGCATGCATTTATCATGTTCTCAGAGCTATTATTTTCGTACAGTAAGACTCAAACATTCAACTGCAGTATGCAAACGTATACTCCTATCTTGTTCCCTTTATTCTGTTATAAGCATAATTTTTTTTTACATTGTGCACTGTTGGAATTCAAGTCATCTTGTTCACAAAATACACCTTTATTGATACAGTTGCTTTAGAGCTATGGTTTTCAGCAGGAGTGGTCAGGCAAAAAGCATGATTTCTACATTTACTTAAAAACATTTTTATACATTTAAAATGACTAAACCTGAGAGGTTTTAAAAAGACTGCCAAAGCAATGCATTAAGGAAGCATCCTACAGGGTGGCTGTATTGACTTTTGAACAAGCTTGTGAGCAGCCTGCCCTTGAGCAATGAAAATATGCTCAAATGTCGAGGAACAAATGGTGCATTCATGACAACCCTAGATATTCTATCAAGCAAAAAAAAAGTTGACATTTGGGAAATACTTACCATGTATTTGCCAATGCCATGTTAAAAATAAAACTCAATTTTTGCAATAGAGATCTCTAACCTTACAATGATTATCCCCCTAACACTCATTATGTCAAAACATCCACCCAATAAAATAAATAACATTTATATACCTGGGCAAGGTATAAGACATTCAAAGCATAAAGATTCCCTTTCTTCTCTGCTATACAAAGCCCCAAATACCTACACCGGTGTTCTAACATCACAAAGAAGATTCAAATCAAACAAAGAGCCCAGTTATTTTCATACAGATCAACAGAAAGCGCAAAAGGCTGGTAATAGCAGGTGTAGGAGTGAAATGGTTTGGAAGCACGTAATGTTCCGTCATCGGTGCCCCTGAGATCTACCCACCACAGGGGAACAACGGGGTTGTGTCTGGAGCAGAGCGGCGGATACTGTAGCAGCGTCATCGTTAGAGAGGTATGCTAATATAAGGAGAAGAGGACGAGGAGAGGAGGAGGCCAAACAGACTCAGCTCTTCTGCTGCTCTTGCTCACGCATGCGACAGCCCACGGCGGTGATGAGGGCTGCTCCCTTGCCGCTCCCGTCCTCGGAGAGAAGGAAGTTGACGTTGCACTTAGGGGCCAAATCTTTCACTGTCTGGTGCATGACCCCAGAGAAGCTGTGAAAAAATAAAAAGACATGGATGGTCTCGCTTAACATACATGACTTTGTTCATGCTATTGTTACACTGATGGTAAATCAATGAAGCCAAATCAATGACGATGTAGGACTTGATCAAAGAGAATAGAACCAATATGTGCTATACATTTTTTTATTTTATACCTGCAATAAACTACACAAAAATTGCTGGCCAATACTCAACATTCACCATAATATAATTGTCAACTTGAATACCTCAGTCAATGACTGTGATACATGTTATTTCAACCAACTGCAATTATTGCATTATTACTCACTGTGGATGAAGCTTGTAGAGCGTTCCGTCTACCCCCACGGTGATGTCCATTTGGTCCAGACCACGGTTCTCTCTGATTTTGTCAACGACGGCGGCCATTCCGGCTCCACAGAGCTGGGCTGCCCGGTGAGACACTGTACCACACACCTCCTTGACGATGATACTGTCATCACATGTACTGTCCAGACCCAGATGCAGCAGAATGGACCTCACCTGCAGTAGCGCCAAGCGGTCACTGGGGGGAACATGAGGACATTTTGTTGAGGCCATTGCACAACAAAAGGTAGTTATGATGACACAATCAGTTATCATTTCAATCGCAGATTCAACATGGCTGCCAACCTTTCAATCTGGGAGAGGAACTTAGTTTCGAAAATGCCTCTGGTCTTTAGTGTCTCTGATATTTGCCCTCTGAAGAGAAAGCCACGCTTCGTCAAATCGATCAGGATGTTTCGCACAATCTCCCCTAGATACATGCCGCTGCACATCTTCTCATACCTGAGATGAAAAAGAAACACAAAAATGTTGGTATTTCTAGATCTCTAATAACAAGACTATTCAATATCAACAAAAGTTAGCTGAAGGGAAGTCATTTTGATTGGGAGAGAGAGCAGCCCAGTTACCTCTGCTTGCCAGGGTTGAGTGAGAAGTCATCCACAGCTCTGTCATATTCTGTCCTGATATCATCCAGACAGCCGTTGTCCCCGAAGGCGCCCCACTCCATGTTGACACACATCCTCCCCACATCTCCCTCAACCGTCTCAATGTTCCTCATCTCCTCCATGTAACAGGCATTGCTGCCAGTTCCTGAAACCACAAACCATACATGTTCAACAATCATACCTTTGACAGGTATCAAACACAATAATAATATTAATAATCATATTCATGTTCTGTAGTTGTCTAGATATGGGGAGATTGTTACTCTCGCAATCAGCTGTTATTCTGATAATTCCTACTTTCACTTGTCCTCTCCGTCACTCAAATCTATATTGCCATGGTCTATAATTAGTTGAAAAGTACAGCACTTTGCCAGGTGCAGGAAACAAAATGTACATCATAGAAAACAAAAAGATGCACCTGCACACTGTGGAGTTTTCCACTATACTTTAGGAAGACACAGGAACCTTCAACAGTGTGCGGGTGTCTATTTCCTGCCCATGCTCTATCATTAGGCAGAAATCATAACGTTTCGAGTCAGCGTTATGGAGGTGACAGAATACAAGGACGACCAACCTGCAATCAGGCCGACCTCACAGGTGGCTTCTTCATATGCACATGTCATCATGGTCCCCACTGTGTCATTCACTACTGCCACCACGTCCAAGTCAAACTCCTGGAGAAACCACAGATAGAAACACATGTACAGGATGTCTTTGGGACACATATGCAATGGGGAAATGAGGAGTGAACTGAATTTTTATAGAAATACCACTGACAAATATTGGATCACAACCTTCTATATCATGGTAAAAACTAACAAAAAGAGCAGCCTCCAGCGACTTTTGGTTGTCAATAGATGCCCATAAGATCTCATCTTCTATATATTGTATACCCAAAGAATAGCCACTTACAGCATCCTAGGGCCAAGATATTTTCCTGCTCCTGCTCAGGTCTGTGCTCAGGTTCTAGCATCATGCCATCTCTCCACTTACCTCTCTCCTTTTAATCCCCTCTCTGAGAAGCCCCACAACATCCTCCCCTTCACAGTCAGTGGCCTTGAAGCCTTTAGTCCAGGTGACCAGGATGCCCTGAACAAAGACAGAAAGATCTTCTATTAGTGACGTACACACGTGTACTACACAACAAATTGTGTCAAGATTTAGAGGTTTGTTTGACACTCGAGAAATAAAGATATAGCCACTATCTTTATAAAACAGGACGGACAATGCACTTCTTTTGAGCCTAAAATGAAGAAAATTGGCACCAAATTTAGTTTTGTGGCGGTATTTTGTGAACAATGTGTCTGAGATGTAAAAAGCTGATAAATGGCTGATTACTTTACTCCTCACCGACCCATAGTTTAAGAAACCTTGCTGTAAAGGAAGCAGTCAGCTCACCGCATCCAGGCTGGTCTGTCTGCACGGGAACGAGAAGGTGAAGCCCAGAGGCAGGCGAGTATTCTTCATGCCCATGTAGTCCAGGAAGTCAGATATGCACTGGACAATGTGGTCGAACAGCTGAAGGGGGAAATGGAGGGTATGTTTCAACAAGCACAAGTACATTTGCTTAAGTTACACAGGTCACAAAGGTTGGCTGTTAGAATGTGCTTAATGTGTGTTCTGTTGTTTCTATGGAGATAAAATAGGAGCTATTGCGTTTACCTTTTAAAATATGTGAGAAAATGTTTATTGTTTTGGTACAGAATGATATATACACTACCAGTTAAAGGTTGACACAACTACTCATTCAAGGGTTTTTCTTTGTACATTTTTTTTTTACATTGTAGAATAATAGTGAAGACATCAAAACTATGAGATTCTTCAAATAGCCACCCTTTGCCTTGATGACAGCTTTGAACACTCTTGGCATTCTCTCAACCAGCTTCATGAGGTAGTCACCTGGAATGCATTTCAATTAACAGGTGTGCCTTCTTAAAAGTTAATTTGTGGAATTTCTTTCCTTCTTAATGCGTTTGATCCAATCAGTTGTGTTGTGACAAGGTAGATAGGTACACAGAAGATAGCCCTATTTGGTAAAAGACCAAGTCCATATTATGGCAAGAACAGCTCAAATAAGCAAAGAGAAACGACAGTCCATCATTACTTTAAGACATGAAGGTCAGTCAATACGGAACATTTCAAGAACTTTGAAAGTTTCTTCAAGAGCAGTCGCAAAAACCATCAAGCACTATGATGAAACTGGCTCTCATGAGGACCGCCACAGGAATGGAAGACCCAGACTTACCTCTGCTGCAGAGGATAAGTTCATTAGAGTTAACTGCACCTCAGAAATTGCAGCCCAAATAAATGCTTCACAGAGTTCAAGTCACAGACACATCTCAACATTAACTGTTCAGAGGGGACTGTGTGAATCAGGCCTTCATGGTCGAATTGCTGCAAAGAAACCACTACTAAACGACACCAATAAGAAGAAGAGACTTGCTTGGGCCAAGAAACACAAGCAATGGACATTAGACAGGTGGAAATTTGTCCTTTGGTCTGGAGTCCAAATTTGAGATTTATGGTTCCAACCGCTGTGTCTTTGTGAGACGCAGTGTGCGTGAACAGATGATCTCTGCATGTGTAGTTCCCACCGTAAAGCATGGAGGAGGAGGTGTTATGGTGTGGGGATGCTTTGCTGGTGACACTGTCTGTGATTTATTTAGAATTCAAGGCACACTTAACCAGCATGGCTACCACAGCATTCTGCAGCGATACGCCATCCCATCTGGTTTGGGCTTAGTGGGACTATCATTTGTTTTTCAACAGGACAATGACCCAACACACCTCCAGGCATTGTAAGGGCTATTTTACCAAGAAGGAGAGTGATGAGTGCTGCATCAGATGACCTGGCCTCCACAATTCCCCGACCTCAACCCAATTGAGATGGTTTGGGATGAGTCGGACGGCAGAGTGAAGGAAAAGCAGCCAACAAGTGCTCAGCATATGTGGGAACTCCTTCAAGACCTTTGGGAAAGCATTCCAGGTGAAGCTGGTTAAGAGAATGCCAAGAGTGTGCAAAGCTGTCATCAAGGCAAAGGGTGGCTATTTGAAGAATCTCAAATATAAAATAGATGTAGATTTGTTTAACACTTTTTTGGTTACTACATGATTCCATATGTGTTATTTCATAGTTTTGATGTCTTCACTATTATTCTACAATGTAAAAAATAGTAAAAATAAAGAAAAACCCTTGAATGAGTAGGTGTGTCCAAACTGTTGACTGGTACTGTATGTCCGTACTCCGATGAAACTCCCAAACTAACTCACCTCCTCGCCAGTCCCCTGCATCACCTCCATAGGAATGGCATATATTTTGTTATGCATTTCTACTGTCCGCCGCTTGCCACTACGGATCTTCACCAACAGCACTCTAAAGTTTGTCCCTCCTAAATCCAAAGCCAAGAAATCCCCATTTTCTGCAAAACACAACATAACAATACTATCTTTATCATTATGAGGTGATTAGAAAACATAAGTGATTATAAAGGGTTCATAAAAGCTTATGACAAGTCTTACAATGCATTGTACTTTTTCGCTTTAAGTAAAGTGTTGCCACTGTCATAGCCATTTGAAATTAGGGCTCAGACAAGTAGTGTGTTATCAGAGTTGAATCTCTCATTAACATTGGATGTTCTGACTTACATGAAGGTGTGGGAGTGCTGTGCAGTAATTGTGCTAGGCTTAGAAACACTTTGACCTTAATCAGGGCACTGCAAGAGGTGCTAAGCCAATAAAATACACAATGTCATGTGCTTACATGGAAAGTGGCCAGGATTATACAGCAGTGTGGCTAAGCATTAAGGATCTTTCAACCTATTGATGTGGTTTTATACAGCAGGGGGATCAGAGGAAGTGTAAAATGTCTTACCTGATCCATCCGGTGTGCTGCGTACATATGTGGGCCACATCTTGACGGTGGCGCTGTCATGGGTCTTTTTCCCCAGGCCGTTCTGGATCTCCGTCCTCATCCTCTTCTTTACCTCCAGCAGCTGGTCATTGGTCAGTCTGAACTCAGCCATGGTCTCTGTGATCTGACGACGCTGGTCAGCCAGCCGGTAGGCCACGGCGGTCACCATGGCAGCGCCCTTGGAGCTCCCACTCTCTGAGAGCAGGAAGCGGACGTCTGACTCGGGAACTAGGCGGCGGACGGTTTTGTGGAGACGCCGGGCATATCTGAGGAGATGGGCAGGGAGATTCTCAGTCAGACCAACATGTAACTCAACACAACTCAGGCTCTTGGTCCTAGTCAAATATAACGTTGATATCTGTATCAGTGTCTCTTTTTCAAAGTCCATTATAGTATATCCCTAAGCCATTTGACAGAATCGCATTGCTTCAAATCAAGATACACAATTAAGATGCACGATAAGAGCTAGGTACAGTATGCCTTGTACCCAGGAGACCCTCTAGTGGTATAGGCTAATCACTGTCTCCAGGGGGCCCACTAGTGGTATAGGCTAATCACTGTCTCCAGGGGGCCCACTAGTGGTATAGACTAATCACTGTCTCCAGGGGGCCCACTAGTGGTATAGGCTAATCACTGTCTCCAGGGAGCCCTCTAGTGGTATAGGCTAATCACTGTCTCCAGGGGGCCCACTACTGGCATAGGCTAATCACTGTCTCCAGGGAGCCCTCTAGTGGTATAGGCTAATCACTGTCTCCAGGGGGCCCACTACTGGCATAGGCTAATCACTGTCTCCAGGGGGGCCTCTAGTGGTATAGACTAATCACTGTCTCCAGGGGGCCCACTACTGGTATAGGCTAATCACTGTCTCCAGGGGGGCCTCTAGTGGTATAGACTAATCACTGTCTCCAGGGGGCCCTCTAGTGGTATAGGCTAATCACTGTCTCCAGGGGGGCCTCTAGTGGTATAGGCTAATCACTGTCTCCAGGGGGCCCACTACTGGCATAGGCTAATCACTGTCTCCAGGGGGGCCTCTAGTGGTATAGGCTAATCACTGTCTCCAGGGGGCCCACTACTGGCATAGGCTAATCCCTCTATCCACAGGGCCCTCTAGTGTTATAGGCTAATCACTGTATCCAGGGGGCCCTCTAGTGGTATAGGCTACTCACTGCGGGTGCATCTTGTAGAGAGAGCCGTCGATGCCCACAGTAGTGCGAAGACGAGGATTCCCTTTGTTGTCCTTTAGCCTGGAGAGGATGCCGCCCAGAGTGGCAGCGATGAGGTTGGCTGATCTGTGGGAGACTATGGTGCATACGTGCTGCACAGCGATGCAGTCATCTGCAGATGGTTCCACACCCAGGCGACCCAGGATCTCCTTGGCTTTGGTGAGGCCTTCTTTACTCCTGGACAATGACAGGTACGGAGAAGGGATGAGCTCAGTGGTGGTAAATAACATTACAAAGGTGTACAGTGGTAGTGTGAAGTCTTGAAATATGACACAAGTCGACACCGAAGGAAAATAAAACTGATTGACACCTACTTTTCAATGGCAGAAACATGTTTGGTATCAAATGTCCCTTTGGTAAGAAGTTCAGGGGTTATTCGACCCTCGAACAAAAATTCTTCTTTGGCCATCTTGACCAGGATGAGTCGCACAAGTTCGCCCATGTACATCCCACTGACCATCTTCTCAAACCTGGAGAGAAAAATATACAATACATTTCTAAACACTAAGGGAAAAGGTAACACTTAAGATAACATCTTCTATCAATACACTTGACTGATCCTTTCATAGTCACTCGGTAAGGTCTACTTTATAGTCTAATAATACTAGGAGACATACAGCTGTTTCCCTGGGTTCAGAGATCCCCGGTCAATCTCTCTGTCAAACTCTGTGCGAATGTCCTCCAGCATCCCATTGTCCCCGAAGGCTCCCCACTCTGTGTTGATGCACATCCTGCCCTCGTCTCCCTCCACCAGGTCAATGTGCCTCAGCTCCTCCATGTAACAAGCATTAGTACCTGTGCCTGAGATGACGTACAGAAGCAATGGTGAGGAAGATTCTGCCTTCTTTAACTATTTGCACATCGTTACAACACTGTACATTGCCAATAATATAACATTTGAAATGTCTATACTCCTTTAAAACTTTTGTGAGTGTAATGTTTACTGATTGTTTATTTCCCTTGTGTTTGTTGTCTATTCCATATGTTTCCCATGCCAATAAAGCCCTTTGAATTGAATTACATTGAAAAACTGTTGGGTAGCTAGAGGTAAAGACTCATAATACTGACAATGAAACAACCATTCTGAATGAAGGGTGCGAATGAATGCCAGGCTGACCTATGACGACCCCCACTTCACAATGCTGGTCGTCATAGCCACAGGTCATCATGGTTCCCACTGTGTCATTAACAAGGGCCACCACATCGATTCCCTATGAACAGTGTTGGCTGGTGTTTTAATTTACAACTGCATGTTTTAAAATACTGTAGTACATCCAGAAACGAAGGAGAATGAGGAAACACCAAGAGACAACACGTTAGTAGCGAGAGTACTACTTCCTGTATATAGCTCTGTATATACATGGAGGTCCATTCTTGTGCGTTATATTTTATTCCTTGTGTTACTCTATTTTTATTATGACTTTTTTTTTTTACTCTGCATCGTTGGGAGGGGCTCGTAAGCAAGCGTTTCACGGTAAAGTCTATTTGGCTAATTTGACAAACATTTGATTTGATTTGAGTGCGTACCCAATGAGCTTCAACCCGGCTTGAACAAAAAATGGGGCAAAAAGGTGATAAGCAGAGAAACATTGAAATCCAACAGCATTGTATCTGTTCGAATGAAAAAATTATAAAAAATGTCTGAATAAAAAAAAAAAGAATGGTCTGTTGGGAGGTAAGTGGATACCTATGATGACCCCGACTTCACACCGCTGGTCATCAAAGCCACAGGTCATCATGGTTCCAACCGTGTCGTTGACCACTGCCATGATGTCTGCGTCATAGTCCTGAAAAAAGCACAGGGTTACAATTATACAACCTTGGTGCAACAGATGTCTTTCTATTCATTGCTTATGACTGAACTTCATTGTCATTGCATCAGGCAATCATGCTTAAAAACATCAAACATACCCCACGCTTTTTGATGGCCTTGTTCAGAAGTGCCACAACGTCCATCCCCTCAACTCCACTGGCTTTAAAGCGTTTAGTCCAAGTGAGCAAATAACTCTGCGACAGACAAACAGGCAGTTAGATGATTGAGCTACAATATATGAACTGTCTTCGAAACTGAAGCTGATACTCTCACAGGTGTACAGTACTATTGGCTTGTTCATTCTCTCACCTCATTCAGTTTGGTTTGTGCACAGGGGAATGAGAAGGTGAAGCCGACTGGAAGCTTCTTGTCCTTGATATTCTGCTTCTCCATGAAGTCACCCAGGCACTCTGCAACATGGTCAAACAACTGCAAGAGAAAGGAAAATAATTAAGTTAGGGATAGTTATCTCGACAGCAATCTATGGACAAGGAGAGACTGCAATGCACACTTTGTTTCCCTTGCCACTAGGCTTTTAGGGCCCTATTCAGACTTGAGATAAGTTGATTTGACACAGACTTAAGAAAAAAATAAAAAAAGACTTAAAGAGCAACTGCCCCTAAAAAGCAACATCTCGTTTTGAAAACGTCCTATGTGTAATCGATATGAATCAGAATAATTTACTCTAGTGTCAAAATTGACTACAAAGTGTAAATAGAATAATGTTGGTCATAAAGTCAGTCTCGTCCAAAAAGGAGATTTGCGAGATGATAGGAAAAAATTGTAGGTCACGGCATGAAGGGTACCGTAACAGTTTTCTGTGGGTTGGGTTTATTTTAATCCTGATCAAAAGAGAACCATCACGCTCTCCCAGAAGCTTGGCTGGTGTGTAAAACCCGCGGATTCAGACGAACAAAAATCTGTAATGGGTTCGCACCCAAAAAGATGTTGCATTACTTCATTATTCAATGTTAATAATTTTCACTGCATCAGGGATAGCTTACACAGACGTTTCAGCTTTACAGCCTTCTTCAGTGGGTAGGTACAATTGTCTTTTAATTCCAAGCAGCATTAGTAAAGAACAACAGATGAGCAGCGGGTGCTTCTAATCATGGTTGCCACTCATCTGCCAATCAGGGATGTGGCTTTTCTGGTCTACTTGTATACAAATGAGTCACAAAGAAACACTTTATGCTTCATGCGACATCTTTTTGAGTGCGAACCCATAACACCTTCTTGTTTATTTTAATCCTGCCCACATGCCCACAGCTGGTAGCACCCAAGTAATCGTTTTGTAATGCCCATGTTCAATTTGGTTTGACATTCAATATCCCTATGGGGCTGGTTAGGGACAATCAGTAAATTACACAATGTACATGGGACAATATTTTAAAATGTCAATAGCTCCAAATGTCAATTACTTAAAAACCTCAAACCAACTATAAATTGTAGAAATTCATATACAAATATTGAAAGCATTTAATGAGACAACTAGACGGTGTGCAACATGAAATGATTTTCCCATTTACATTGTGTAATTTATTGACGGTCCCTAACTATCCCCAGGGATAGGCTATCCAAAGTCAAACTAATTTTGCCACGGTCGCACAACGCCGGCTGAAGCTAATTGGCAAAATAATTTGGCTTACTCTTCCCACCTGCGAACACACACAAGAGACAACGACATCAAACCACACCCCCGAAACCAACTGATGTTTGAATTCAGTCATAGCCGCTAGCATTTCTTAATGAACCAAATCTAAAACGAGGCCAAATCAGGAAATAATTTACTTAAGTCCATTGTTAATTAAAGATGCAATATGCAGAAATCACTCTGCCATTTCCTGGTTACTAAAATTTTTATAGTTAGCCTAATTTCAGTTTATGTGTCAAAACAAGCAATGAATAGCGTAGAGAATCATTGTACCATCTAAACTGCCGTGAAATATATTTTCAATAACCAAACATATTGTATTTTCAGCTGTTTGAAGCTGGTATACAAAACCGAAAGTAAAAGATGCAAAAACAAAACTTAAGAACTAAGCATAGAAATAGCACACATAGAACAGATCTACAGCTGCTTAGACTTGCTTTCAATGTGAATAACATATCTATAACATATTTCTATGTGAATTTGATCGGGTCGCCCAAAAAGTTACATATTGCAGCTTTAAGTCTACTTATCTCAAGTCTGAATCGGGCCCTTAGACATGTACATATGGTATGAGTTTGAAAGGTACCCTGTACCTGAGTGCCGCTGCCATGGATGATGTCCTCAGGAGTGTCATAGACCTGGCTCTCCATCTGAACCGTCTGCTTCTTCTCATGGGACACCTTCACTCGCAGGATGCGGAAGGCCGAGCCTCCCAGATCCAGAGCAATGAAGTCCCCCTTCTCTGTAACAAGCAAAAACAATATGGATGTGTTCCTTCATCGCACCTTCAAATGCATTTTATTGTGGATTATTATTCTGTGTTCTTTCATGTACAGATGTAGGATCTTAATTTGAACCAGTTTTCTACAGCAGGAAAATAATCCTCCAGCAACAGGAAATGTGAATTATTGTGTGGATCATAATGAATATACATTTTTGTAGGGGTTGATGCATTGCAGGAAAGTTCTCCTGCAACAGGGTGTTTAAATTAAGATCCTACACCTGTATGTGTCTTTTTAAGAACATGACCAAATACATTTTCCCCTGGTGGGATAATAAAGTTGATATAATCTAATCTAATGTTGTCACAGCAAGAACATATGAGCCACTGGAAGCAGAGGCATGATGCCCACTGGAACTGAAGGGGGCACATAGTCCTGATAGAGGTATGTGGGTTATAGTTCTACAGTCAGATTCCACAGAGACTGAACTCCTTGTGTTGCCCATGCCTGGGCTGACTATCCTTGGCATTGCCATGCAACACTATATCATTTTGGCAAAAGCTCCTGGCAACTCTTGCCAAAAATCCACTCTACCGGGAATTAAAGACAGTTTGACACTGTCTTGAGAACATGTTGCAATTAAAGCAGTAGTCCTTTATGGGCATGACAACTTCTCCTTTGAAAACCAACGGAACTATGCAACATTCCTTTGAAAACTAGAGGAAATGCAACATTTGAACCGTAGAGGTCTACTGCATATCTGATCTCTTACTCCATCCACAAGCTAATACACTGACAGTGTGGTTACATTTACATTTACATTTTAGTCATTTAGCAGACGCTCTTATCCAGAGCAACTTACAGTTAGTGAATACATATATTATTTTTTTATACTGGCCCCCCGTGGGAATCGAACCCACAACCCTGGCGTTGCAAACGCCATGCTCTATCAACTGAGCTACATCCCTGCCGGCCATTCCCTCCCCTACCCTGGACGACGCTGGGCCAATTGTGCGCCGCCCCATGGGTCTCCCGGTCGCGGCCGGCTGCGACAGAGCCTGGATTCGAACCAGGATCTCTAGTGGCACAGTTTGCACTGCGATGCAGTGCCTTAGACCACTGCGCCACTCTGGTTCATGTAACTTTTTGATTTACTTCAAAGTGATTGTTTGATAGGAAATGCATTATTTATTTTTTACATCCAATCCTAAAACACTGAGTGCAGACAGATTAACAACCTAATCCACCCTACTGCTGTCGCCTGACAACAACAAATCATTGCTAGGTTGGCTATCGGCTAGTATTCACACTCTGCCAAATTGGTCTTCTGATGGGAGAAAGTGAGAAAGCTTCACCGATGATTGCACTACACCAGGGTTGCCCAACTCTGTTCCTGGAGAGCTACCCTCCTGTAGGTTTTCGCTCCCACCCCAGGTGTAACTAACCTGATTCATTTTATCAACCTGCTAATTCTAGAATCAGGTGTACTAGATTAGGGTTGGAACAAAAACTTACAGGATGGTAGCTCTCCAGGAACAGGGTTGGGCAGTCCTGCACTACACAGTTGCACTAACTTCAGTCAGTGTAGCGTTGCAACAGTAGGCTAGGTCAAGAGGTAGTCAAACCCATTAGACTTCCTTCACTGCTTCCTTGTTAATAAATTAACACGTTTTAACATGTGAATGAGAGCAGAATTCAGCGGCCTGGATGATACTTGCCACAGAAACAGTAGGAGTCTTAAAGGAGCCACTAAACTATCCTGTATTTACAATGTTCATCTTTATTAGTATCGCATTACTTACAAATGAAGAGGCTGAAAATCACATAAAAGTATATAGATAGCCTAGTGAAAATCATTGTTTTAAATCTAATTCTCCACTCCCTTCAACAATTCCTTATGGAATAAATAACTGAAGGAATGCCAGGGTCCTCAACCATCTTCATAGTGTACTATGTATTAATTTCAAGAAGTTATTACTGTGTTGTTAAACAGGAATCAAGACATTCATAGCGATGCTTGTGGAGCTAAAAGATGATCAGGATACAGTTCCATGTCACTGACCGTGGGAAACATTTTGGTGTTGCAGTGGCTGATAGTCATATTCCATATAGTTGATAACACATAACACATATAGTTGATAATGTTGACCATGCTCACACGTAGATCCCCAAGCTAATGCTATAGGCATTTCCTCAAAGTGTTACCACGGTATTGTAGCACACAGGAGACCCGGGTTCCAAACCCGCCGGTCACACACACAACTCAGCCTTCTACCGAGTACAGACGGTACAATCAATCAGACACTGACTGCCTGTGAAAATCTGGAGGTGGGATTATGTGTAATCTATGATGTAATCACAGGCTTTTGATAGGGTGCTGGAGGGCTTGAACATAGAATGCTTACACACTGCAGCAAAGGCAGATTCTACCATGATTACATGGCAAGCTTGGCGCTGCAGTAGGCTTACAGCTAATCAGACGACAACAGTTCATTCAACATTGAATGAATGCATTAATGAACCCACTGGATGCTTCATTTATCAATTTGAAACACATTATTCAAGTTAGTTGATCGAAAAATGTACCAATCTTCTGCTACTTTAGATTGACACACCAGTTGTTCCCACATTCTAGCAAAGTTTATAAGTGTTGGACACAATAAGATGCAATTTTTCATGAATCAAACATTATTTCAGGGTACTGTATCAGGGACCTCAGATAACCTTTTTCATTAAAAGGGTTTGATTTGAAAGTTGGCAGATTAAATGTTCTGCCAACTCATATTGACCTGCCCTGAAATATCATAGGAAAATTGATGAGGTGAGATTTATGAGATTGTGTCCTTTAATATTGGTAAAATTAAATGTAGGTCTGACTCAGGAAATCAGATCCTCTCATTTCTATTGTGACTGTAACTAACTGGGGTGTAATCATTCTGCCAATTCTGTTGCAAAGCGTTTCTCAAACGAACGCAAATGGAACAAAATGGGGAGGGACTTACTTGAATTTGTCCAATAGAAACTCTTGTTTTAGCATCTAAGGCTAATGATTACACCCCAGGTTTCTTCATCCCACCTAGATGTGTACAGATGTACGATCTTCATTTTAGACGTTTCTAACAGCTGGAAAATAATCCTGCAGCAACAGGAAATGTGAATTATTGTGTGGATTATAATTAATGGACATTTTTGTAGGGGTTTATACATTTTGTTGTTAGGGCTAACCTAACGTAGCAGACGTAACAGAAACGCCTGAAAATAGATCCCTTACATACTGGTCTTGATGAGAAGAAGAAAAAACTGTCGGGGGAGGTTCTCTCTGCACTGTTCAACCAATCCAGTAAATGTGGAGGAGGAGTTAAGATGGAGTGTTGCCTTGTTAACGTCCAAAAGCTGAAGTAGCGTCACAAGTTCTTTTTCCATTTCCCCTGAAAACCGGAACATCCGGTTGTTGGATAATCGGCAGAGGCTAAATTACGTCAAATCAATTCTGACATTTTAAAGTGGAAATTACAAACTTTAGAAGCCTTTTAAAACCTTGAATACAAGGTTTGTATTTCCTGGTATGCAGGAAATGTCCTGAAACAACAGGGTGATCAAATTAATATCCTACACTGGTAACTTTAACATGTTACATCTTGTCCCTATTAAAGAAACGCATACATTTCCCACAACTCTTCTTCATCTGAGTATCCATGCTCACCTGATCCGTCAGGAATGGACCTGACGAAGGTGGGCAGCATCTTGACGGTTGCTGTGGGATTGGTGTCCTGGCCCAGCCCATTTCCCAGCTCCATCCTGAAGCGCTTCATGATGTCCACCAGCGTCTCGTCGGAGAAACGCATGGCATACAGGTACTTATCGATCTGAAAGACATCAACACGTCATCATCATTGATCATTCACAACCACCTTCTTCTTGAGGGAAATGTTTTCTCCAGTTTAATCCATTCACCATTTATACATCAACATTCAAAAAATTAAGATGATATTATCTGCTTTCTCCTTGAAAGGGAACACAATGGGCTCACAAACAACACCAAAAGTTACAAAACACGACATTCTAGTAGTACTAGTAATTCAGCTGTCCTTTGACATACTGGGCCTAGTGACATGAAGGCCACACCTCTGACCCTTAATCTTGGGAGAGTGAGCCGTTCTGTCCAAGTGAATGAAGGCAGCACTAGTGAAATAAAACAGGAGTTTATTTGAGGACAGGGCTCTACTGAGCTACCTTGAGACATTCCAGTAAAGAGCTACACAGTGCCAGTCTGTAATAAGAGGAATAAAACTGAAAGGAATTTATGTGAGATATAAAATGATTGGGTTAGCACTAACTGTATAAACTTTAATCCAATGCAGGAAACATTAAAAGCAAGTCACGATGATTGGCATACAGTACATACAGTCAGCATTGTTATAAAAAATAATGAACACACACCATACAGTGCCTTCAGAAAGTATTCACACCCCTTGACTTTTTCCACATTTTGTTGTGTTACAGCCTAAATTTCAGACACAGATTCAACTAGAAACACCAGGGAGGTTTCCAATGCCTCGCAAAGAAGGGCACCTATTTGTAGATGGGTTAAAAAAAAAAAGCAGACATTGAATATCCCTTTGAGTATGAGGAATACAATTTAAGATGGATCAACAACGAGCAGCCGGTGTAGTACGATTCAATCTTAGTCCCGAATTGACTCTGCCTGTTTGATGGTTTGTCAGAGGGCATAGCGGGATTTCTTATAAGCGTCTGGGTTTGAGTCCCACTCCTTGAAAGCGGCAGCTCTACCCTTTAGCTCAGTGCAGATGTTGCCTGTAATCCATGGCTTCTGGTTGGGGTATGAACGTACGGTCACTGTGGGGCCGACGTCATCAATGCACTTATTGATGAAGCCAGTGACTGATGTGGTGTACTCCTCAATGCCATCGGAAGAATCCCCGAACATATTCCAGTCTGTGCTAGGAAAAACAGTCCTGCAGCTTAGCATCTGCATCATCTGACCACTTCCTTATTAACCGAGTCACTGGTGCTTCCTGCTTTAGTTTTTGCTTATAAGCAGGAATCAGGAGGATATAATTATGGTCAGATTTGCCAAATGGAGGGCGAGGGAGAGCTTTCTACGCATCTCTGTGTGTGGAGTAAAGGTGGTCTAGAGTTTTTTTTCCTCTGGTTGCACATTTAACATGCTGGTAGAAATTAGGTAGAACGGATTTAAGTTTCCCTGCATTAAAGTCCCCGGCCACTAGGAGCGCTGCCTCTGGATGTTTTCCTGTTTGCTTATGGCCTTATACAGCTCATTGAGTGCAGTCTTAGTGCCAGCATCGGTTTGAGGTGGTAAATAGACAGTTACGAAAAATATAGAAGAAAACTCTCTTGGTAAATATTGTGGTCTAAAGCTTATCATGAGATACTCTACCTCAGGCGAGCAAAACCTAGAGACTTCCTTACTATTTGATTTTGTGCACCAGCTGTTGTTTACAAATATACACAGACCGCCACCCCTTGTCTTACTGGAGTCAGCCGTTTTATCCTGCCGATGTAGTGTTTATCCCGCCAGGATATCCTTGATCGTATGTCTTCCATTTTGTTTTCCAATCATTTTACGTTGGCTAATAGGACTGATGGAAGAGGCAGATTACTCACTCTCCGTCGGATCCTTACAAGGCACCCCGACCTACGTCCACGATATCTCCGTCTCTTTCTCATGCGAATGATGGGGATTTGGGCCTTGTCGGGTGTCTGTAGAATATCCATCGCGTCCGACTCGTTGAAGAAAAAATCTTCGTCCATTACGAGGTGAGTAATCGCTGTCCTGATATCCAGAAGCTCTTTTTGGTCATAAGAGACGGTGGCAGAAACATTAGTCAGGGAAAAAAGTATTTGATCCCCTGCTGATTCTGTATTTTTGCCCACTGACAAAGACATGATCAGTCTATAGTTTTAATGGTAGGTTTATTTGAACAGTGAGAGACAGAATAACAACAAAAAAATCCAGAATAACGCATGTCAAAAATGTTATAAATTGATTTGCATTTTAATGAGGGAAATAAGTATTTGACCCCTCTGCAAAACATGACTTAGTACTTGGTGGCAAAACCCTTGTTGGCAATCACAGAGGTCAGACATTTCTTGTAGTTGGCCACCAGGTTTGCACACATCTCAGGAGGGATTTTGTCCCACTCCTCTTTGCAGATCTTCTCCAAGTCATTAAGGTTTTGAGGCTGATGTTTTGCAACTCGAACCTTCAGCTCCCTCCACAGATTTTCTATGGGATTAAGGTCTGGAGACTGGCTAGGCCACTCCAGGACCTTAATGTGCTTCTTCTTGAGCCACTCCTTTGTTGCCTTGGCCGTGTGTTTTGGGTCAATGTCATGCTGGAATACCCATCCACGACCAATTTTCAATGCCGTGGCTGAGGGAAGGAGGTTCTCACCCAAGATTTGACGGTACATGGCCCCGTCCATCGTCCCTTTGATGCGGTGAAGTTGTCCTGTCCCCTTAGCAGAAAAACACCACCAAAGCATAATGTTTCCACCTCCATGTTTGATGGTGGGGATGGTGTTCTTGGGGTCATAGGCAGCATTCCTCCTCCTCCAAACACGGCGAGTTGAGTTGATGCCAAAGAGCTCGATTTTGGTCTCATCTGACCACAACACTTTCACCCAGTTCTCCTCTGAATCATTCAGATGTTCATTGGCAAACTTCAGATGGGCCTGTATATGTGCTTTCTTGAGCAGGGGGACCTTGCGGGCGCTGCAGGATTTCAGTTCTTCACGGCGTAGTGTGTTACCAATTATTTTCTTGGTGACTATGGTCCCAGCTGCCTTGAGATCATTGACAAGATCCTCCTGTGTAGTTCTGGGCTGATTCCTCACCGTTCTCATGATCATTGCAACTCCACGAGGTGAGATCTTGCATGGAGCCCCAGGCAGAGGGAGATTGACAGTTATTTTGTGTTTCTTCCATTTGCGAATAATCGCACCAACTGTTGTCACCTTCTCACCAAGCTGCTTGGCGATGGTCTTGTAGCCTAGTGTGCTCCTAATCTCAGCTCGTTACCTGTATAAAAGACACCTGGGAGCCAGAAATCTTTGTGATTGAGAGGGGGTTAAATACTTATTTCCCTCATTAAAATGCTTATCAATTTATAAAATTTTTGACATGCGTTTTTCTGGATTTTTTTGTTGTTATTCTGTCTCTCACTGTTCAAATAAACCTACCATTAAAATTATAGACTGATAATTTCTTTGTCAGTGGGCAAACGTACAAAATCAGCAGGGGATCAAATACTTTTTTCCCTCACTGTATGTACAGAATAAATTACAAATAACGCGAAAAAACACACATAATAGCACAATTGGTTAGGGGACCGTAAAACGGCAGCCATCTCCTCCGGCGCCATTCTAACTACCAGGTGTGCAAAGCTCTTGGAGACTTACCCAGAAAGACCCACAGCTGTAATCGCTGCCAAATGTGATTCTAACATGTATTGTCTCAGGGATGTGAATACTTATGTAAATTAGATATTTCTGTATTTCATTTTCAATAACTTTGCTTAAAATGTATAAAAACATGTTTTAACTTTGTCATTATGGGGTATTGTGTGTTTGGTTAAATTCATTTACAAAACAGGCTGAAACACAATAAGTCAAGGGGTATGAATACTTTCTGAAGGCAAGGTAAATAGCAGTCATTTATGAACAATGTGTGGGCTTCCTGTTCCAGGGGTTAGATATTACACATATTTCCTGTTCTACCCATTTCATCAGCCTTGAGATTAGGCTGATGAAATTTGGTAATGCGCTTTTTACAAACATGTAGTGTTATTTATTGTTTTTAAATATTGATTGTGCAAAAAGTAGTGTCTTCACTTGTCCTTTGTTACATTTACACGTAGGACACATAATAGTTTTGTAGACACAACTAACCCTGTAAGGAATGCTTTTGTATTAACTGAAAGTGGCCACATGTTGAACCTTCATTGCATTGTGTTCAGAACACTGTTTAACCTGATAACCAGACGTAATATGGGTGTGTTTCTCTAGCCACTGGCTAAAGGCCTTGGAGTATGCCAAACAAAGTATTTCGATATGTCAATGTTTTTTTACTACCACAGCACATATCGCAATAAAGGAGAGAGGATATGTAAACTTAGTTATCACTGGTAACTTTTTACAGTCATCACATTGTTTCCTGTTTCCTAAAGATGTAGAACGGGAGTGTGGCCCTTTAGCACGTCCCTCGCTGCTGGCCACGTAGGCGTAGTTGTCTGACATATTAATCACGTAAATTAGTGACCACAAACCCACACAATCTATGTGCTGCCTATGTCACATTCCTTATCCCTGATCGTATTGCACATATTGTAAAAAATATAATAAAAAAATCTGGATACTACTCAGAGAGGGTATTGCACAATTAAGGAAGATTGGATTGTACAAGACCTGAATGTTTTAGATTCCTTTTTAGAGTCGAACTGAGTTGATCACCAAACACAGCAAATTTAGAGGAGAAAATAACTCTAAAAAATGTACTTGCAGCTCACCAAACAAGTAAAAGCACATACATATTTTGATCACTGTTTGGGCCTGTTACAAAACACTAGTTGAGCCCAACAACTTGCAACTGAATGTTTCTTTCATTAGCACTACAAGTCATGCTGCTGCACATCTCAGACATCCACACGAATAACCTTCAGAGAATAAATAACCTGTACCTCGCTGTAATTTGTCTGTGCCAGAGAAATCTAAAGATGTTTGATACTTCCCAATAATTGCTGGTTTTAATCTAGTGACATTACATTTACCACAAGGATATAGGATTCTCAGCTAGATTATGTACTTGCTAGCTTGTCTTTAGGAATTTTCCACTAACACACCCTAGCCAGTAGTCCTACAACAGCCTAGAGAGGTGGTGTTGGGCAGTTTCAACATGCACGTTCTCAATGTTTGCATTCCTTTCTCTCTCAACAATGCAGAGTGAAATTATTACAGCAAGGGCCTCCAGGAAGCGGGTGGACGCAATGTCATTCGGCGGCTGAAACCTGACTCTCTGCTCACAAGAGGTGGGTAGACTTTTAGATGCTCCTGACCTCTCACAGGGTTAGAGTTACCACACCCTAAACATTCAGTCACAAGAGACATGGAAAAATCCAGAACCCACTGCTCAGGGCAGCCCACATCCTGGTTTCAAGGACATTGCAGTGGCACAGACAAGATGCCCTGACCGGTACTGTCAATGCTGCTGCATGCTATCACAACATAGGGAAATGTAACCCTGACTCTAGTCAGAGAGAATCTACCAGCTTCAGGGCACTCCATAAGCCCAGGGCTTCAGATTGTGTCACCTTTTGTCACATGGCCCTGAGCTCTGTGCCTCAAAGCTGTCCTATTTTTAGGAGGAAGGTAGCAATGGCTCTGCTTGCTGTAGCACAGTCCCTACAGGGCACTCACCTTTTTGACTTTGTCATCCTTCAACTCAGTGAAGAAGTAGGCCAGAAGCTGTGCTGCTATCATCCTGTCCACCGATGTAGTGAAGGAGAAATGGAGAGTTAAAAAAAAGGGAAGTCCCTATAGTCCCCTCTCACTGGTGAGGAGGTTTAAAAAAAAGCTCACAGTTTCAAACAAAGCGCTCATGTATGGGGCTCCCACACAGATTAGCACTATCGCAAACACTCTCTCCCTGAGCCCAGGAAGTCAGACTATATGGAGTAAGTTTAGCTTGCATGAGATGCAGGCAGCAGGGGTGCTGGGATGGGTACTGGTTTAAGCCCTGCCTACTGCCTGTGCTCTGATTGGCTGTGCTGCTGAAGCCGGGGCCTCCCAGGCAGAACCCAGCTGAAACGGTGGGTGGCTGGCTGGCTGGCTGCCTGCAGTACACACTCGCCTTCACAAGAACATCGGGTGGGGGAGGAAACAAGGAAGTAGAGGAGACAGAGGAGACGGGGAAAAATAGAACCAGTCTCAATCCTTTTTTTACTGTGTTAAAGAGGAAACCGACATGCATGTTCAGCATGTTGCTATGGTGATGGCTCATAGGGGTTAAAGAGTAAGGCAGAGAGAGGGGTTAGGTTACGATGTGGTGATGGCTCATAGGGGTTAAAGAGTAAGGCAGAGAGAGGGGTTAGGTTATGATGAATTGCCCTTGCTCTTGGGTTGAGCCTGTGTCACTCGAGTGTCCTCCTCATTAAGCTGACTAATATTTCTCTTGACTGCCTCTACTAAAGACTGCTGCTGTCTGTTACCTCACTGCTGCCAACAATGGGCAGTGGTACAAGCTGCCTGAAGGACACTAGGGCATTGTAAAGGTTTAAGATATGGCTCAGAGGTCCAGTTGTGGCAAAGCAACTGACTGTATGACCACTATAAATTAATAAGTTTGATTAACAAATACACACAAAGCAGAAAAGAACTAGTATTGAGTATTTTGGTCAGCCTGTTGTTAACAATTTAGAACGTCCCCCTGCTGAATACGGAATCCCGGCTGAATCCAGGTTACGTTTTGTTCTCTGTCTCACACACAGTGAGTGGTGTGTATAAACGGATGTGGTTCAGCTCATGAGGATCAGATGACACACCTCTGACGTGTGCTATTCTCTGAAACACAAGGCCTCTATCCAACCCCTCCCCTCCCGCTCCCCTACACCTCCCTGCTCCCCTCCCAACTGCTGTAATTGAGCAGGAGGGATTGTCACTGCATTTGTCTGGTAATTCCAGAGCTAGTCACCAGGGGAAGTTAAGTTCTCTCTTACTCACTTCTTTTGAACAAGGTTCAGGGTTTTTGAACAAGGTTCAGAGTTTTGCTCACACTGTTTACACACTTTCAGAATTTAGAAATAGTGAAAGAAGAACAGGTCGACGGGGGGATGTGTGTGTGTTTGTGGAACGTTAGAGAGTGAGAGCAGGAAAGAGAGAGTGATCTAGCTCACCTGCTGTACTCAATCATCGCTTTACAATTTCAAAGACAATGAAAGCAGATCTGTTACCATGTAGTTAACGCTTCACTATTCATAGAAACCTAAATCCACTAGCCTTGGGCATTCCATCAATACTAATAAAACAGGGAATTAATTATGAATTTTAAAACTCTATTACTCAGCTATAGTATACTATTGAGGCTGAGGAGTGATTGTTACACTTTGGATATGCATGCACAGACACACAACCAATCAACACAGACTTCATAAACATAAAGCGATTTCCTGTCAGTGACAGTTTGAGTTAGAATCACCATGGGGACAACGTATATGATGTTTACACAGTAGATAACTGAGAGGAAATGATCTTCCAAAGAGCTGGGAAGGAGTAGGAATTCACACTGAGCAATAGAATAGGATTTTGATCATGTGTAATGTATGAGTCACATTTTGTGAGGTGACCATTTAAAAAATATTCACTTTATTTTACAGCCACACATAGATTGAACAGTTTTGAACTTGGTGGGGAGAATATCACAATAATATGTGTTCCCCTATGCTGGGATATTCTGTTTGTCTTTTATACAGTGGGGGAAAAAAGTATTTAGTCAGCCACCAATTGTGCAAGTTCTCCCACTTAAAAAGATGAGAGAGGCCTGTAATTTTCATCATAGGTACACGTCAACTATGACAGACAAATTTAGAAAACAAAATCCAGAAAATCACATTGTAGGATTTTTTATGAATTTATTTGCAAATTATGGTGGAAAATAAGTATTTGGTCACCTACAAACAAGCAAGATTTCTGGCTCTCACAGACCTGTAACTTCTTCTTTAAGAGGCTCCTCTGTCCTCCACTCGTTACCTGTATTAATGGCACCTGTTTGAACTTGTTATCAGTATAAAAGACACCTGTCCACAGCCTCAAACAGTCACACTCGAAACTCCACTATGGCCAAGACCAAAGAGCTGTCAAAGGACACCAGAAACAAAATTGTAGACCTGCAATAGGCTGGGAAGACTGAATCTGCAATAGGTAAGCAGCTTGGTTTGAAGAAATCAACTGTGGGAGCAATTATTAGGAAATGGAAGACATACAAGACCACTGATAATCTCCCTCGATCTGAGTCTCCACGCAAGATCTCACCCCGTGGGGTCAAAATGATCACAAGAACGGTGAGCAAAAATCCCAGAACCACACGGGGGGACCTAGTGAATGACCTGCAGAGAGCTGGGACCAAAGTAACAAAGCCTACCATCAGTAACACACTACGCCGCCAGGGACTCAAATCCTGCTGCGCCAGACGTGTCCCCCTGCTTAAGCCAGTACATGTCCAGGCCCGTCTGAAGTGTGCTAGAGTGCATTTGGATGATCCAGAAGAGGATTGGGAGAATGTCATATGGTCAGATGAAACCAAAATATAACTTTTTGGTAAAAACTCAACTCGTCGTGTTTGGAGGACAAAGAATGCTGAGTTGCATCCAAAGAACACCATACCTACTGTGAAGCATGGGGGTGGAAACATCATGCTTTGGGGCTGTTTTTCTGCAAAGGGACCAGGACAACTGATCCGTGTAAAGGAAAGAATGAATGGGGCCATGTATCGTGAGATTTTGAGTGAAAACCTCCTTCCATCAGCAAGGGCATTGAAGATGAAACGTGGCTGGGTCTTTTAGCATGACAATGATCCCAAACACACCGCCCGGGCAACGAAGGAGTGACTTCGTAAGAAGCATTTCAAGGTCCTGGAGTGGCCTAGCCAGTCTCCAGATCTCAACCCCATAGAAAATCTTTTGGAGGGAGTTGAAAGTCCGTGTTGCCCAGCGACAGCCCCAAAACATCACTGCTCTAGAGGAGATCTGCATGGAGGAATGGGCCAAAATTGGGCCAGCAACAGTGTGTGAAAACCTTGTGAAGACTTACAGAAAACGTTTCACCTGTGTCATTGCCAACAAAGGGTATATAACAAAGTATTGAGAAACTTTTGTTATTGACCAAATACTTATTTTCCACCATAATTTGCAAATAAATTCATAAAAAATCCTACAATGTGATTTTCTGGAAAAAAAATTCTCATTTTGTCTGTCATAGTTGATGTGTACCTTTGATGAAAATTACAGGCCTCTCTCATCTTTTTAAGTGGGAGAACATGCACAATTGGTGGCTGACTAAATACTTTTTTCCCCCACTGTATATGAATATAATAATTTTAATTTTTTACAGAAACGTTGAAATACGAGAAGTAATACTGTAACACAAATCATTTCATTTCCTTATGCTTGAATTGCCTATTGTCACATATAAGTGATTCAGTTATAGTGGTCTACAGAAAAAAGGTCAGTGGTGTTCATCAACAAAACATCTTCAGGCAATGTGAATAAGCCTGTACATCAGTTTTCATACAAATTATCCAGCTAGCAACTTTTCTATCTATCACACAGCTAATGCCTTGTGTTCCTGTCCAAGAATCCAATTAATAAGCACTCGCTACGGTATTAAGCAATGACTTCAGTTGAATTTGCTTTATTCAGCTAACCATAACGCATATTCATTATAAACCTAGCATCTCCCTCCACCTAATGAGATAGTTGAGTGATACGTACAGTAGGATGTGGTAAAATATTTTCATTATCTCTCTCTTCGTCTCTCTTCAATCTCTTCATGTTCTCCATGGTTGAAGGAAAAGTCTTCTCGTCAATAAGATTAGGTCATCTCAACGTAAGTCAGTGCTACCAACTTGTTCCTCCAGATAGGATTGGCCTGGGACTTAAGAGAGGGTGATCCATTTTATAATGAAATGGTGACTACGCTACTTTGCCGGGCCCAATGTGTCTGCAGTCCTTCAGAATCACACATCTATGCTGATTCCCCTTGTGATACTGTATTTCTGACTGAAAGCACTTATTGCTACAACATAACAAACAAGAATGCTGAATGAATGCACCCAAATATCTTCAGCCAAAGGAGCAACAAAGGCTTCACTAAATCTGCCAGACACCTTGCCTCTCTTTAGAAATGCACAAATAAATCACAGGTGGGCCCAATGCCCTCTAAGGGACCATCACAATTCTTAAAATAGTCATAATCGTCCTATACATTGAGGGGGGCATGTACAGTATGTCAGTACATAGTGCTGTTTATATGCTGGTTTTGCGAGTGTGACTTACAGCATGCAGCAGCCCCTAAACCTGAATGAGCTGAATCATTAGCCCAGGAGGCTAGGTCGCTGCTAGGACAGAGAGGGATTACCGTGAGTATGGTTTTCCCTCTACTACAGCGTATAGTCTGATGACGTAGCGTGCAGCTGTCCTGGTTGAACATTTAAAACCACTAGGGGTCTAATTTAGCCAACATAAGAGGGGACATTCCAATGTTGTAACCCAGGATATGAATAAAAATGAATCACTTTACGTGACTGTGTAATTGAATTCTACAGGAGGTGACAATTGAATATAGATTTGGAAACAGTTTTGAGCCTTTAGTTTGACTCCTGACTACATGTTGTCAAAGTCTGGACCAGGTGTTAGTTTGACTCCTGACTACATGTTGTAACTGGCTACGAGACTATTGCAGCTTTGTGGGTGTAACATTTATTGACAATTTTGATACCTTCTGGAAACGTTTTATAAGGAGGATGGGATCCACCCAAATCATTTGGGTTCCTGGATCCTTTCACAGCATTATAAGGCAGTGTTGAGACAATGACTTGTCAATGACCCAAGCCCAGCTCAGTCAATCCCTACCATTGTGTCGCTGAGTTGTCACAATGCTTCAGCAAATGTACAATATCCCAGGGGCGTTGGAATACACAATGTAAGTATCCTAATTTATGTCCCTCTAACTGCCCTGAATGCTTCTGCTGATCCTACAGCTATGTATGCAGTAATCATGTGCCTATGAACCAGAGTTATACTGTTAACATTGAGGCAGTGTGCTCTAGTAGGAAGTCCACTGTGTGCAGCTCACCCTGCACTAACATAAGCATGTCTACTTCTGCTAAGCTTCCCAGTGAAGCAATGAAAACAATCAAGCATCCCAGAAAAGTGCTCAAAATAGCCCACATTAACATATGTAGCTTAAGAAACAAGGTTCATGAAATCAATAACTTGCTAGTAACAGATGACATTCATATTCTGACAATCTCTGAAACTCACTTAGAAAATACCTGATGATATAGTGGTAGCAATACATGGTTATAACATCTAAATAAAATACAGAAATGCCAAAGGTGGAGGTGTTGCCGTTTATATTCAGAACCACATTCCTGTAAAGCTTAGAGAGGAGCTCATGTTAATTACTGTTGAAGTAATATGGCTACAGGTTCATCTGCCTCACCTAAAGCCCATTCTGGTGGGAAGCTGCAATAGACAACCAAGTGCTAACAGTCAGTATCTGGATAACATGTGTGAAATGCTTGATAATGTATGTGGTATCAACAGAGAGGTATATCTTCTGGGTCATTTAAATATTGACTGGCTTTCATCAAGCTGCCCACTCAAGAAAAAGCTTCAAACTGTAACTAGTGCCTGCAACCTGGTTCAGTCAACCTACCAAGGTAGTTACAAACAGCACAGGAATGAAATCATCAATGTATTGATCACATCTTTACTAATTCTGCAGAAATATGCTTTAAAGCAGTATCCAAATCCATCAGATCTAGTGATCACAATACAGTGCAATCGGAAAGTATTCAGACCCCTTGACTTTTTCCACATTTTGTTACTTTACAGCCTTATTCTAAAATTGATTAAATAAAACATTTTCCTCATCAATCTATACCCCATAATGACAAAGTGAAAACATCATGTGTAATGTATGTGTAATGTTTCTTTTTTAAGAAATACCTTATTTACATAAGTATTCAGACCCTTTGCTATGAGACCTAAAATTGAGCTCAGGCGCATCCTGTTTCCATTGATCATCCTGGAGATGTTTCTACAACTAGATTGGAGTCCACCTGTAAATTCAATTGATTGGACATGATTTGGAAAGGCACAGACCTGTCTATGTAAGGTCCCACAGTTGACAGTGCATGCCAGAGCAAAAACCAAGCCATGAGGTCGAAGCTCCGAGACAGGATTGTGTCAAGGCACAGATCTGGGGAAGGGTACCAAAAAATGTCTGCACCATTGAAGGTCCCCAAGAAGACAGTGGCCTCCCTCATTCTTAAATGGAAGAAGTTTGGAACCACCAAGACTCTTCCTAGAGCTGGCCGCTCAGCCAAACTGAGCAATCGGGGGAGAAGGGCCTTTCTCAGGGAAGTGACCAAGAACCCAATGGTCACTCTACAGAACTCCAGAGTTCCTCTGTGGAGATGGGAGAACCTTCCAGAAGGTCAACCATCTCTGCAGCACTCCACCAATGAGGCCTTTATGGTAGAGTGACCAGACGGAATCCACTCCTCAGTAAAAGGCACAGCCCGCTTGGAGTTTGCCAAAAGGCATCTAAGGGACTCTCAGACCATGAGAAACAAGATTCTCTGGTCTGATGAAACCAAGATTGAACTCTTTGACCTGAATGCCAAGCGTCACGTCTGGAGGAAACCTGGCACCATCCCTACGGTGAAGCATGGTGGTGGCAGAATCATGCTGTGGGGATGTTTTTCAGCGGCAGGATCGAGGGAAAGATGAACGGAGCAAAGTATAGAGAGATCCTTGATGAAAACCTGCTCCAGAGCACTCAGGACCTCAGACTGGGGTGAAGGTTCACCTTCCAACAGGACCACGACCCTAAGCACACAGCCAAGACAACGCAGGAGTGGCTTCGGGACAAGTCTCTGAATGTCCTTGAGTGGCCCAGCCAGAGCCCGGACTTGAACCTGATCAAACATCTATGGAGAGACTTGAAAATAGCTGTGCAGCAATGCTCCCCATTCAACCTGACAGAGCTTGAGAGGATCTGCAGTGAAGAATGGGAGAAACTCCCCAAATACAGATGTGCCAAGCTTGTAGCGTCATACCCAAGAAGACTTGAGGCTGTAATCACTGCCAAAGGTGCTTCAACAAAGTACTGAGTAAAGGGTCTGAATACTTATGTAAATGTGGTAGTTGCTTTATAATTATTGGGTATTGTCTGTAGATTGATAAGAGGAGGGGGGGGGGGGGGGGGGGGGGGACAATTTAATCCATTTTAGAATAAGGCTGTAAAGTAACTAAATTAGGAAAAAGTAAAGGGGTCTGAATATTTTCTGAAGGCACTATATAGTAGCCATATCTAGGAAAACAAAAGTTCCAAAGGCTGGGCCTAATATCGTGTATAAGAAGTCATACAATACATTTTATAGTAATTCCTATGTTGTTGATGTAAAGAATATTTGTTGTTCTGTGGTGTGTAATGAGGAGCAACCAGACGCTGCATTTGACACATTTATGAAATTGCTTTTTCCAGTTACTAATAAGCATGCACCCATTAATAAAATGACTGTAAAAACTGTTAAATCCCTGTGGATTGATGAGGAATTGAAATTGATGGTTGATAGGGATGAGGCAAATCGATTGGCAAATTGAGAAATCATGTGAATAAACTGAATAAAAAGAAGAAACTACACTACGAAACAACGATAAATTACATAGGAAATGATAGTAAAAAGCTTTGGGGCACCTTAAATGAAATTTTGGGCAAAAAGGCCAACTCAGCACCATCATTCATTGAATCAGATGGCTCATTCATCACAAAACCCACTGATATTGCCAACTACGTTAATGATTTTTTCATTGGCAAGATTAGCAAACGTAGGCAACAAACGCTGACACTACACATCCAAGTATATCTGACCAAATTATGAAAGACAAGCATTGTAATTTTGAATTCCGTAAAGTGAGTGTGGAAGAAGTGAACAAATTATTGTTGTCTATCAACAATGACAAGCCACCGGGGTCTGACAACTTGGATGGAAAATTACTGAGGATAATAGTGGACGATATTGTCACTCCTATTTGCCATATCTTCAATCTAAGCCTACTAGAAAGTGTGTGCCCTCAGGCCTGGAGGGAAGCAAAAGTCATTCCGCTACCCAACAATAGCAAAGCACCCTTTACTGGCTCAAACAGCCAACCAATCAGCCTGTTACCAACCATTAGTAAACTTTTGGAAAAAATGGTGTTTGACCAGATACAATGCTATTTTACTGACTTTCAGCACGCTTATAGGGAAGGAAATTCAACAAGCACGGCACTTACACAAATGCCTGATGATTGGCTGAGAGAAATTGATGATAAAAAGATTGTGGGAGCTGTTTTGTTAGACTTCAGTGTGGCTTTTGACATTATCGATCATAGTCTGCCAATGGAAAAACGTGTTATGGCTTTACACCTCCTGCTATATTGTGGATAAAGAGTTACCTGTCTAACAGAACACAGAGGGTATTCATTAATGGAAGTCTCTCTAACATAATCCAGGTAGAATCAGGAATTCCCCACTTTTTTCAATCTTTACTAATGACATGCCACTGGCCTTGACAAAAGCCAGTGTCTTTATGTATGCAGATGACTCAACACTATACACGTCAGCTACTACAGCGAGTGAAATCACTACAACACTTAAAGAACTGCAGTTAGTTTCAGAATGGGTGGCAAGGAATAAGTTAGTCCTAAATATTTCAAAAACTAAAAGCATTGTATTTGGGACAAATCATTCACTAAACCCTAAACCTCAACTAAATCTTGTAATAAATAATGTGGAAATTGAGCAAGTTGAGGTGACTTAACTGCTTGGAGTAACCCTGGATTGTAAACTGTCATGATCAAAACATGTTGATAGCTAAGATGGGGAGAAGTCTGTCCATAATAAAGCGCTGCTCTGCCTTTTTAACAACACTATCAACAAGACAGGTCCTACAGGCTCTAGTTTTGTCGCACCTGGACTCCTGTTCAGTCGTGTGGTCAGGTGCCACAAAGAGGGACCTCGGAAAATTACAATTTTGTTCAGAACAGGGCAGCACGGCTGGCCCTTGAATGTAAACGGGGAGCTAACATGAATAATATGCATGTAAATCTCTCATGGCTCAAAGTGGAGGAGAGATTGACTTTATCACTACTTGTTTTTGTAAGAAGTGTTGACATGCTGAATGCACCGAGGTGTCTGTTTAAACTACTAGCACACAGCTCAGACACTCATGCAAACCCCACAAGACATGCCACCAAAGGTCTCTTATATAATTATAACCCTGTGAAATCAAAATCTCCTTTGCCCCCTGCAGGCTACTCACTGTGGATGCAGCTTGTAGAGTGTTCTGTCCGTCCCCACGGTGATGTCCATTTGGTCCAGCCCACGGTTCTCTCGGATTTTGTCAACGACGGCGGCCATTCCGGCTCCACAGAGCTGGGCTGCCCGGTGAGACACTGTACCACACACCTCCTTGACGATGATACTGTCATCACATGTACTGTCCAGACCCAGATGCAGCAGAATGGACCTCACCTGCAGTAGCGCCAAGCGGTCACTGGGGGGAGATATAGAGGAGTCTCACGCTTCATATTCTTGTACGCCTGGGGTGTATTCACTACATTTGACATTTTAGTGCTTTAGCAGACACTTTTATCCAGAACGACTTACAGTTAGTGCATTCATTATAAGGTAGCTAGGTGAGACAACCACATATCACAGTCATAGTAAGTCATCTTTCCTCAATAAAGCAACAAAGTCTATGCTAGTAAGAAAATACAGTTTAGTCTCTTCAACTTGCTCAATTTCCACATTATTCATTACAAGATTTAGTTGAGGTTTAGGGTTTAGTTAATGATTTGTCCCAAATACAATGCTTTTAGTTTTAGAAATATTTAGGCCTAACTTATTTCTTGCCACCCATTCTAAAACGGACTCTTTGTTAAGTGTTGCAGTGATTTCACTCGGTGTAGTAGCTGACGTGTAAAGTGTTGAGTCATCCGCATACATAGACACTCAGGCTTTACTCAGAGCCAGTGGCAGGTCATTAGTAAAGATGTTAGCGCAAGAAACGCAGGGGGTAGGGGTGAAGGAAGGGGTGCTGTGGGATTAATCAAGATACTTTGTGAATAGGTAGGTTTCTTAGACATTTTTGGAAGATGGGCAGGGACTCAGAACCAAAGTAACCAAACAGAACCAAATGGAAGAATACAGAAGCAGCAAACATAACAAAACGGGGAGGGGCCTACCTGAATTTATCCAATAGAAACTCTAGTTTTCGTTGCAAAATGCTTTGCTACGTTTCGAGAGACCCTGGTATAAAAGCCTACTCTACTTATGCAACTGTAAACACTTACTGTAAGTATCCCTAACCAGCATTAAAAGCACATATTCATATGAGTAATCCTAAATACTCTGTGGATTTACGTTGGATCTGACTACTATTACAGGCCTGAGTTGCTGTGCTACGTGCGCATTTCTACGACTCTGTACCTCTCGATTTGGGACAGGAACTTGGTCTTGAAGATACCCCTGGTCTTCAGAGGCTCTGTGATGTGGCCCCGGAACAGAAGACCTCTCCTGGTTAGGTCCATGAGAATCTGTCTCACTATCTCCCCAAGTATATACCGCTGTTCATCTTCTCAAACCTGGGGCAACAGGATATGACATGAATTAGACAAAATGCTAAAAAGCTACAATTGTTCAATATTTCACTGCATTGCTGGGGCAATAGTCTAGAACTTTTATTTACTAATATGGGGACATTGTCATGCAGAATTTGAATCAAGCCTTTTTAAATGATTATGGGTTAGGGAAAATTTTCATAAGCATAATACAGCAAAATGAATTCTCTCTTTAACACGGTTGAATAACTAATTTGTATCAGATTTAGACTGAACTATGGATAAGAAACTAATTGAATGACAATCCCTGACACCAGGGTGTCCTCTACATCAGGGGTTCTTAAACCTTTTCAGCTCGAGACCCAAATGAGAAATTGACCGTTGTCCCGTGACCTAAATCGTCCTCCAACAACCCAAATTAAAAATAACTCACAACCCACCTCTCACATGCCCAGGGCCCACTTTGGGTCCCGAACCCATAATTTAAGAAACCCTGCTCTAGTGATGCAGGAAGTGGCCATTCTGATCTGGATATTAACAACTTGCCTTTGTTTGCCGTTGTTCAATGACCCCTCATCTACTTCTCTGTCAAACCTGGTCCGGATGTCCTCTAGGCAGTCATTCTCCCCAAAACGCCCCACTCTGTGTTCACCCACGTCCGTCCCTAGTCCCCCTCCACCATCTCAATGTTCCTAATTTCCTCCATTTAACACACGTTACTCCACGTCCCTAGGGGGCAGCATTTCACACAGAGATCATACACATCTCACTGTTTTGTTAGTGTAGGAAGAGTACAATATAAAATCACCAGGGTTGAGAATAGCTAGGCCCTACATACCAGCAATAAGTCCTATCTCACACTTGGGGTCTTCATATACACACGTCATCATTGTGCCCGCTGTGTCATTCACCACGGCAACAATGTCCAGATCAAATTCCTACAGGAAACTAAATATTACATTTGGCCTATAAATACTTTTATAATGGGCGATAGTATAGATATTTCCTTCCAGACTGGCTATTACAGAGCACAGTAGGGCTTGTTCCATTTCACTCACATTCCACAAGCTTCTCGCAACATGTCCACCACATCACTTCCTTCACAGTCTGTGGCTTTGAACCCTTTGGTCCAGCTAACCAAACTTCCCTGAGGAAGGAAGTGTTACAATGGAGAGCCGTCACACACTTGAAAAGTAATGGAATGTCTTACCCTGATTAAGCACACAGGGCATTGAAATAACTGCCATTCTTTGGCGTTAAGGGTGCTGATCTTTATCTACTTTTACCTTATCGATTCCTGTCTGTCTGCAGGGGAAGGAGAAGGTGAAACCAAGCGGTAGGTGAGTATTCTTCATCTCCATGTAGTCCAGAAAATCTGAGCTGCACTGGACAGTGTGGTTGGAACAGCTGGAAACAGAGAATTTGTTTGAGTCAGGTTAAGGTTAGGGACCTGAGGGGTAAACTACCTAGCAGGATAAATGAGTTAGCCAGCTAACTTGCCTAAATATTCTGAAATAACATTTTACTTTTTAGAAAGATAAGCTCGAAATGGGCATGGTTTGATCGACTCAACAATCAAAACACATATCTAAGTTTCGATTTCTTAATGAAGCAGAAAATCAATAGTTATTTCTGGTTGTTTATCAAAGTTACCTGGCTAACTCATTGATCCTGCAGTACACCCCTCAGAGTGGGGCGGTGGCAGTCTCACCTCCTCTCCTGTGCCCTGCATGATCTCCAGAGGGTTGGTGTAGATCTTGTTGTACATACAGACAGACTTGCTTATTCCACTCCGGATCTTCACTACCAGTACCCGGAAGTTAGTTCCTCTCAGGTCCAAAGCCAAGTACTTTCCTTACTCTGCAATAATAAACTTTGTGATCACTCAAATTTTAATGAAACAACTTGCATCTAATTATATGATTTTAAACAGCAACGTCTCATAAACTGTTTTGGTGACGGTACAGAATAAAGTGTGATAAAGGGTATTAGCATGGTAATAACATGATAATGTTCTGCATTATGAATAACAAGGTAAACCTTCAATCTGTAGCCAGTCGTCTCACCTGTCCCATCAGGAGTCCTGTAGACGAAGGAGAGCAGCATATTAACCTAGGCCGTGCTGTGGGAATCCTTCCTAAGGCCTCTCTCTAGCTCCACTCTCATCATGACCCTGACCTGCTGGAGGTTCTCTGGACTCAGGCTGAGGAGAGCAAGAGTGTTGATGATCTCCCTCCTCTGGGCCGCCAGCCTCTGAGTCACCGCTGTTACCATGGCAGCCCCTTACTGTGCTGTTACCAAGGCGGCCCCCTTTACTGCTTCCACTCTGACAGCACAACGCGCACATAGCACTCTGGCACCAGTCGGCGCACCACCTTGTGGAGCCTCTTGGGGTACCTGGGAGGATGGTGGAGTGAGTGAGTGTGAGAGAGAGAGAGAGAGAGAGAGAGAGAGAGAGAGAGAGAGAGATTTACTGTCAATGTTCACAGGCAAAGAGGAAAACGAACACTGAGCAGAAACCTTACACTCCGAATATATAGTAACACAATGACCATGTTTGTCAGTGCAGTTCACACCTACTGTTACGTCACATGTAAGTGGCTTTGCAGGTAGCTGGTTTTATTGATAATCCATTGGAGCCTGTCTAATGTTTTTGGAATGATAATACTTATTAAGATAAGACTCCCATTAAAGGTATCTAGAGTAAACAGGGATTTAATCATGAACCTAGGCTGCATTGTTAAATACTTCATCTACTTTGGACTGTCCACAAGGGAAAGAGAAGGTGAAGCCCATAGGTTCTCTCTTCTGGGTGATGTGCTTCTTTTGCAGGTTAAAAAACGTCTCTGTGGAAAGCCAACCAAGGAGAGCAAGTTCTGCAATTTTTAGGTTTCAAATAAATCATAACAGAAGGGAAAAGCTTACATTACAATTGAAAAGTGACTTTCAAGAAGTGTGGCTCAGCATAGTTTTGAAAGATGTTCAAAAACCTGCTATTTCAGTGTGTTTGAGGAAAGCACTTGCGGACAAAATCTTTGATATTAGAAAAGTAATTCTAAATGTAATCAGCCGTTTTTAAGAATGTAACTGTAATCCAATTACACTTCCTTTTTTAAATATATATTTTTTACAGTAATCTGGCTTGATTACAGTTACTTCATTATGTAATCTGATTACGTAATCCCAGTTACATGTAATGCATTACTACACAATCCCTGAATAACAGACCTAATGATAGTGATTCCACAGGTTTCAATGTCCTATGACTGATATGACACGGTTAATCCTGTCAGGATCATGTTGTATAAATGTTGTACCACTTGCTATGAGAGTTTGAATGACTCCCATTTTCAAACAGAGTATGTCCGTCTGTGTAACAACAGACGTTGTCATCGTACTGACCCCAGTCCCTCTACCGTTCAGGTCTCACTCTCCATCTCCACCCTCCTCTTCCTCTCGGACACCTTCACCTGGAGCACTTTACACTTGGAGCCGCCCAGGTCCAACACCAGGAACTCCCCCTTTTCTGTGGAGCAGTGGAAACAACACAATTTGACCTTGGATTGACCTCCTGTTCATAAAACAGCACTACACCATCTGCCTGTCACATATTATAACTGAATGTATTAAGATGAAAATATCAAAGAAAAAGACAGGGTTACATATGTCAGATAGATAATCACGCAAAAGGCGTAGTTTCGTTAAGTAATATGTCATCAGTACCATGAGAGGTCACGTGGGCAGAATTTTGACCGCCGCTGTGGCGTTGCTTTCAGTGGAGAGTCCTTTTTCCATCTCTGCACGAAAACGAGCTGAAATGTCCACTAACTGGTCATCGGAGAGACACATGGCATACAGGAACCTGTCCAACTGGTGGGGGGGGACAGTCAATGGGCAACTGACCTTTAGCCAAATAACTGACCAATGAACCTACAAAGCTATAGAATGACTTGACTATATCCAAATAAAGGCCCAAACATATTGTAAATGTCTAGATAAGAGCCTTGTAAGTGTGAATGATTCAGAACAGCATGACTAAAACTACGTCAACTATTCCATGCCTTCTTCTCAGAGGCCCATTTGTGGCGGGAAAAACTACAAAACTGTTCTCTTTAGTTTCCTGTATCCACACTTCAAACAAAACCAAACAGTTGAAGACAGAGCATGAAAGAGTTTTTAAAAAAGGACTAATAATCATGGGATTTAACTGTTGCTAATGCACTAGGCCGGGAATTGAGTACAGTATTTATGTTGAAATGTATCATGTAAAGGTAATCAATTATGGGGATAGTTTCGGATCCAAATAATAATTCAACCCCTGATGACAACCACACAGCTGACTACTTGAAATGACAACATACTGTAGTTAATGTACTGATAAATGCCCGCTACATTTATCAGTAAACGTGTCAGACTGTGTGATTACAAACACCATTCCAATAAACATGGTTTCAGAGGACAAGGTCACCCTTTTTCTCACAATCTCTCCTCTCTCCATTGAAATGAATAATGCAACAAGAAGGTTAAATCATTCCTCAAGCAGCAGTGTAAAATAAATGTAGCCACATTAAGCAACCACGGTTTCATCCCTGACTGAAGGGCCGCCTCATAAAAAGGCTGAAACTGACTCAAACAGGCATTTCACATGCAGGCATAAATGAAATAAAATTACAGTGATCCTGTAGACTGCACTAAATACTGCTATGAACTATTTGGAAACTAACAGAAACATTTTAGCAACTTTCTTTAAACCTCTCTCTCTCTCTAGAGATTGTAAACCATCCTTTACGTTGTTGGTCACAAACAAACTTGGGGAAAATGACTAGAATTGCTTACTTTGCTTCCAATTTACATAAATCAAAGCACCCACACAAATTAACAAAAAAATAGTCCCGTGTAGCTCAGTTGGTAGAGCATGGCGGTTGCAATGCCAGGGTTGTGGGTTTGATTCCCACGGGGACTAGTATGAAAATGTATGCACTCACTACTGTAAGTCACTCTGGATAAGAGCGTCTGCTAAATGACTTTAAAAATTTTAAAATAATCCTGTGCAGTAAATGTATGACACACAATTTACATGATTGTCACCAACACCGGTATTTCCATAGCAACTAGGCTACTTACAGTATGTGCACAACCAAAACAGCAAGTAAAATACAACCCTTCACATCAGAAACATCTCACCTTCTTGATTTGGTCGTCCTTCAGCTTGGAGGAATGGAGAGAGGAAGTGCACAGCAAACATGTTCACTTCTGTTACCAGTAAGTTCTATCCTGCAACTACAAATGTCTCTGCTCAAAGCAATACAACCTGAAACAGGACAATCTCATAAACAGTTTCCTCTTGAAGTTTCAGTCCTTGAGCTTGTTGCTCTGTGACCCCTCAGTGAGTTGTCGTCCTACTCTCCCTGACTTGGGGAGTTAAGCCATGGCCAGCCCCTCCATTAACACAATAGTTAATAGCCTAGCCCTCTCTCACGACTCATAGCAATGCCTTGGCTTGGTTCCAAAGAGCACTTTCCTTTGGAACCATGGGGGCCTTTTACTGTGTCCAATTCAAAAGACAAGGATGGGTTCCACAACAGAAATAATTACATTCCCACTCTCAGTGGCTGTTGTGTTTTGAAAGTGGCTAAAGCTAATCCCAGTGAAGAGAGAACACTTAGAACGCAGCACAAGGTCTCGGCATGGTCTAAAATTGTCACATGACCTTTGTCATGTGGTATAAAGTGTTCATTATAAAAGGCGTTATAAGCAGGCATAAGGCAAGAAAATTACTGCCATGACATCTTATAACCATTTGTTATGAAGCTTGAGGACATGTTTATAACATTGTCGTTACAAGTAATGTGTCAAATAAAGAATTAGAGACTTATCACCTTACGTCTCGTCAAAAGAAAAATAATGAATTTATTTTATCAATCACATTATCACTTATGCTCTGCCAGTTCCGTAAATCATACATAGCAGCATATAATCAGTGGTGTAAAGTAAGAGCAAACGACAAGGTCTCAAACATTTGAGTTTGTTACAGTAGGCTATCCCAAGCATGGGATGGGCACAAATGACAGTTGCTCAAGCAATGTTACCTCAGTGTAAAAATGAGTCATTACTTGCTGCATGAGACAGACTATCTACGTGAAGATGCAGTCAACCATTTTATTTTTCAAGTGATAAAAAGAGAACTACAAAATGACTTTGTAATAAGATATTACTTCACCCTTTGGGCCACAAAATGACTTTTTGAGCAGTTATAGACGGGAGCTGGGACCTACACATCCAATTGGTCAACATCTGGCGCCGAAGACGTGGATATCGATTAAGGCAGCACCCCGCACCTCTCTGATTCAGAGGGTTGGGTTAAATGCGGAAGACACATTTCAGTTGTACAACTGACTAGGTATCTTCGTTCCGTTTCTGCCTGGTATGAAGTCCAGTCAAAATAACAGGACACAAACTCCTGTGTGTTTGGTAGTTGTGAAGACCAGGCCCTAAAGCAGAGACGTCACTTCTGTCTCTTCTTCCCTTTCATTTTATTATTCAAAGTCGCCGCAAGCAGTTTTACTCCTCCTTCCTCTCGACGGTGCTCCTTGGACCACTCCTTCTGCAGTTGCCTTAGGAGGTGGGGAGTCAGTAAGCCCTCCTGCACCAGGCGGGAGCCTAGGGACTGGTCCAGCTGCCCAGCCTCTACTCCACTGTGCTGGGCCTTGGGAGCTCCTCGAACCCTCCTTGGGGATACTGGGCTGGGCCCCGGCCTCCTCTGATTGGAGAGGGTGTCCGTCCCCGGGGGGGCGCTGGTCTCCGTGGCTCGGATGAGTCGTGTGATGTTGCGCACGCCCAACTGGATGATGCTGTCCAGCTCCCGCTGGATCTCTCGGACATGATTGGCGTCCGGGAACATGTCCATGAAGCGGTAGCTGGAGACAAAGTCATAAAGAGAGTATTATTCATATCTGATTGAGAATAATTGCAATAAAGACAATCAATGACCTCGTTAGGCACATTGTGTTACTCAATTCTGTGATGACCTTTAGCACAAGAAGAACACTTGGTCATTTTGATTGGTGAATGGTTTTGGTAAAGGTAGAGTGGTGAGAGATGGGATCACCTGAGCCAGAGGTAGAGATCTAGCACATCATGGACAGCCTCCAGGTGCACCAGGTCCTTGATGTTCTTGGGTGGGACCAGGGGCCAGCTGACGAGCCGACACACCCAGTCAAAGGTCAGGGGTTCATCTCTGCTGAACTGTCTGGCAAACTGCAGACGGAGAGAGCGTCACAAACAATCAGTGTCTCATCATCCAGAGCCAATTACCATAGGATTACCTTTAGACCACAGTCACGTTTCACTCACCCAACCCACAGATCTTATCAATACTGCTGCCGTAACACCACTAATGTCACGTCCCTTAAAGCCCAACAAAACCTTATCAATGCTGCTACAGTTACTGCACGACAGTTCAGAGGCAAACTGGCAACATGCTGATCATGCCAGAATATGAATCAATGGCGTGACTCATGCAAGGACGTGTGCTTCCTGTGACAAATTCTATATTCCAAACGGTGGACCTATCACTGAATGACAGGAAATGAGGGTGTTAACCAGTCAAATTCAGAGGTCAGAGGTCAGAGTATTCACAAAGCCTCTCAGAGTAGGAGTGCTGATCTAGGATCAGGTTCCACCTGTCCATACAATCTTGTTAACCCTTTACACTCGGAATTGGCCTGTAGGGCTACATTTAAAATGTTTCTTACAGAAGAAATATGGAAAGCACATGTATGTAACCATGGCAGCAATTAAAACATTTTTAGAGATCATGGGAAAATTATTTCACAAAAGGTGAGGACACAGCAGTTCACCTGACACAAGACTGAATCCAAACATTATACCATTGATTTTATGTGTATTTTGCCGCATTTGTTGATAACGAAATCTGAAAATACTCTGGATACATTCAGTTACATAATAAGAATATTATTGGAACACTTGGGGTAGGTGCAACATAAGAAAACATTATGACAATGGTTTGAGTGCGAGGTCTAACTGGTGTCTCCAAGTGGACACACACCTCTCCAAACTGTGCACAGTTCCTAAGTCATTTCAAAGCACTATACTATGACTCGAACAAGAGTCTAGCTCTATAAAGGTGCTTTTTGAGCTCTCCTAGCTGTGCCGTTGAGGAACTAGAGCAAGCTCACTGGTAGTTGTTTGTTTTGAACAGCCCTGCTTCTAAGCCTTCGCACAATTACTGATGTTTAGGCAACCCAAAATAGTCCATTATAAAATCACAATCACATAATTTGAAAGCTTGTTCGATTGCCAACATGACTAAATAATGGTAAAACATGATCTTACAGTGTTAGGCTTTCGCAGATTGTAATTTTGGTGGAGTCATGAGTGCATTCAGATGTGGTCCACGGCAAATTTGCTTGCTTGTATGACATCAAAGCGGTATTATTATAATCCTCAACGTCTCATCTTATAATTAAATAATTATCTAAAAAAGGTGAAACCGTATATCAGCACTCCTTCATTGTGAATTCAGGCCCAGGTGTTTTAACCAGTGTTGCTAATGGAATGGGGAATCCACTGTAACCATGTCTCTGCTCCTACCTTTAGGAAGGAGGTACACACAAAGGGCTGCTTCTTGTTGATGGGTGCAGTGCAGAACACATATCGAGAGCGCAGGTTGAGGGGAATGTGCTGGATCATGTCAGCCAGGAACTTGAAGTCATCAATGTTGCACACAAAGTACATACCATCAACTTGTGAGAGGCTCACAAATATATCCTGGGGATAGAAAGGAAAACGTGACTTTTAAATGAACACAAATCATTCTATACTAATCTGAATTGAACAGTAAATCTTAATTCTCGTTACAGAGTAAATTGTAGTGAAGTAAAGATACTTACTATCAGATTGGACAAGGTGGCATCAGGTAAGTGGTAGGCAAACATCTCAATCTGCTCTGCTGTGGGGTGCAGCCCAGCTATCTAGGAGTCGGAAATTAAGATTAGGTCATTAAATAGTCCGAAAAACAGGAGATCAAAAGGTCAGAAACGGTCCATATTCCTCACCTCGATGGCGTGGACACTCCTGCTGAGTATCTCCTTGAGGATAGGCAAGTCGTCGCGGTGCATGGTGGTGACCTCGCCCTCTTTGAAGATGGAGCTGAACCGTCCGGCCCGCCCGGCGATCTGGAGAGCCTGAGACGTGGAGATGGTGTCCATCTCCTTCTCACCCTTCTCGTTGATGTTGGGTTTCACCAGGGAGTTGAAGATGATTCTCTTGATACTCCTTATGTGGGAGGGGCATGGTAGACAGAGAGCTTATACAGGTGTAGGATCTTAATTTGAGCCAGTTTGCTAGAGCAGAAAAATAATCCTGCAGCAACAGGAAATGTGAATCATTATGTGGACTATAATTAATGGACATTTTTATAGGGGTTGATAAATGTTTTCGTAAGGGAAAATCAATTGTGACATTTCTAAGTGGAAATCACAAATGTCAGAAGCCTTTTAAACCTTGAATACAAGTTTTACATTTCCTGCATTGTAACAACAACTCTGCAGCAAACTGATATCAACTAATCATGCAAGAAATGTTTTTTTTTTTTCTGTTTAGAAGTTATGACAATGTGTAGAACAATGTACTTCAAACGTAATATGATTGTCAGAGGTCAATTAAAACAAGCTAACAAGATCAGTTTCAATGCTCAACTCACAGGTTTAGTCCCATCCCTATGGCATCCGTTGCAACCAGGATCTTACATGGGTCCTCTGGGTCATTGAACTTCTTTGCTTGAGATAGCTTGGTGCCTGTTGACCAGATAATTCACAGTGCTTTAATGACGCACACTATTTTACCTCAAGGATTGAGTAATGTCACAGCGGGATGTACAGTGGGGAAAAAAAGTATTTAGTCAGCCACCAATTGTGCAAGTTCTCCCACTTAAAAAGATGAGAGGCCTGTAATTTTCATCACAGGTACACGTCAACTATGACAGACAAAATAAGAAAAAAAAATCCAGAAAATCCCATTGTTGGATTTGTAATGAATTTATTTGCACATTATGGTAGAAAATAAGTATTTGGTCACCTACAAATAAGCAAGATTTTTGGCTCTCACAGACCTGTAACTTCTTCTTTAAGAGGCTCCTCTGTCCTCCACTCGTTACCTGTATTAATGGCACCTGTTTGAACTTGTTATCAGTATAAAAAGACACCTGTCCACAACCTCAAACAGTCACACTCCAAACTCCACTATGGCCAAGACCAAAGAGCTGTCAAAGGACACCAGAAACAAAATTGTAGACCTGCACCAGGCTGGGAAGACTGAATCTGCAATAGGTAAGCAGCTTGGTTTAAAGAAATCAACTGTGGGAGCAATTATTAGGAAATGGAAGACATACAAGACCACTGAATCTCCCTCGATCTGAGGATCCACGCAAGATCTCACCCCGTGGGGTCAAAATGATCACAAGAACGGTGAGCAAAAATTCCAGAACCACACGGGGGGACCTAGTGAATGACCTGCAGAGAGCTGGGACCAAAGTAACAAAGCCTACCATCAGTAACACACTACACCGCCAGGGACTCAAATCCTGCAGTGCCAGACGTGTCCCCCTGCTTAAGCCAGTACATGTCCAGGCCCGTCTGAAGATTGCATTTGGATGATCCAGAAGAGGATTGGGAGAATGTCATATGGTCAGATGAAACCAAAATAGAACTTTTTGGTAAAAACTCAACTCGTCGTGTTTGGAGGACAAAGAATGCTGAGTTGCATCCAAAGAACACCATACCTACTGTGAAGCATGGGGGTGGAAACATGCTTTGGGGCTGTTTTTCTGCAAAGGGACCAGGACGACTGATCCGTGTAAAGGAAAGTATGAATGGGGCCATGTATCGTGAGATTGAGTGAAAACCTCCTTCCATCAGCAAGGGCATTGAAGTTGAAACGTGGCTGGGTCTTTCAGCATGACAATGAGCCCAAACACACCGCCCGGGCAACGAAGGAGTGGCTTCGTAAGAAGCATTTCAAGGTCCTGGAGTGGCCTAGCCAGTTTTCAGATCTCAACCCCATAGAAAATCTTTGGAGGGAGTTGAAAGTCCGTGTTGCCCAGCGACAGCCCCAAAACATCACTGCTCTAGAGGAGATCTGCATGGAGGAATGGGCCAAAATACCAGCAACAGTGTGTGAAAACCTTGCGATGACTTACAGAAAACATTTGACCTGTGTCATTGCCAACAAAGGGTATATAACAAAGTATTGAGAAACTTTTGTTATTGACCAAATATTTATTTTCCACCATAATTTGCAAATAAATTCATTAAAAATCATACAATGTGATTTTCTGGATTTTTTTTTCTCATTTTGTCTGTCATAGTTGACGTGTACCTATGATGAAAATTACAGGCCTCATCTTTTTAAGTGGGAGAACTTGCACAATTGGTGGCTGACTAAATACTCCACTCCCCCCCCCCCCCCCCCCCCCCCCCCCCCCACTGTATATCAGTTATTTTGTTTTTCCGTCCAGCACCTGAACAAGTTGAATTTTCGTATTTAAAATGTTTCACACTTCTACCTCTCCATCACCTCAATCACTGTGCTCTGTGGACATCTTCGAACAGAGGAAAGCCTTACCTGGTGGAAGGCTTCCGTAAATGACTGCGCACTCCAGGCCTCGGATCTCGATCTGCCTACTGATGGAGTAAATATCGTTTTTGCTGAAGCAGACGATGCAGTCACCTGGTCTCAGGTTATCCAGAGACTCCACAGCACGGTCCAGGATTGAGAGCGGAGTGAGCCTCTTGTAGTTACGAACCTGCCAGTAGAATAGGTCAACTGTAAGACACTAGAAGCCTGAGTTTTTAATTCTCGTAGGATTATTTATTAATTTTAACATGAGACTTGGACTGTTGCGGTGACCGTATTACCGCCAGTCAAGAGTCATGACGGCAGTCAAATTCCATGTGACCGTTTAGTCATGATAATTAGGGTTCTCCAAGCTCTGATGCTGCTGATGGTCATTAGTAGCCTACCAAACTTGCTAACTGCCTGGTACTCAGCACTCTATTGTCCCTCTAATCACTCCGACGTCAATGCAAATGTATTTTTTCCGCTGCCCGTTTCGATACAGGTGCATGATAATTGTCCATTCTAAATCAAAACAAATTTCACACATATTATTTAGCATATGTAAAGACAAGAGTAAATCAAGAAGTCTGATGGGTGACAATATTAGCCTATCACCTGTGAATTATATATTATCAGTTGTGAATGATGCCCAGCTTAAGAAACAATGCCTTTTTTTTGCGACTTGTTCAAATCATAGTCGCACACCTCATGTAGCCTAGCCCATAGGCCTATATGTTTTAATAAGGTTTGTATCACAACTAAAGTGGCCAAATAAATTCTTAAAATTAAGCACATTAATCTGCTTTACAAGGGGTGTAGAGACTAACTGGCATATATAAGCAGTGTGTGAATTTCAAGTTTGGGGAAGATAATTGTAACCATACAAATGCACCTTTGTAATAAAAGCATTACATGCATAATTGCATGTGTGGTCACTTTTGATAACGGTGTTTTCCACGAATGGGCATTCACGCTTATAGCCTAATACCATATGCGCATTGCTGTGCTTATAATGTGAAGAAATAGCCTAATAGTTTATCAACATTTTAAGCTAAACGTTCTGATCTGTTGCGTCAGCCACATTGCGTAAAAAACGTTTTGATGCTAGTGGCTGTATTAATTTGGGCTCTATCGCATCCCACAACTGTCCCAGACTATATTTGGAATATTTATTTCTCGCACAGAATAGGTCAACTTTTGTACTATGGGGGATAGTAGATTGACATAGGCTAGTGCTTTTGGTGTTCGTTAGGCCTACTCATCTTGCTGGCTGATGAAAAGTAAATGTGGACAGTTCTAACAATATCTTCAATATGCACCTCGGAATTGGATAAGGACGCACGCAGTTGTGTCCCCGGTGTGTCTTAACTTGTAGCATGTGAGAAATACCCGATCACGTGACGGAGAGCCGTGTGAGTGAGAGACGCGTCGGATTGCACAGCACACTCAGGGAGAAGGGCACAACACTGCACTCCAGGCCGCAAAAGGCATGGATTTCTTTAGGGTGCATTACGCCCACAAAGGGGATACCGCCGTGAAATTCGAGGCATTATCAAGTGCTTGTCAAATTGTGAATGAGAGACTGATGAAGTGGGTACAGCCTGCGCAAAAAACTAAGCAGAGCTCATGCCTTTCAAGCCACTTTTTTCAAATCATCATTAGAGTTGAATCATGCAGCCTTACAATGTATTAAAAATCAAAACAAAGCCCAACGTTTGTAGAACAACTAAAGTTACATTAATAACTCTAAATTAAGCATATAGGATTACCTGTTTCTTTGTTAACCACTCAACACAGAATAGCTGCATGTGCGCACTCCCTCAAATCGTTTGGAGAATATATTTGTATTTTATTCAGCTTTGTTCAATTGTATTCTTCATACTATAAAATAATGCCACGGAATGATAAGCTAATCTTGTCTGCTAGATGAACTAGTGCAGCCCACAGCCATTTGGCATAGCCACATCAGGAACTAACATAAGGACAACTCAGAGTATGCTATTCTGTTCTGAAATAGACTACATTTTCTTCATATCAAGCCTCTTTAGACCCGTCTAAAATAAATAATGGATTTATTGTGAAAGTGTAGGCTATATTACATGGATTTATTAGACTTAAAAATGGCTTGTAGATGCTAAATGTGTTTATGTTAATTAACGGTCAATTACCGTGAGACCGACAGCTATTTGCTTGACAATCACCGGCTGACGAAATTTCGTGACCGCCACAGCCCTACATGAGCTATTGATATTCAGCAGAATCATATTAATGACAATCAGGCCTCTACCCCAAATAACTGACAGTCTCATTAGAAGCCAAACACACTAATGTTCAGTAGACTGGCCAGACTCACCTCCACCTCCTCCCCTGTTGTGTACATGAGCTCTGTGACAAAGTTAATCGCAGCAGGCTCTCCGCACACATGGATCTCCTCAGCACACAAACCTATTCCCAGACAGAGAAAAACAAATAATCCATAGTTATTACTGTGAAATTATCATTTTACCATATCGTTATTGACTTAGTAAATAGCTGGTAATTTATATACCGTAACAATATTCAGATTTTGCGATATTACAATGGTCTGTTGTTTGTCCCAACTGTCACAGTGAAGTTACTGACCGAGAAGAGCCCTGGTCCAGGCCCATCCCCGCGATATGTCTCTGATCATCTGGATCTCATCAATGACCGCTACTTCATCTGGACAGAAGACACGTTTCACGTGTTAGTCAACACAGCTGGTGATAACGAATGTCAACTAATATCAATACTTAAATGGAAGTGATAAAAGAACCTCATGTACATGAAATATGTTTATTAAGTTGAGAGGTAAGAGAAGACACTGACATGGAGTTGTGACACTGCACATCTCGATAGTACAGGCCACATGCTCAGCTTGTCTCCCCTCCGCATCCACAAATGTTCTCTCTTCTCCTGTTACCAAATCACACGGCACGCCCTGGGGAGAAAGAAACGTTGATTTAACGTCTTCCTTCGACATAGTGCGCCAAGAATTTAATTAAACATTTTGGAAATGATTGGTAAGAAACACTTCCGATTAGATAAACTAATTTTGCTTAAATTGTTTCAAGGTATTAGCTACAAAAAAAGCCTTCTAAATGACATCTCTCTATGGAGGTTTACTAGTGAAAGATGGGTCATACTGACAGCAGTGTTGCTCTTTTCAAAGATCTCGTGGGCTAACAGCTTCAGCGGTCCACAGTAGACACCAGACTTGGCAGCCAGGTATCTCTGAATTGCATGATGGGTCTTTCCACTGTTGGTCGGGCCGGCATGGAATATCACCTTCCTCTGGATAGCTCTAGCATCAGGGTACCTGGGAAACATTCAGGTGCAGGGCTGAAAAACACGTGTGGCGTATTGTGTGAACACAGTGCTGTATGTATAATTACGTTGAGCGTTGGGCCAGTAACCGAAAGGTCGCTGGTTTGAATGCGCGGCTGACAAAGTGAAAAATATGTCGATGTGCCCTTGAGCAAGGCACTTAACCCTAATTTGCCCCAGGGGCACCCCATTACTATGGCTGACCCTGTAAAACACCACATTTCAATGCACCTATCCCAATGTATGTGACAATAAAAACAACAAAAACCATTTGAAATGGATACAATGAATGGAAGAGCATTTTCAAAATGTTCATTGTAATGTTGAGCTCACCTGAAGTGAGATACTTACCAATTAGCTGGTACACGCAGATCACTGATTTTGCGTAGATCCTCCATGCAGTCCAGCATGGGGAAAATCTGCTTGGCATGTCTCATGAAATAAGGATAAAGGTCATCTATATGGCCTGGTGAACACAAGCAAAAACAGTCATCAGTTGACAAGGTGTGAGGGCTTGGAATTCAGTTCCAACTCGCAGTTGCGCTCAATCACCCGATTCATTACATGATAAGCAGAGTGTTGAACTCACCTGCTCCACAGCATATATCATTGAGGATGATATGAAGATCTGCGCTAAGCGTAGAGATTTCCAGCACATACTTCCGAAAACTGATGAAGGCTTGGTGAAAGAGACGAGCTAACAACAACACAGAGATTAACGTTTTGGTACGACCATGAGGCTGGTTATATTTGATGAGGGTACCCGACCGGTAGGCCAACTAGTTGAAAATGATTGTTGTTCTCACCATCGAGACCTTGATCCGCAGCTATTTTTTGCATCTCTTTCCTCTTGTAGAACTTATTCAGCATTTTTAGAAGTTCACCTGTTAGGAGAAACCACATGTCTGATAAAATTGCCATGCAGTAGGCCTATTCCTGAAGCTATGAACATTTTAGGAAGCGAGTCCCAGCAAACATGTTAACAAAATATATATTGACAGGAAATAGACAAATACTCCATCCAAACGTGAATCGATTCTCAATTGCAGTACGGTTCTAGAAACATAAATCCCTCTACTTTCATTTCACAATGTTACAGGCTTTGGTTTTCCCATTTATATTTCGAGGTTGGACGTTAGCACGCTGGGCGCACTGATTGGTGTCACCTCGTTAGTCAGTATGTGTTACACCTGTGCTGGCTTGTCATCTCGTTAGTCAGAAGGCGTTTCACCTTTGCTGGCACAGGGGATATTTAAGAGCAGCTGGCTTGAGAGATGTGGAGGGTTAATACCTTTAGTTGATTCTCCCTATAATTTTGTATTTTATTTGATTAATACCATCCTTTATCAGATCTTCCCTGTTTTCAGTGACAATGTGGTGTCAGTCTTTTGTTAACACACAGGTGTTCAGCGATGCAGATAACTAATTAGTACAGGTAGTCCACTCTGTCTTCCATCTGTTTTCCATAAACAAGCGCTGTAACATGGAAATATGGCCGTATGTAAAACCTGAACTCTATAAAGGTGTGACTCAATTTAACCTTTTATGGAAGATAATGTCCTTACGCTTCCAAAACCGTACCGACACTCAGACCGAGCGTCACAACTACTTCGTCTAATTACTTATGTGTAATGGAACTGAGTCATGTTCAAGGGCTAGGTTACATTAAGACAGTGTGGAGCCGGCGCAAGATATGGGTTGGAGAACATACCTCAATGCAGGGATGGGATATGCCACTGAACTCCAAATTGTACCTTTATCCACGGTGTCTTAATGTAACCATGATTGCGTTCCGACCTCAGTACAGCTTAGTGTAAACAAGCATAATGGTACATGATCATCCAATGTGTATAACTGCGCAGCCATCTTGGCACTCCTCAATTTAAAAAATATTTGTGTTTGACACGTTTACTATATTACAGACACCTTAATGCATACTTTTAAATTATATTATGTGAACTAAACATAAAATAAAAAAATACATATTTTCCTTAGGTATATATATATTTTTTGTACTAATGTTACTGTCCCAACTACAACAAAAACATAAATACATGTAATGTTGGCCTTGAAACATTTAATTGAAATACTGTAGAATTCCATTCATTCCTATGGTGGACTGCTCCTACTGGGGAGTGCCAATATGGCCGACCGGTGGCTTCAAAGCCTCTCGTTCGCCAATACATAGCGTCAGCAATCCAGGGTTTATAAATAATTTCATTGGTGTCTTCTGGCAAGCTAGCTGTCATCGACAGGCTATGATCAACAGTTCAGTGGAAGTCAGTTTCAGTTATACTAACATCTCCCCATTGACAGCTAATCTGTCTAATTGGCAATCAACAACATTAACAGTTAGCACAACAATATGGATGTTAAAAGTACAGTACTTTTGTCCAAAGGTTGCGTGAGCTCAGCTCCCACAGCCCAGTCACCACCGACATCACTCTTGATGCTGAGAGGCACAAATAATGAGGTGTCTGGTGATCGTGACGAACTGTTCGAATAAACACCTCGTCTGGAGGTCACAGGACCAGGCAAGGGGTCTTTCAATAACGTTATAGATCCAACGTTTCCACAACGACCGTCCACCAGAGCGTTTTTGTTTCGTACAGATATGGCGCATATTCTGTGCTGTACTCGTGAGAACAACAGCATACAGCGGTTTACTGACATCCTTGGTTGCTAGATTATGTTGGTTTGTGTCAATAAACACTTTTCAATGTCCCATTTTATGCAGTTTATCATAATATTTTGCTGGTAATTCTTTGCACAGTATTGTAGCAGAACACTATCTACATCGTGCAGGAGGACCCTTGTTTGGATTGGAATCCAAAAACATGCCTGTAGCGATTTGTAAAATAAAATGTATTATAGTAATTCAGGAAATGCGGTGCTTTAGTTAGAAAATATAGACTTGTTTCTATAAAAATTACGTGATCATACATTTAAATAACATAGTTATTATGTGAGCACAAATCTACATTTACATTTTACATTTACGTCATTTAGCAGACGCTCTTATCCAGAGCGACTTACAAATTGGTGCATTCACCCTATAGCCAGTGGGATAACCACTTTACAATTTTTTTTTTTTTGGGGGGGGGGTAGAAGGATTACTTTATCCTATCCCAGGTATTCCTTAAAGAGGTGGGATCTACTGACAATACTTCTGGCATGTCTGTAGTGACTACATTTCACAAACCAAAAGGACCCCAAAAAGGTCAAAGCCGGTTCAAAGGTCAAAGTGCGCATCGCTAAAAACCTGAAAACAAATGTTAGTTTTAAATTATGATCGTGTTTGGAGAGATTCTGCCTTCATATTCATACCTGCACACAATTCATGAAAATAAAGCACACCAAAAAAAAAAAAAAAATCTGGGGTTCCAGCGTGAGATATAAGACGTGTAGCGTGACAGCGCGTGATCGATGTCAATTGAGTGTGTCTCACGATGAATGCGTGAGTTGGCAGCTCTGGTTATACACAAATGCAAATGAACTTCATGCACGAAATGAAAATGCCTACTATGACTCAGCATTTGAGTGAGATCGTGGAACACAATATTGTTGTGATAGTTTTAATTGTAATGCATATAACCAGGTAAATCCCAAATGTGCAAATCCCTATAGAAAGGATACACCCATGTTTGATACACTTGTCTGTCTGAAAGAAACAAGGATTGCGTAGGAAATTACAAGAGTGAAACCCCTAATATACTGAACATAAATATAAGCGCAACTTGCAACAATTCCAAAGATTTTACTGAGTTACAGTTCATATAAGGAAACCAGTCAATTGAAATAAATTCATTCAAATCAAATCAAATCAAATCAAATTTTATTGGTCACATGCGCCGAATACAACAGGTGCAGACATTACAGTGAAATGCTTACTTACAGCCCTTAACCAACAGTGCATTTATTTTAAACAAAAAAAGTAAGAATAAAACAACAACAAAAAAAGTGTTGAGAAAAAAAGAGCAGAAGTAAAAATAAAGTGACAGTAGGGAGGCTATATATACACAATAGAATAAAGTGACAGTAGGGAGGCTATATATACAGGGGGGTACCGTTGCATAGTCAATGTGCGGGGGCACCGGCTAGTTGAGGTAGTTGAGGTAATATGTACATGTGGGTAGAGTTAAAGTGACTATGCATAAATACTTAACAGAGTAGCAGCAGCGTAAAAAGTATGGGGTGGGGGGGCAGTGCAAATAGTCCGGGTAGCCATGATTAGCTGTTCAGGAGTCTTATGGCTTGGGGGTAGAAGCTGTTGAGAAGTCTTTTGGACCTAGACTTGGCACTCCGGTACCGCTTGCCGTGCGGTAGCAGAGAGAACAGTCTATGACTAGGGTGGCTGGAGTCTTTGACAATTTTGAGGGCCTTCCTCTGACACCGCCTGGTATAGAGGTCCTGGATGGCAGGGAGCTTTGCCCCTGTGATGTACTGGGCCGTACGCACTACGGCCCATTAGGCCCTAATTTATGGATTTCACATTACTGGGAATATAGATATGCATCTGTTTGTGAAAGATACCTTAAAAAAAGGTGTGGGTGTGGATCAGAAAATCAGTCAGTATCTGGTGTGACCACCATTTGCTTAATGCAGCGAGACACATCTCCTTTGCATATAGTTGATCAGGCTGTTGATTGTGGCCTGTGGAATGTTGTCCCACTCCTCTTCAATGGCTGTGCAAAGTTGGTGGTTATTGGCGGGAACTGGAATATGCTGTCATACACGTCGATCCAGAGCATCCCAAACATGCTCAATGGGTGACATGTCTGGTGAGTATGCAGACCATTGAAGTGTAAAGGCCGATTGCGCCACCTCAAAAGCTAGCTAATGAGGTGACGCAAGCGGGACACTTAAGGTTGAGGAGTAAATTTCACACATCCCCATATGCTACAGAATAACTGGGACATTTTCAGCTTCCAGGAATTGTGTACAGATCCTTGCGACATGAGGCTGAGCATTATGATGCTGAAATATGAGGTGATGGCGGCGGATGAATGGCACGACAATGGGCCTCAGGATCTCGTCACGGTATCTTTGTATATTCAAATTGCCATAGATAAAACGCAATTGTGTTTGTTGTCCGTAGCTTATGCCTGCCATACCATAACCCCACTGTCACCATGGGGCACTATGTTCACAACGTTGACATCAGCAAACCGCTCGCCAACGCGACGCCATCTCTGGCAACAGCTCTGGTGGTCATTCCTGCAGTCAGCATGCCAATTGCATGCTCACTCAAAACTTGAGACATCTGTGGCATTGTGTGACAAAACTGCACATTTTAGAGTGTTTTTGTTGTTGTTGTTGTCCCCAGCACAAGGTGCACCTGTGTAATGATCATGCTGTTTAATCAGCTTCTTGATATGCCACACTTGTCAGGTGGATGGATTATCTTGACAAAGGAGAAATGCTCACTAACAGGGATGTAAACAAATTTGTGCACAAAATTTGAGAGAAATAAGCTTTTTGTGCGTATGGACAATTTCAGGGATCTTTTATTTCAGCTCATGAAACATGGGACCAACACTTTACATGTTGCATTTATATTTTGGTTCAGTGCATAAGTAATCAGAATGTATTAAAGACATCACTCCAATACATACAAGTCTAAATTCGCATTTCCTTTAATTGATGATGGATGGATATAGACTGAGGCTGGATACATACAAATGTTCAACGTCAACACAAGTCTGTTACATATTGGACCCAGTATAAAATTGAACATGCAGTTGTGGGTCAGGGCAGTATTTGGCATAACAGTTTCTTCATGACCTTTCAGGCACTTAAAATAGATATTGCCTGTATAGTGTTCAGATGTAGCACAGCCCCATCTGAGCATAAATATTTATCCTAAAGTGGTATTTCCATAAATCTCCCAAAAAATGTAATGTAAGTAACCATTCTCAGAACCATCATCAAGCATGACATACAGATATACATGTAGGACCTAACTACTGATGATGAAAACAACACATTGACATTTTTATTTAAACAGCATTTTGTGGTGCCTCAATCCACTAGCAAAAGCATTTATTCATATATAATATATTTCTATTTGAAGAAAAAAAGCGCAAAATACAAGAAAAAGTTAAATGAAAAAAAGAGAATGAAACTACAGGTTCCAGCTACACTAAATAACTTAGGAGATAGAAATATTTTACGTCTTTCAGTGAATTATAAACATGGCACTATTTGAGCTCAAATAATGCCTATTGTCTTACAGCTTGACTTTAGAAACTGACCCTGACAGCCAGCGTTGACATGATACTAACCCATCACATTCACTTTGACCTGCCTACATGCACTGGAACGTCCTTTGAAATATCTAGTAGTGAATGATTGTATGCCAGGTCTCCAGTGTTGAGCCAAACCAAGTGCCTCTTTTACAGGGAGGTTAGGTTGATGGTAGCTCCCGTTCCAGTGCTATCTATTGTGTGTCAAAGAGACGAGTCCATACAGTACGCTAACTGTCACATTGCAGAAGGTAGATGTATTAAAATGGCTGACTCTTCATTTTCTCCTTGCGTGTCAAGTTGCACCCCCTCTCTCTTTTTGTTTGCTTTAAGCATAATCAGGAGCAGTCTCAACGTTTTCCGTTTCACTCCGATGGTCTTCACATTTCGGGTTGCTGCTCAGCAGTAAGGGTCAGCCGTGGCTCTGGCGACTCGTAGCGTTGGTGGAAGTTCCGTTTCTTTATTTTCTCAGGAGCTTTCCTCCAGAGAACGACTTCCTGGTAATAGAGAAGTATTACATCAACACTAGTAAGAGTGATCCTCTCATAGGTTATTGTAAATGTGCATATTGAGATAAGACGATCGCTTTCAATAATACTATAGGCCTACTTCCTCGTTTTGAGTTCAAACTACTGTAATATTTAACTACTGTAATATGTTGCTGCCACAGACATACACTCTCATTCCTAAATCATGGGCATTAATATGGAGTTGGTCCCCCCTTTGCTGCTATAACAGCCTCCACTCTTCTGGGAAGCACTTACAGTTGACCGGGGCAGCTCTAGCAGGGCAGAGACATGGCTGTGGCTGTGTGCTCGATTTTATACACCTGTCAACAACAGGTATGGCTGAAATAGTCGAATCCACTCATTTGAAGGGGTGTCCACATACTTTTGTATATACAGTGTATCTGCAGTCTTGGAACAATAACGACAAACCAGTAAATGGAGGTTGGCTTTGATGTTCTGTACCTGCTGTTTGAAGTATCTCCTGTCCTCCTCATCCACCAGCACCAGGTTGAGGAAGTACCGCACAGAGAACTTCTTGTTGACGTCCCTCATGGTGGCTGTCAGGTCGTAGCCAGCCAAAAACAGACGGATGGGAATGGACTCTCCTAAGAGCGAAAGAACAGGCATGAAGAGGACTGTGAAACAAGTTCCATGGCAAGAAGAGACAGATTTACATGTACACTACAAGTCCTGAAAACATTATGCTGCTTTGGTGGGGCGAAATAACAAGATAAAATTAAATAAAATCATAATATTGGGACAAACCAACACCATATTGTGCTTACCTTTCACAGGGGCGCCGTCCATTATCTCATACTTGGCAACAGTGTCCGTCTCTGTAGTTGTGCTAGGCCCTGCGAAGGAATTTCACATGACCAAATACAAACACTATTGTTGGAAAAGCATTCCAGGTGAAGCTGGTTGAGAGAATGCCCAGAGTGTGCAAAACTGTCATCAAGGCAAAGGGTGGCTATTTGAAAAATCTCAAATATATTTGGATTTGGTTAACACTTTTTTGGTTACTACATGATTCCATATGTGTTATTTCATAGTTTTGATGTCTTCACTATTATTCTACAATATAGAAAATAGTAAAAATAAAGAAAAACCCTTGAATGAGTAGGTGTGTCCAAACGTTTGACTGGTACTGTACATTTCACACTGTTCTTAAAGCAAAAGCCGAGATTACAGGGCAGTTTTAGGTTTTCACAAAATTTGAAGAATCTAAAACATTAAATAATTTAAAATAAAAATGTTATCATTAAATAGAGTAACACCTTATGCCATTTAAGTGAACCTCATCTCACCTATTCCAGTCATCTCCTTCTTGATCAACTGAAGTTCCATGTGCTGGATTTTGATTCTCACCAGAAGGAAATAGATTTTACCCACAATTACATCTTTCAAGTGGTATCTGAGAAGACAGTTGAGGTTAGGTACATTTATATACAGTGATGGAAAAAAGTATTTGATCCCCTGCTGATTTTGTATGTTTGCCCACTAACAAAGAAATGATCAGTCTATAATTTTAATGGTAGGTTTATTTGAACAGTGAGAGACAGAATAACAACAAAAAAATCCAGAAAAACACATGTCAAAAATGTTATAAATTGATTTGCATTTTAATGAGGGAAATAAGTATTTGACCCCCTCTCAATCAGAAAGATTTCTGGCTCCCAGGTGTCTTTTATACAGGTAACGAGCTGAGATTAGGAGCACACTCTTAAAGGGAGTGCTCCTAATCTCAGCTTGTTACCTGTATAAAAGACACCTGTCCACAGAAGCAATCAATCAATCAGATTCCAAACTCTCCACCATGGCCAAGACCAAAGAGCTCTCCAAGGATGTCAGGGACATGATTGTAGACCTACACAAGGCTGGAATGGGTACAAGACCATCGCCAAGCAGCTTGGTGAGAAGGTGACAACAGTTGGTGCGATTATTCGCAAATGGAAGAAACACAAAAGAACTGTCAATCTCCCTCAGCCTGGGGCTCCATGCAAGATCTCACCTCGTGGAGTTGCAATGATCATGAGAACGGTGAGGAATCAGCCCAGAACTACACGGGAGGATCTTGTCAATGATCGCAAGGCAGCTGGGACCATAGTCACCAAGAAAACAATTGGTAACACACTACGCCGTGAAGGACTGAAATCCTGCAGCACCCGCAAGGTCCCCCTGCTCAAGAAAGCACATATACATGCCCATCTGAAGTTTACCAATGAACATCTGAATGATTCAGAGGAGGAGAACTGGGTGAAAGTGTTGTGGTCAGATGAGACCAAAATCGAGCTCTTTGGCATCAACTCAACTCGCCGTGTTTGGAGGAGGAGGAATGCTGTCTATGACCCCAAGAACACCATCCCCACCGTCAAACATGGAGGTGGAAACATTATGCTTTGGGGGTGTTTTTCTGCTAAGGGGACAGGACAACTTCACCGCATCAAAGGGACGATGGACGGGGCCATGTACCGTCAAATCTTGGGTGAGTACCTCCTTCCCTCAGCCAGGGCATTGAAAATGGGTCGTGGATGGGTATTCCAGCATGACAATGACCCAAAACACACGGCCAAGGCAACAAAGGAGTGGCTCAAGAAGAAGCACATTAAGGTCCTGGAGTGGCCTAGCCACAGTAGCCAGTCTCCAGACCTTAATCCCATAGAAAATCTGTGGAGGGAGCTGAAGGTTCGAGTTGCCAAACGTCAGCCTCAAAACCGTAATGACTTGGAGAAGATCTGCAAAGAGGAGTGGGACAAAATCCCTCCTGAGATGTGTGCAAACCTGGTGGCGAACTACAAGAAACGTCTGACCTCTGTGATTGCCAACAAGGGTTTTGCCACCAAGTACCAAGTCATGTTTTGCAGAGGGGTCAAATACTTATTTCCCTCATTAAAATGCAAATCAATTTATAACATTTTTGACATGCGTTTTTCTGGATTTTGTTGTTGTTATTCTGTCTCTCACTGTTCAAATAAACCTACCATTAAAACTATAGACTGATCATGTCTTTGTCAGTGGGCAAACGTACAAAATCAGCAGGGGATCAAATACTTTTTTCCCCTCACTGTATTTATAATAATGTATATATAAATTCTATAATCATTTAATTTATGATTTCTAAATCTGATACTGATTTTGACATGCATTTGCTATTGTGCTATGGTTATTAAAAAGTGGTTTGAATGCATGAATGTCTTATCGTGGTATATATCTTACTTGGACTTGTTGTATTCAAACTCTATGTGCAGACAGTCTTCAATGCCAACTTCCATCTTAATGGAATTGTTCACATCAGGGTAAGTAGCCAGCTGATGGACAATGAGGTCATACTCTTTCACCAGATCAGACAGTCTCCTCACTACTGTCACTTTGAGGAAATATCTACAGGAAATAACAATTGGAGAGTTATGGATGGCTTGCAACAATGCAAATTACATTCAACTGACACGGTGCTTATATTCATAAGGTGAATGCAGCAATGACAACAAGAAGCCATCTGATGCAGTTTCACTGATCATCTCAAGCTGTGCCAATAGAAAGGGACGATGCAGAGGATGTCTGGGTATGACAGAGTCTTGTGCGCTAACCTGAGTCGGACGTTGGTTCCAACGTAAGACTCATAGGGCTTCTCCACCTGTATGAACTCAAAGTCGTAGCTTCGGTTCTGGGTCAACTCCCCTGGCAAGGCAAGCTCCTTCACCAGGTTCACAAATTCATGTGTGTTGCTTTTATCATTGAAGAGCTCTGAAAGACATAGACCCCAAGTTTAAACACCTCTGTTAGGTTCATCACATCACCACACACAGGAACCTCACATTTCCAATAAGCACATCAGTTGTACTGACGGAAACATTTATTTGAACAAAAGTATAAATAGGGAAGGAGGCCTAAATCTAATAACCTAGATTGTCCTGTATTAGATTTTAACTTTTGGCCTATGATCAGATATGTTATTTGAAGGCTTCCCCAAGCTTCCTCAGTCGGTTTGACAACATTGAACCAACCCTCAGTAATGGTCAAGGAATCCTCACAGAAATGTTTTGCCACCAGGCCAGAGTGTGTGGTGTGGAGTGTGGACAACTGCGGTTTTCACATGACAAGCACATGCTTTGCTAAGCGGTTTAGCATAAATGAGACTGACAGCGCACTTGGTTTGTGAACCAATGAACAATGCATGGCTGGTGTTTGAGGTGGGCGCTGCTGTTAGGTTACAATGTCAAAATATCAATTTACACAAACTCACCAATCTGCCCAACAAACTCAATTCGAATCCCTTGGTGTTCTAGTCTCTTGCCTGTCTGCCTCACATTGAGATTCACCTTACAAGAAAACACAAACAAGTTATGGGGTATTGGCATAGGACACAGTAGCTATGTTTCCATTAACTTGTCGACATTTAGAAAGTTCGCATAGAAAATAGATGCTACGGTGCATTTCCATGTAACTATCCTGACGATCAAAACAGCTGGAAGTAATGACATCAGACATTTAAAATAAAACGCTTTTTCGCAAAAACCTACAGTGTCGAATAAAAATGAAGTGGTTGAAGTGTTTCCATTACCCATTTAGGCAAATTGCCTAATAAATTGCAGACAGCCTGTAGCCTATACCCTCCCACATATCTGTTTCATGTCTCAGGTAGCCCTGCGAAAGCCAGCATGGATAGAATGCAATAATGGACAAATATTTGCCATATTCTAATAATTCTCGTGTCAACATATCGCCACGGCCCGTGCCATGGTGAAACTTGAACTCCTGTAGATCTGAAATAATTGGATGGTGAAACTTGCCAACCAACCAGAAAAGCAAGGTGAAGCAATTCAGGCATTCCTGAAAGTCAGGACAATCACTGTCCTGCAAAGAAACATTACTTTTATAGTTGAACATTTTGATTTTGCAAGCAGTAGGCATATCAAATGAAATGTGGAGTGGCACTTTATAGTTACGCGTTGAGTTCACGTGCCCCATGTACCTTCAAAATTATTTGTCACAATAAAGAACGTTTGTCAAAAGAGAAATCCACCCGTGGAACATATCATTTTATTTGTCTGTCTTTAGAACGTTTCTCCTATATCTGCCCTTTCCTTAACACCTGTCAAAGTGATTTTTTTGTCATTGCTTTTGTCAAATAAACCTTGGTCAATGGAAACCTGCCTATTGACATAGGAAGCAGTCAGGTGCACAGCATTGATCGCCGTCATGTCAAGTGTGTGTGTGTGCGCAACGCTCACCTTCCCAGAGACAGATTCTCCATCATAAAACAGGTAGTTCTTATCCACTTTTCCATCCTCTGTCTTGAGTTCTGCGGTCTTCCTAGTCTCTGCATCATTGAGTAGGACGTCAATTTCACACACAGGACCAAATAAACCACCCAGGAAACTCTGAAACACAAGAAGACTTAATAATTATACAATCATCTCAAAGGCACATACAATCATATAACGTTACACAGGCACAGAAATAACCTAACATCTACCTGCCAAGTACCAAGTCATTTTTCCCATGGGGCTTTAATAATATAATAATAATATGCCATTTAGCAGACGCTTTTATCCAAAGCGACTTACAGTCATGCGTGCATACATTTTTTGTGTATGGGTGGTCCCGGGGATCGAACCCACTACCTTGGCGTTACAAGCGCCGTGCTCTACCAGCTGAGCTACAGAGGACCACAATGTCTTATGTAACGCCAAGCTCAGGTGTCTTATGTAACAGTGGGCTATTCTTTGGGAGCTGAAATCTTTATTTCATGTGACTTTGGAGCTACAGTCCGCCCGTACAAGTCGCCGCTCAACTCCATCGTAAATCGTGGAGTTGCATTTAATCGGCTAACCTGACAGCTGACGTTAACGCAGTCAACATTTCTAGTAGTTTTGACTGGATTGAGCGCTCCGCGTGCCCTTGCTAAAGATGAATGGAGGATTGTTCATGCATTGTGTGCAAACGGAGGGTTTCTCGAGCCATGCCCAACTCTGATTATGAGATGGAGTTACAGTACCATTCAAAAGTTTGGACACACCTACTCATTCAAGGGTTTTTCTTTATTTTTTACATTGTAGAATAATAGTGAAGACATCAAAACTATGAAATAACACATATGGAATCATGTAGTAACCAAAAAAGTGTTAAACAAATGAAAATATATTTTATATTTGAGATTTTTCAAATAGCCACCCTTTGCCTTGATGACAGCTTTGCACACTCTTGGCATTCTCTCAACCAGCTTCATGAGGTAGTCACCTGGAATGCATTTCAATTCACAGGTGACTTGTCCCGAAGCCACTCCTGCGTTGTCTTGGCTGTGTGCTTAGATGTCCTGTTAGAAGGTGAACCTTTTCCCCAGTCTGAGGTCCTGAGCGCTCTGGAGCAGGTTTTCATCAAGGACTCTCTGTACTTTGCTCCGTTCATCTTTCCCTCGATCCTGACTAGTCTCCCAGTCCCTGCCGCTGAAAAACATCCCCACAGCATGATGCTGCGACCACCATGCTTCACCGTAGGGATGGTGCCAGGTTTATTCCAGGCATGACGCTTGGCATTCAGGCCAAAGAGTTCAATCTTGGTTTCATCAGACCAGAGAGTCTTGTTTTTCATGGTCAGAGTCCTTTAGGTGCCTTTTGGCAAACTCCAAGCGGGCTGTCATGTGCCTTTTACTGAGGAGTGGCTTCCGTCTGGCCACTCTATCATAAAGGCCTGATTGGTGGAGTGCTGCAGAGATGGTTGTCCTTCTGGAAGGTTCTCCCATCTCCACAGAGGAACTCTGGAGCTTTGTCAGAGTGACCATGGGGTTCTTGGTCACCTCCCTGACCAAGGCCCTTCTCCCCTGATTGCTCAGTTTGGCCGGGCGGCCAGCTCTAGGAAGAGTCTTTGTGGTTCCAAACTTCGCCATTAAACCTCAACAAAAAATAACATTTCTCGTGACATCCAGACAAGCTAGTTAGCCAGCAATTTTGCGTAACTTGCATCGATAATCACCACAAAGTGGGAAACGATATAACTGCTACATTAGCCAATTGCCACCAACTAAAACGTGTTAGCTAGGAAGAACACAGTGGGCCTCCGACCCGTCTGTGTTGATACCGAAGCTAACGTTATGCTAGACTAGCTAGCCGTTAGCCAAGCTAGCAAACGAATTAGAAAGAAAAACTAAACAAAGGGTCCGAGGATGACAATACCTTTAGCACATCTCTGTTTATGTATGTCTTGCTACTTCTTTCATTTTGAACTCACCATTTCAGCTGTTTAAACTGCTGTGTAGACAGCTAGCTAGCCTCCGTGTTGTTAATTCCCGTGATGATACACAAACCAGAGTAGCATACTGCTCCTGTGAATACAGAAGCAATGGCAACATACATTACAAAATAAAAGTCCAACGTCTAGTGCACATTTTAACATTCACTGTTTGCAGATGATTTAATACTTTTCTGAAGGTTTTGGCAAAATCTCTATTGTCTAAAGTAACTTTCCTTAGAAAAGGCAGTTTATCTGTAATATCTTTTGACTTTGATATAGCAGCACTTTGTGTATCAAACCAGCGTTACTTGAGGTGCATTCATAAATTCACTCTGGGTATCTAGGTAGTCCGATTTCAGAGCACTCTCGTTTGAGTGTGTCAGAGCGCAGAATAATGGATACATTTACTAACCCACAACACCCGTTTAATATGACTGGTGTCCGTTAACGTTGCAAAAAAACGCAATTAAATTGTTGCCAGCGGCACAGTTACAGTTAACGCAACACAACACTAAACAATACATTAATTGCACTATAATGGTGACAAACGGCGCCCACAAACTGTTAGGGCCTACATTTTTTTATTTTTTTATTTCACCTTTATTTAACCAGGTAAACCAGTTGAGAACAAGTTCTCATTTACAACTGCGACCTGGCCAAGATAAAGCAAAGCAGTGCGATAAAACAACAACACAGAGTTACATATGGGGTAAAACAAAACAAAGTCAAAAATACAACAGAAATACATATATATACAGTGTGTGCAAATGTAGCAAGTTATGGAGGTAAGGCAATAAATAGGCTATAGTGCAAAATAATTACAATTAGTATTAACACTGGAATGATAGATGTGCAAGAGATGATGTGCAAATAGAGATACTGGGGTACAAATGAGCAAAATATATAACAATATAGGGATGAGGTAGTTGGGGCGGGCTAATTTCAGATGGGCTGTGTACAGGTGCAGTGATCGGTAAGGTGCTCTGACAACTGATGCTTAAAGTTAGTGAGGGAGATAAGTGTCTCCAGCTTCAGAGATTTTTGCAATTTGTTCCAGTCATTGGCAGCAGAGAACTGGAAGGAATTGCGGCCAAAGGAGGTGTTGGCTTTGGGGATGACCAGTGAGATATACCTGCTGGAGCGCAGACTACGGGTGGGTGTTGCTATGGTGACCAATGAGCTAAGATAAGGCGGGGATTTGCCTAGCAGTGATTTATAGATGGCCTGGAGCCAGTGGGTTTGGCGACGAATATGTAGTGAGGACCAGCCAACAAGAGCGTACAGGTCACAGTGGTGGGTATTATATGGGGCTTTGGAGACAAAACGGATGGCACTGTGATAGACTACATCCAATTTGCTGAGTAGAGTGTTGGAGGCTATTTTGTAAATGACATCGCCGAAGTCAAGGATCGGTAGGATAGTCAGTTTTACGAGGGCATGTTTGGCAGCATGAGTGAAGGAGGCTTTGTTGCGAAATAGGAAACCGATTCTAGATTTAACTTTGGATTGGAGATTCTTAATGTGAGTCTGGAAGGAGAGTTTACAGTCTAACCAGACACCTAGATATTTGTAGTTGTCCACATACTCTAGGTCAGACCCGTCGAGAGTAGTGATTCTAGTCGGGTGGGCGGGTGCAAGCAGCGTTCGGTTTGAAGAGCATGCATTTAGTTTTACTAGTGTTTAAGAGCAGTTGGAGGCTACTGAAGGAGTGTTGTATGGCATTGAAGCTCGTTTGGAGGTTTGTTAACACAGTGTCCAATGAAGGGCCAGATGTATACAAAATGGTGTCGTCTGCGTAGAGGTGGATCTGAGAGTCACCAGCAGCAAGAGCGACGTCATTGATATACACAGAGAAAAGAGTCGGCCCAAGAATTGAACCCTGTGGCACCCCCATAGAGACTGCCATAGGTCCAGACAACAGGCCCTCCGATTTGACACATTGAACTCTATCTGAGAAGTAGTTGGTGAACTAGGCGAGGCAATCATTTGAGAAACCAAGGCTATTTAGTCTGCCAATAAAGCTGTCCCAACAGCAGAGCTTTCTTTTCAGCACCATGGAGTGAATCCTTATCACTGCTACATCTGGCTATCAGCAGAGACTTGTCTGGCAGCGAAACAGTTAATTCAGCCTTATTTACTGCCTTCTAAAAAAACATAGCTGATATGGCTGACTTGCTTAAACAAATGTGGTTTCTACTGACAATTGAGATGTACAAATATGGCATAAGGGAACGATGAGCGGATAAGAGGTAATTTCAATTAAGTCAGTAATGAGCGAAATTGTACATTTACGTCATTTAGCAGACTCTCTTATCCAGAGCGACGTATAGTTAGTGAGTGCATACATTTTCATACTGGCCCCCCGTGGTAAACGAACCCACAACCCTGGCGTTGCAAGCGCCATGCTCTACCAACTGAGCTACACGGGACTAAGATAAGAAAGACGGATGTAGTCAATATAACTATTTGTTCAGCACTTTTAAAATGTACAGTGACAGAATTCAGAACATGGACCGTTCTTACAGTATTCTCCCTGTACACCAAGTCAGAACCGTAGGATAAATAAAGGGGGCATATAAGCAGACAATGAAAGCTCTTACATTTACATTTACATCATTTAGCAGACGCTCTTATCCAGAGCGACTTACAAATTGGTGCATTCAACTTATGATAGCCAGTGGGACAACCCCTTTATTTATTATTATTATTATTATTTATTTTTTTGGGGGGGGGGGGGGGGGGGGGGGGGGGTAGAAGGATGACTTTATACTATTCCAGGTATTCCTTAAAGAGGTAGGGTTTCAATTGTCTCCGGAAGGTGGCCAGTGACTCCGCTGTCCTGGCGTCGTGGGGGAGTTTGTTTCACCATTGGGGTGCCAGAGCAGCGAATAGCTTTGACTGGGCTGAGCGGTACCTGTGCTTCCATAGAGGTAGGGGGGCTAGCAGGCCAGAGGTGGATGAACGTAGTGCCCTCGTTTGGGTGTAGGATCTGATCAGAGCCTGAAGGTAAGGAGGTGCCGTTCCCCTCACAACTCCGTAGGTAAGCACCATGGTCTTGTAGTAGATGCGAGCCTCAACTGGAAGCCAGTGGAGTGTGCGGAGGAGCGGGGTGACATAAGAGAACTTGGGAAGGTTGAACACCAAACGGTGCAGCGTTCTGGCTAAGTTGTAGGGGTTTAATGGCACAGGCAGGGAGCCCAGCCAACAGCGAGTTGCAGTAATCCAGACGGGAGATGACAAGTGCCTGGATTAGGACCTGTGCCACTTTCTGTGTAAGGTAGGGTCGTACTCTGCGAATGTTGTAGAGCATGAACCTGCAGGATCGGGTCACCGCTTTGATGTTAGCGGAGAACAACAGGGTGTTGTCCAGGGTCACACCAAGGCTCTTTGCACTCTGGGAGGAGGACACAACGGAGTTGTCAACCGTGATGGCGAGATCATGGAGCGGGCAGTCCTTCCCCGGGAGGAAGAGCAGCTCCGTCTTGCCGAGGTTCAGCTTGAGGTGGTGATCCGACATCCACACTGATATGTCTGCCAGACATGCAGAGATGCGATTCGCCACCTAGTTATCAGAAGGGGGAAAGGAGAAAATTAATTGTGTGTCGTCTGCGTAGCAATGATAGGAGAGACCATGTGAGGATATGACAGAGCCAAGTGACTTGGTGTATAGAGAGAATAGGAGAGGGCCTAGAACTGAGCCCTGGGGGACACCAGTGGTGAGAGCACGTGGTGCGGAGACAGATTCTCGCCACGCCACCTGGTAGGAGCGACCTGTCAGGTAGGACGCAATCCAAGACTGAGCAGCGCCGGAGATGCCCAACTCGGAGAGGGTGGAGAGGAGGATCTGATGGTTCACAGTATCAAAGGCAGCGGATAGGTCTAGAAGGATAAGAGCAGAGGAGAGAGAGTTAGCTTTAGCGGTGCGGAGAGCCTCCGTGACACAGAGAAGAGCAGTCTCAGTTGAATGACCAGTCTTGAAACCTGACTGGTTTGGATCAAGAAGGTCATTCTGAGAGAGATAGCAGGAGAGTTGGCTAGAGACGGCACACTCAAGAGTTTTGGAGAGAAAAGAAAGAAGGGATACTGGTCTGTAGTTGTTGACATCGGAGGGATCAAGTGTAGGTTTTTTGAGGAGGGGTGCAACTCTCGCTCTCTTGAAGACGGAAGGGACATGGCCAGTGGTCAAGGATGAGTTGATGAGCGAGGTGAGGTAAGGGAGAAGGTCTCCGGAAATGGTCTGGAGAAGAGAGGAGGGGATAGGGTCAAGCGGGCAGGTTGTTGGGCGGCCGGCCGTCACAAGTCCCAGGATTTCATCTGGAGAGAGAGGGGAGAAAGAAGTCAAAGCAAGGATTTGCCAGTAGATTGTCGACATGATTCATGATGATGACTGCTTGTCTAGCTTCCTAGCTAAGATTTTGAAAGTATGATTTTGACATGATCAGTCCAATCAAAGCTACGGTAGATGTATTGTGATTTGATGTCATGTTATCTGTGGCCAATGACCTTGAGCCTTCTTGGATGGGCACTTCTAATGTAAATCTATGGCAGCACCCAAGGGGGCTTGAACTGCCTAGCTCTCCCTGTAGATTCTGCAGTGACCTAATGTCCCCATGAGTGACAGAACACTGAGCCAATCACGGCGCAATTAGAGAAGCTGACCAACGCCTTCGCTCTGTATTTTCCGCTGCCTGCCCCTCCACCAGCTAGGGTGAAACACCTGCATTTTGGAGCTGCTTTACTCAAGAAAGCAAAAAAGAGACCATGTTTATATGAGGCTTTATTAACTCAATAAATATATATATATATTACATTGTTTGCAAAGGAGGGGGATGGGGATGGCTTTTTTACCTGTGACTATTCATTATATAGCACTGCCACGAGTGCCTTATTGCTTTTTTTTTTTTTTACTGTTACCAACATATTGAAATAACAATGAATTACATATTTTCATTAAAACATTATTTTGACAAGTCAATTCATACAATTTAATTCTTGCAGGTGATAAATCTGTCGATGTGACCTTGAGCAAGGCACTTAACCCTAATTGCTCCTGTAAGTCACTCTGGATAAGAGCATCTGCTAAATGACTAAAAT